TTCAGATTGTAGGCTGGGATTCCGGGGAATTATTGAAGGAGGGTCTATTATTGGGCTTGGCCAGTGAACAGGTATCGTCATCAAAAGTAGACCATTCCCATCATGATTTATCGTTACCCAATTACAATCCTCAAGTCTGGTTGGCTAAATTGAAACACGTGACTTGCAATTGATGGGTTAGGTGTCCGGTATCCAAGAATCATAATGACGTCATGGTTAGGGAACGTATCAATGTAATGGTTAACGAAAAAAGAACAAAGTAATTATTACATTAGGTTGACCTACTCTCTTTCCCTAAAACGCAAATTGCAAGTGATTTTGCATTGTAAAGTATGGCGTTTTACTTTTAGGGTACTTGGATTTCGGAGTCTGGTATAGTATCAACTATAGCGAGCATGTAAAATCTACGATCGCCTTACAATCTCGAGCTCCGTACGGCGTATCCATTGTTCAAGGCCGTAGAGTCAACGTGGAAATTATAAATCGGAGTTCAAACTTTTTTCACTTCAATTTTTTTCACCGTAGAAGTTGAACAAGCTGTAGCCAAGCCATGGTATCTGACCGTAGAATTTCCATGACATCAGCAGAATTGCTATTGGCCGTAGATAAAAACTGAACGGTCGCCGTACGTAGCAAATGGGTCCGAAACCTTAGCAACACAAAGTTAATTTACAGATAAAATAGTATTTACTATTTTACTTTAGTATTCTAAATACGAGATGGGATACCATTTAAAACTATCAATGGAAGTATTTGATTCATCTCAAAGGACCGCGAGTTGTTTGTAGAATAAATCGAGTTGTTTTGGCTTATATTTCAAGCCAATGAGGTGTTTATTAATGATTATCTTTCCTGTTATTTCAGAATCTGCTTGGAACTATACCATTGGATTACTATGGGAAATTCCTTAAAGAAAAAATTCTTGGGATTAAGGAAGGGGTACCTTTACACAATTTGAGAAATTATTGGCATACATGAAACCTATTTAAAACAGCATTGATATTATTCAAAAGTTATCGTAATAACGATTCCCGGCCCTCTGAAGTTTGAAAAATAACAATACCTGGGTGTTAATCTATATAGATAATCCTTGAAAATGAGAAATATTTTTTTAGGATTATATGGTGCAATCTTATAGTCAAAAAATGTTTTAAGGTGTATTGATGTTTTTTAGATGAAAAACAAAAGCAAAAAAGCTTCCCAGATTCATTCTACAAACAACTCGCGGTACTTTATCGTGGCTATGTCCTAAGCAACATATAAACGTTTTTACACAATTCATAAAACAAGGATCGAATTCTCTTGCCGCCCTATGAAAGTAGGCTATGTACGCTAACACGACATATAGATCAACGTATAATATGCAATCTTAGTGGGGAAATTATTTTGAGGTGGAAAATTTCAGACTATTGATAGATACATCTTAGTGGAAAAGAGGCCCAAATGACTGGTGCCTAGCCTAGCCACTTTGATACATTTTAGCCTTCTTGCTTTAGTTAAAGGAAAGTTAAGCGTGTTTTCTATTGTGAATCAATTTATTGATACATTCCCTTTATGGATTGATTTTTTTCAATTTCTCCAAAATCAAATCCGTCAGACCCTGAAAATCAAGTAAAGGGGTTTGTAAAATCTCTGCTCTGGAGAATCGATTATCGTCACTGCATCGTGCCTAATGCTACCCCCTTAATTGTCGAATTAAAAATCATAATTAATAATTCATAGTTGACGAGGATATTGAGCAAATTATAACAAATGGGATGAAATGGTATTATTGTGAAACAGCAGTAGGCAACCCATTGAAGTTAAACCGCATCAAGAGTCGAACGATTCATTTAAGTCATTAGATTGTCTTTTGAAATGAAATGTCCTATTGGAATGTGATGTTTCAATTGTTTTTCCAATACAGCGATTAGAACTTATTTTCATATTGTCTGGTTTATGAATTGTTCTAGACACAAATCAGATGATTCTACGATGATGAATCAATGTATTCATAGTTTATAAACGCCTACTATTTAGCACAATTTGATTAATCATTTATTAGAACTGGTATCAAAAATGTTGAAATTATAACCGTCTGGCTAATAACCACTACATTAAGAATAAGAGAATTGAATAAATAGGGCGATACAATCCCGAATTCCAAGAAAGGATATACTGTCATAGTTGATGCGTACAATGATGATGGTGTGTCATCGTGCATTTAGTTCTTAAGTTAATCATGCAACACGAAGATGAGAATAATACGTTCTGACATTTTCCTATCAATCTAAAAGCGGGGGAAGGTCATCTTTCATGCCAATACTATATAGCATAAAGCTATGACTGAGCTATTATTGCCAGTATGCCTTAATTATTCCACCAAACAAAATGTGTAGGGTTATAGAGAAGCCGTCTGTTCGTTACTTTGTCCGTGCGATAACTCAACTACCGTCGACGGAGTTGGTTCACATTGTCGTATGCCTTATTATGGATATGGTGTTTAAACTACGTCTTTATTTCGGTACATTAAATATTCCATAAATACCAAATAAAACAAACAATTTACCAAACCTTTACCCAATCTATCGAATATTTTATCGAATGTAATAATCTATACACTTTATATTCGCTAAAGAGTTTCACTTGTTCTTTGTGTTGGCTGAACATTTGATATTTATACATGTTTTCGTGTAATGCAGCGAATCAATTTGTTTTCCTTAAAGCACGTATAATTCAATTAATTATTTGTACATTAGGTATTTAAATTGTTTATATTCGGTAAATTCCGAATGCCACATTCGATAAATTTCGTTATTTTTCGATTCTTTACGAGACTTCCTGTCACGTGATATATTTGAACGATGTAGAATAGCTGCGCGGCCATTTTGCAAATCTCGAGGTTACGTGACAAAGTATCGAACAACAACGGAAGTTATCGAATATTACTTTATTGCATTCGGTAAATATCAAATTAGCTTTCGGTAAATGCATTAACTATGTTCTAGAAAAATAAACCATTTGGTAAATATAGGCAAACTTATTTCGGTAGGGTTCAAATAGAAATTCGATATTGTGCAGATAATGTGTCACTCTTAAGGAATACCATAACAATTTACGCAAAAAACATATCATTTAGCGAATGAAGTATGTAATTTATATTAATGCACATAGTTTAATATTTGTTGCCATGTTTTTCTATAATCCCATCACACCCAAGTATGCCCTCTGTCAGCAAAAAAAGTTTGAATCAAAACTCCCCACGAAAATCAAAGGATCTCACCTCTTGAATACGCCAACTAAAATGTCAAAAGTTGTCATTCTGATTTTGACAGAAGGAGGTCAAAAAGGTCATAAAGTTTCAGAGAAAATACACCTTAGTCATATCAAATCATGTGTTAGAGTTGATCCATATATGCACTTTTTAATTATTAGACTTACCAAAATCAAAAAACAATAACTGGACTATATTCTTGCTTGCCATCTCAATATTGAGGAATGCAGCAAAATTCCGAACATGCAGACTTACCTTAATCCTTAGTATGTATGAGTCTCATTGGCATGTATTTTTTGCATTTCTATACTATTTATTTATCTTAATTGTTGTTTTAGATAACGACATTTTTTACATATTTTTACATTCCCACTCAAGCGGCAGGATCAATTGGTTGTGTGTTACCAAGGAGCATTGACCCTCAGGGTTTCAACTCGATATTTTAATCTCAAAGGAATTTGTTCAGTGCTGATCATATCTGCATATTTCTACGACTGCAAGAGAATGGCCGATATTCTATTCAAATTCTATTCTATTCAAATAATGTTAATGCAACCAGTGGTAATTAGAACTTTTCAAACGAGTTACCCTGAACTGTGAAAATATTATCCTATTTTCATAATTGTAGAACTAGATATGACCGTCATTCACCAGTCATTGAGCAAAAATAGTTTGCTACATGGGAATTACAAAATGTTTCGAGTTTCATGAAGATTTTACCTCACAGAGAAATGTATCAAAGGATAGATATCGATATGGTGAACTGAATTCAACAATGTTTTTCTCTTTAACCAATTATTGAAAACATTCTGTAAAAACACAGCCCTTTTTGTAATGTTGACTGATTGGCAACAATTTAATGGAAAAACTATTTATATATATTTTATACTTGTATAACTGTTTTTGTTAACATTTTTTTGTTTTTAGTGCAATTGTTTTTTGTTCCTTTCTACCAATTCTTGAGAATGAAATAAAATGTCTTTCCGAACCTCGTTGGAACAAAATAGCATATACAACATTTTCTTAGACCTCTCAATACAGTTATACAAAGGACATTTTGGTTGATTTAACAAAAAGTATGCAAAAAAAACCAAAATAGATAAAAACTAAGATAAACCGTTTATTTTATTAACATGATACTTTTTTAAAATCAACGAAAATTTAATTTGTACAATTACAATATTGAGAGACCTAAACACAACTTGTGTTTATGCCGTTTTGTTCCAATGAGCTTCGGAAAGATGTTTCATTTCATCCCGAACATATGATACTGAGAACAAAAGAAGTGGCTGATGTGTTTTCTAAAACAATAAAGAGAAAAGGATATATATATATTTCAAATTATAATGCTACCATCCTAAAGATGACCATTAAATTGACGATGTGTAAAATTTTCAGAATGTTTTGATGACTGGATTAAGAGAAACGAATGTTCAAAAAGTTCACCATATCGATACCACTCCTTTCACATTTAAAATGGTGTTCCATGGGCCTGTTGATGACTAGATCAAACATGATCAAAGTTTGTGGCTTGTTATTGTAATTGAATTCGCCAAAAGCTCTTAGAAATAATGAATTGAAATCATGAGAAAGGAAAAAATCCACATATTTTCAACCGTCACAAAATATTAGAAATAGGATATTCATTGAGTCTAAATGAAGTGGAGAGGTTACTTTCACTTGATGCCAAAATAATGATAGTCATAATTTGACTAACGTTATCATTTTCAAATGGTATAACTACATATTTACTTGTTTTTATTTGTCATTCATAGTTCTACATTTTATACAAAGTAAAGATACATTTTATAATAACCAAGCCCACCTTAGGCTCATCTACCACTTCTAATTCAACTAATTCAACAATGTTATAATTCAAAAATAGAATAATAATTACATAAACAATAGTATAAATTGACACATAAATATAATTCTTTTGACTCGAATCCATCAAATATAACTCTGCCGTTACTTCCAGATGTTCAAAATTAAATATATCCTACAAATATGTCCACATCTGTTTGGCAATAGTTTCACGACTGAAATCAATCAATCAATATATTATAAATAAATAAATGTTTTCTAACTTCCAATTGACAAAAAGACTCAGTGGTGATCTGATTTTTGGTTATGCCAAAAATGTCCCATTTTTTGAGGCCCTATAATTTATTTCTGGGCCCACCTTAGGGGAGGGGAGGGCCCCATGCCCCCCCCCCCTGAATCCACAAGTGTGTCCCATAATGTTCTGTTGGTACAGGCAGTCCAAAGTCCACCATTAATTGAAGCAGATGACACCATCATTTTGCTAGTCATTGTCAGACGATCCAGAGTTTATCTTGATGACAGAGATGTACTTCTTGCGCCCACTACTTGTGGTAGAGAGAGACGTTAATGATCCACCTTCAAGAGCCTAAATATAGAGAAAACGTTAATGTCGCATTAGTTCTCGACCCTTTTCTTTACAATCACAAAGGCATAGCTACATCATCTTGACAAGAAGATGCAATGTAGAAGATCTTTAAATCTTTGCAAATAGAAATACTACACTGTAGTTAGTACAAATAGAAATAAAGTAAAAATGGTAACGAATTTTAAACATGTCCATGACCTATCGTTTTACATATGATGACAATAAAAACACTGTCCTCTTATTTTAAAAAGGCTCGAATCTCGCACACACTTTAAGTTATCCAATGTTTCTGTTTGTTATCAATGTCCCTTACCATGTCAATTTCGTCTTCATCAGTGCCACTGGAATCATTGTTCAAACGGTTCGTATTATTTTCAGGGTTCTCACACTCATCTCTAAATCCCTGAAATTGTAGCAATTGAAGGTGTTTTATCGCACATTCAAACATGACCGTGCTCTATTTGAATTTCTCAACCAATCAGAATGCAGCATAGCCAATATAGAACGTTCTCTAATTCTCCATAGATGCACGACCATGCTCTATTCAATCTGCAATTTGCATTGTTTTGAGTGACGTCACATCTCAGCTGCACATCTGGGGCTCTGTCCGGGGATAGCTGTTCTTTTTTACTCCCTTCGTAATTTTTATTTTATCAACACCCCATGTTTGCATACACCGTATAAAATCTAAAACGGGGAGTAAAATAGAACAGCCCAAACAAATTCTAAAATTTTTCCGGCCGACTTCAGAATCTTGACAGCATGCGTATTCTTCCTTCATGCCCGTTCCACAGACACGGCTTTTACTAATTTTTATGTTTGAATCGGAATAAATAATGATAGGCCATTCAATATGGTGAAATTCAGCACTCGTTGGACAGAATGTTAGTACAAATGCACTCACCTTCGGTTCGTGCTTTGTACAACATTCTGTCCAACTCGTGCTGAATTTCACCATATTGAATGGCCTATCATTATTTATTCCTTAAATATAGCCTACTATTAAAACAACAGATATATTTTATAGTCTGATGTCATAAAGAATAACAAGATCAGCTAGAAACGGAACTCCACGGAGTAGCAAATTCCAACGAACACTATGTCCATGAATCTGTATGTGTCACAATGTAATATTTACCATCTACTGTTTATTGTACAAAAATTATCCGACTTGAAATAAATATTGATATGATATGATATGACTCTACCATGTCTACCCTTGTGATTAAATTGGCAGATGTAAAAGACAAACATTAGAAATATTTAATATATCAGTATTTCCACCGATTTAAGCATTTTGGTGACCATTTAGGAGTTTCAAGGCACAAATCTTGAAAAACAATACTATATTTGAGATATAATATAGTATAGTGTAACGATACGTTTAACAGATATATTAAATAATAGTGTTCCAGGCAGCCATTTTGAATTTTCACAAATCAGAAAAATACCATGATTGTGATTTACTATAAAATTCCTTCCATTTGAGTATAATTCTTTGAACAGATGAGAAAATTATTGCGAAATTTAGGCGGTCAATTTGAATTTTACGAGGCCCGAATCAGAAAAACGATACAGCATTTGCAATCTAATCAAAATTCAAAAAAGAATATGATGGAAAATTGTGTGACTCCTATGATATTATGTATATTGTATATGTTAATGTAACTGCTTTAAAATGTTTTTTCAATGAATAAAAAAGGGATAATAAAAAAATTCCTTTCGTTTGAGTATAAAGTTATACTTCAGAAAGTTCTCTCAACTGACGCAAATTCCTGTTTCCCTACCCCATACGCAGCCCCTGGGGGAAAGGGTCAAAAACACGGAATGTATGTGAAATGGATAGATGTTGTGAATATACTACCAAAATATCAAACAATAATATTTATTACTTGGGTTTAAAATGAAAAACCTTTCGCGAAAAAGTCCCGCCATTGTTAAAGTGGCGGCCATCTTGAATTTTTTTGATTAAAACTGTTCACCAATATACATCTTTGCACCAAATATTAAGGAAATCTATTCACTAGTATTTGAGTCATCTTCCAGTCAGATGGACGGACGGACGGACTGACTGACGGACGTACAGAGGGCTTCACTTTATATACCCCTACCGAATATCGTCCGTTGGGATGCATATGACTAATGCTGTGGTCACATCTGCTCTGATCTTCAACGCCGGTGTAAAAGGGTAGGATGTCCTATCAAATTATGGTCCTACTCTCCATTGATTTATATGGTGACCTAAATACAACTCTTTTCCTCATTATCTTATACGCAATCAGGGCCAGTAAGGGCCGTTAAGAAAGGGGACCATAAACCCTGGGGGACCATCATTTCTTTCACACCGGCGCCCGGCTGATGAATATTTTGTTCAAAACTGCATATAGCTTTGAACAAAATACTCAATCGGCCAGGCGCAGATCGAAATCTGAGCAAATTTGACTCAAGCATATGTAATGTCACTTCATTAATTTCTAAATCAGATTTACAAGTATATTTATAGTTATACAGTGCTGGTATATATTAATTGATCAGTCGTTTAATTGGCATATTTTCTTGAATTTTAACATTTAATGTTCCAAACTCCCACAAACTGTAGAAAAGTATACCCCATAAATCATATTTACCAAAATGAGTGTCTCCAAGGCTTCACACCAGCGTATGTATAATGCATTTGTCACGAGTTTGAGCTGAAATTTCGCCAAAATGGAGTAGGCTAAGGGTAGTCTCTGCCAGGTTTGTTTATTGTGGTAAGCTTGTAAGTGCTCAGAAGCAAATAATTCATATGCGCAAAATAATCTGATTGGTCTAAACTTTGCTGCACATGCGCGCAATGTGTGCCATGTTTTTTCTAGTGATTTCGTTTCGTTTCATGGAGTTTGCGTTTCAGTGTAACTTCCGCAAAAATGGCGGACCATGGACAGAATTAACAGGTAAAATCACTCCAAAATTTCAAGAGAACTTTTTACCTATAATAGCAAAACTTTTGTTTTATTTGTGCATTCTATCTATCAGATAATAGTCTCAGGGGTATGTAGGCAAATTCATTTTGATAGGAGCACTCTGTTTAGTTTGAAAACGCACCCTTAATTATTATATATCAGCACTGTAGTTTACCCTATTGAAGACACCCTCGTTAATTAATATTTGCCCATCTCTTATGGTCAAATGTTCTTTTATTGTAGGCTTAGATTCTAGGCCCATTTGTTTATCGACGTAATCCGCCCATGAGCCAATCATATCGCACTCGGGAGCATCGTTCTCATCGGCACCATCTTTACTGCTAGTATGCCCATTAGACTTTAAATCTGTTTCGTTTGTATCTGTGATCTTGTCGTGGTCGTCATTTTGATCCGAGATTTTTCCATCAATTTGTGAAAGGGAATCTTCAATGTTTTTTTCCTTTTGTTTCAGCTCTTTATCTATTTCCATATATCTACGAATTGACTCATTCCGGGCTGACATGTATCTAAGTATAGAAAATATTAATAACGTCAAAAAACCAAGCGGTGTATTACGCATAACAATTTTTATGTTGCAACATACTATTTCATGATATGCAAGCGTTTCCCAATTCAAGAAAGGTATACTTTAAAGCAGATTTCACTGTACATAATTTTGCTTAAAGAGGAAATGACTGAAGATAATTTTTCAGAACTACCCTGAGATTCGCTTGATTCTGTTTCGTCTGACATTTTGCCTCCAGACGCAGTACGTTACGAAGAGACTTATAATGATGAGTAATGTCCCAATGACAGCGCCTGACACGCCAATGATCACATTATTGGAGACACAGTTGCCACCTATACGAGAATGATGGTCGTCACATCTGGAATAAAAGTACCAATAATGACCCTAACCTCATTCCTTAAATTATCCCAAAGACTTGTGCTATTTGCTCTATTAATTTTTTAGTCTTGTATTCGATAACTTCTCCAAAGCTGATATACAGATACCGTGATAGAAACTAAGGGAGCCTGGCCATTGCATTTTATCGGCTATCTTGGAGTCATTTTATCTCTCGATAAAAAATGTGATAGACATAAATTTTGAAAATAAATCCAAAATTGACGAGACAATGATAGTGCCACTGACATTTAAAATGAGGGACTTATTCCATCTTCCATTTCTTCATAAATATAGCTCAAGAAACCCAAGTTATTTGCATACCAATTAAGGTATTTTTATAGAAATGTTTTTAGTCAAACAATACGTTCAGGAAAGTTTTCCAAAATCACATACCTACAAAGTGGGGTTAAGTTGCCATCTAAGACGCAATGGCCATTTTCGCCAATGTCACACACGTGTGTCTGACAGAGGTGTTGACAGGTAACACTGGAGATGTCATCTAAGGAAGTCTGACTGCAGGTATATCCCAAATCACATAAATTGTCCATAGACAGACAGTAGTTCTGATATAGCTGTAGAGCTGAAATAAAATAGGTGTAGTTTTCAAAAGTCGGACTGGTAATGAGGATGATTGTTTGAATATTGCATCTTGTACTCGGGCTTGTACTAGAGTCTACTGCAGCAGAACGAACTGTTTGATTATGTAACGAGTGACACGAAGATGCAACACATAAATAAAATGTCAATACTGACTCACAATTTGAGAGCTATTTGAAATATGGCACAAGCAAAGTTCATCATGTCCATCAAGACTGCCAACGTTTCAAATACAGGGTGAGCTTAAATGTAATCCAAACAAATGTATGTTATTTAAAATTGATTTAAAGTCATAATTGGCACAATTATCCCCCTCTGTTTCTATGTAGGCAACTAACTACCCTGTCTGGAATATACACAATTTGTGTCACCCGCTCATTGTCTGTATTTCAAAACTTAGCTTACTGAATGAATAAATAAATAAATAAAAAAAACTAAAAAAAAAACTAAACCTTGATCGATTCTTGGATTGGTCTAATGGATTTTAAGTCTTAGATGTTATTGAAGAACACTACTTTCCGCATACAACTCAAGCAAAGAAGAGCATCAAGATTCCTTCACCATTGACAAAGTTAATAAAAGTATCAAGTGTTGAATTTCGTGTTGCCTCGAGTTTTCGTCCAGTGACATCTTTATTCTGACGACGAGGCTTTTTTATGCTACATGTATGTATAGCAATAGTGAGGTTGAGCTACACGTTTTTAAGAGATTTAGTTCGAGATCGAGCTTGTCCTTGAGTAACTGTCACGTATTGCCGTGTGGGCTGAACGGGCCCGATCGTCGTTTATCGAAAAAAAGAATCCAACACGGTAATGAACCAGCTGGATGAACCAGCGACGGCTGCATTGTGCTTGTTTTTGAACGAGTTTATACCTTTAGTTTCTACATTGTACAGGGTGGGCCAAAAAACCAATACCCAAGTTTAAGGATGAATATCGTATGATACAACGTTAGACCATGCCATGTATCGTATTTCATTTCCTAACAATATGACACCATCTGATTGAAAACCCATTGTTTTCTTGTGGAGCTAGAGGCTAATATTGACAACAAGGGTGTCATGAGTGACCAAAAAATTATTCACTGCAGATTTCCAAATTGTGGAAAATCGAGGGAAATTTGAACTTTGGCACCTTCAAAAGAGGCACATTTATACAAATATAGTGCACAATCCAGCAATAATACTGATATATATTTTAACTAATTATCAATTGTGTCTTACTCTTAATTTATGATGATTCAGTCAAGCATAATTGAATGCAGCTGTGATTGCAATAGGGGGAAAGGACAAGGTGCAATTATTGGCAAATATCCCTATGGTCAAAATGAATCATTCGTAGGTGTAACATGAAGAATGAAATGTCATATAATACTTTGGAAAATATTAAAGTGCTCGGACACACATAAGCTGAGATAGGGATCATTTCGTTCAGTAAGGTTGTATTGACCTACATGGGGCTGTGCACCATTGACTTAACATGAGGATATCAGCAGATCCCAATAGAGGCCATTGGTTTCCATTGATTATCACAGAAATACCAAAAATACACTATGACCTGAATCGATTGCAAACTTAATAATTTCACAATACGACACAAATGGTTTATCTCATCAAATGTGCAAATATGAAGTTTGCAATCGATTCAGGTCATACTTAAAATTAAAAGATTGTACATTTTTTCATCATTTTTTTCCCCTACAAAATGGCTATAGAAAAATGCTCCAAAAACAACTTTTACACTTATCAAATATCATAAAAGTTTGTAAAACTAAAGATTATACTATTATATTTCATTATGTAGTAACATATTTGGATAAGATGCAGGGATGCGTAGGATGTAAATGGATTTTGACAGACACAAAAATACTCCCGGTTTGGAATCTATGCCTCTACACTTCATGATTGAATTATGACCCTAATAAGTGGCCTATACATCAATACAGTGCTGAATATAGGTCAACAAGATACTAGTGTGCATATAAATGTAATAATTGAAGCAGAATACTCATTTTGAAAAATCAGATGAATTATTTTTTTCCCATGGGGAGATCCCAAAGAAGTGTGTAAGGTCCTTTGTGAATTTACAATTTTTAAGTTTTGGTCGCTCACGGCAGCCCTGGTGTCACTTTTAGTCTCTAAATCCACGAGAAAACAAAGAATTTTAAATTGGATGGTGTCATTTTGTTAGGAAATGATTTATCTTTCAAATGATATAGAATACATAGCATGGTTTAACATATATCATATGAATCATTCATCTTTAAACTTGGGTATTTTTTGGCCCACCCTGTATATTGGGTTCTCACTGGCCTGGGGTACCAGGCTTACCGTACTCGTAGAGTTCTAGCAATCTGTACCCGGCGGGATTATTGAGCATGCCGAATACCGTTCGGCAGCGAACGGTGGTTGTCGGTACAATGATGGCAAAGTTCCCTGAACGTAACGGGTAACGTCCCACCGTGTATCCATGCCGTACATCGCCATCTGCCCAAATTTATTCACCCGGTGGCGAACGGTGAACCGACACGACTATGATATGTGACAGCTACTTTAAACACAGTCACCTAGACAGTCCAGGTGAGTACAGTAGATGTGTTGCTGTTGATGTGTTGAGTGTGTTGACTTCCTAAGGACAATGTGATAATCCATGGACCCCTATCATGGATATTCATGTATAGCCTGTTAGCGTCCTCAAAATTACATAACTGAACTTACACTTTTCAAGTTGCACCCCCTGATTATACAAATAGTGCAAGTCGACGACAGTGGGATAGCCCTCGACCGGAAGGACGAAGAGGGCTAGAAAACTATTCCGCGAAGCAGCCAGCAAGCTCTCAATTGTATTATGTGGCCACCATAGTAGGCCCTGATGGAAATCCAGAATTAATGTGACATCAGCTTTGACACTTCCCCACCTAAATGGAATGCTTATTTTATCAGCTGGTGCACATATTAGCAAACTATATGGATAAATACTAACAAAAAGTATACAGGGTGGTCCAAAAAAAGTGAACCCCTGCAACAGGCTACAATTTTCTTAATACATGCATGAATTGGCTCATATTATCACATGTTGTAGAGAAAGGTCTAAAATTTTGGTTGATGTCATAATTTATTCTCAGTCTTAAATTTTGAAAAAATTACAAGCATTTAACAAACATGCATGGAAATTAGATATTGTACAAAATTTTACAAATGTGATTCACGGAAATTGTTGAAACACATTGGATGATGTTAAACAGCTTTCAGTTAGAGATACAAGTTTAAAACCCTACCATATGACAAAGGGGACACTATTCAAGCAGAAAACACATTTCACACTTTCATTGATCGTTTTGAAGCATTTTTAACTGTTCAACAGTTCAGGGGTATATTACCTACACCAACAGTTAGAGGGGGGCTTCTTATGGAAGGAAGTTGCCCCCTGTGACCAGGAATCTGATAACCTCTTCATCAAATATCTTTAAAAAATCAAAAGAAAATTCAATATTCAATGTTTTGAGCCATATATCATTAGAATTGGTCCATGATTTATGAAGATATTGACATTTCAAGATCATATAGGGGTATGTTCATGATTTCACTGGAAAATGTTTTCGTCTGTGGAAGCTTAGCACATCTCTTTGGATCACAATAACTTTGCAACTAACAAATGTAGGATGCTAGTTTTAAGCCATAATATGCAAGATTTAAAATTGAACAAAGTCAGAAGATATTAGTTCTTTAAGACTGCAGCTTAAAAAATTCTCAGGGGAAAGGTGTTAAAGGGTTGAAGAATCGCGGATATTGAAAATCACAATTTGTCCATTTTCAGTAATGTTTGGTTAGGGCTTATGATTTCTGCAAATTTCAAGACTAAGAAAAATGTATGGTACCAACATAAATTTTAGACCTTCCTCTACAGCATGTGAAAATAAAAAATAATTCCTGCAAGTAATACGGGAAATATGGCCAGTTGCAGGGCTCGCTTTCACCCTGTATATTTAGTGCCTATTGAAATAACCATTTTGTATTATATCTTCCTTGACCATTCAAAGTTAACTATGTATTAAACGTTCTTTTGTTGGGCAAGATTTTAGAGAGTGGAAGGAGTGAAAAGACTGTGCGAAAAACGTTTATCTAATTGTATACCTTATACCAAAGAGAATGACAATCTCTTCGAATTCAGACAATATTGCAACTCACCTTAATCTTGTCACTTGTACTTCTTTTACTAAATCAGCTATGCTTTGGGTCATGAGGTAAGCATAGACCTGAAACAAAGGACGGGCTGCACATTATCCGCATGATTTCCTCAAAGAATGTATAGATTATAGTTGCTTATTATGTTCGTATTTTGGCATGTAGGAATCATTGAACAGCAAGCAAGGAAGGATTATTGATCTAAACGTGCGTTTCAAGAAAAACTTACTGCCGTTTGGATTTGCTCTTTTAGATCTTCATAGACTGTTGATGATTCATCGTTGATGTCCTTCTCCTGTACACCAGCAACTTCCATCTTCAGAGTGAAGTTAACGTTTATATCTAGACCCTGTGTGTTGGGTTCTTTAATTGGAGATTTAAGTGCAACATTGTGACCATGAGCTGACAGGAGCAACTCAGAATTCCAGAATAATCCTAAATTAGAAATATAACAAGTGTAAAATGTAATCCAGATCCAACGATTACAGAACGCGGTATATAACCATGCACTATCACATGTACAATGCATGACTAGCGTCTAAGTAGACATAAAAAGATATAAAGTACCATTTGCATTCGTTCGACTCTACTTCTTAAAAGAGAGCTTTTGGTGCCAAAAAGTGCTTCGTTGCCTTAAAGAATAATCTATCAATTTTCAAATAATAACTAAAAGCATGATAAAAGCTAAAGTTATACGCTTTCAAAAATAGCAGTTATCTCGAAATCCGCGAAATCAATGTAACGTGAAATGGAATAGTCAGCAATTTTAATTTCAATTGTTTTTGTCTTTAGCATTCATATTTCAAGATGTAAAGCAAACGCCAATCAGTCATTTGGTATGCATATGTATGACTTGGAATTGTAATTTCAGTCCATGGTGTTGCCTAGCAACCACCTAGCAACGACACAAACATCGAAAACCTGAAATTGAAAAATTGGGGGTAGGGGAGATTAAAAACAATTATCTAAAATTTGGAAAATGCATAATCATTCATAACATAGGCAATAGTGGCTTGATTTTCATGAAACAAAGCATATTGGAAAGAAAATTCAATATGCTAAATGATCTATCAAACAGAGCAATAATCATATTTTTGTATTTCATGAAGTAACAATCAATATTTTATGAATTTCAATTTTATTGGCATTAAGTTCAAACTATCATAACTTTGCCCCTCTACTCCCAATCACCTTGGGTTTTACACCAAAATGGTGTATAGTTAATGCTACTAGTTACTACGGAGACGCAAACATTTATTGCAAAAAGTACTCTTGAAAAATCGAGAGAGGGGGGGGGGGCGGATTGACCTCCACCCCCTGCAGGCATTAGGGTTAAATGTTAAAATGAGAAACTGCAGAACTATTTAACTGCTGCAATGCAAAGCAACTTTGATCTTATTAGTTATTTGGGACGATGATATTGAATGATCGAGTACAACACATGTACATGATGAAGAAAAGAAACCACAGTTCAGTTGTTATTTGCTTTAATGCGAATATATAGGCCACAGTACTCTTTTACTTTAACTAAACATTCGCACAATAAAAAAAGTACATAAAATAACTCATAAATAAGGCAGGCACACACACAAAAGCTGTTTCATTGTAGTTGAGGAACCAAAATCCACGGATAGTTGTATAACAATAAAAAATAGATTCAATGACTATATTTTCATTTCAAAAATGGGCATGAGTACGTAAGTCTTATTTGATTTACAACCTTCGCCAGGGGCTACCCGTACGTATAATAACATTCACTTTGTCATGTTAATTATTTATGTACGTTATTTATCAATTTGAATAATAACACACTCTAATATGTACCATATTCATATATCCCTGCATCTGTTTAAATTATTCTTTTGTAAGTCATCTTTATCCTTTGTGATAACCTTCAACTGTCAAAGGTTTCAGTAGTTGTTAAACTATTGTTCTTTTCTTTGTTGTATTGTTGCAGGAATGCGTTATAATGTATTTGAACATACTAAAGAAGTTAAATGCCTTCGGATAGAAAGTTAAGATAAGTTCGCTTTCGATTCAGTATTGCAAATATAATGTTTATATGGTGATACGCTGTAAGAACCAGTCTCGACCTTGTCGACCATGAAAATTGATGAAGTAAAGGAGCCCATAGGATTATGCAGCCGACTTCAAACTGCTATCTTTGACTATGGTGATTTTCTGACCATGAAGACAAATGGTGTCATTCTGTCAAAAAGCTTCGTATTGATGATTTTGCAATGAGTAATCTTGAAAAGTACCTTCATGAGTAAATTGCATTTTCATTGACAAAGAGTCCGATCAATCTGATTATCTTTTGTTTAAACTGTCATTATTGATATGTGCTTGGACGTAAGCTTACATCGTAATCCAAAAACAAGGGAAACCCAAGATATAACACCCCAAAGAGAGAGGCACCGTGGCCAGTGGCACCGGCAACATTTGCTGAAATCAAGCTGCTGGATTTCAAATGGCTATAGATTCAAAACTTCCGAATAGCCATATACACATTTTTGCAGATTAGCTCAATTTTCATTGAAATCTATTTAGCATTTTTGAAGTTGAATAATGAATCGTATACGTACCAAATATTAATCCAAAATAATGAATCGTATACGTACCAAATATTAATGAATCGTATACGTACCAAATATTAATGAATCGTATACGTACCAAATATTAATGAATCGTATACGTACCAAATATTAATCCAAAATAATGAATCGTATACATTAATGAATCGTATACGTACCAAATATTAATGAATCGTATACGTACCAAATATTAATGAATCGTATACGTACCAAATATTAATCCAAAATAATGAATCGTATACGTACCAAATATTAATGAATCGTATACGTACCAAATATTAATGAATCGTATACGTACCAAATATTAATCCAAAATAATGAATCGTATACATTAATGAATCGTATACGTACCAAATATTAATGAATCGTATACGTACCAAATATTAATGAATCGTATACGTACCAAATATTAATCCAAAATAATGAATCGTATACGTACCAAATATTAATGAATCGTATACGTACCAAATATTAATGAATCGTATACGTACCAAATATTAATGAATCGTATACGTACCAAATATTAATGAATCGTATACGTACCAAATATTAATGAATCGTATACGTACCAAATATTAATGAATCGTATACGTACCAAATATTAATCCAATCACGTGCATCTTTTTCGTTTATAAATCCTTTGTCAGATGGAAAATTATCGGTCAATCTGTAAATAATGCTTGCATTTTGTAGAGTTAATAGCTTTTCTCTGTTATTCTATATTTTCATTTGTCCTAATAAGAGATCTAATTTATTTCCCTGACACAGTACTGTACTTTGCCAATGTATTTAACACAACTTGCTGTACTATCTCATCACTTAAACTTTAAACACTCATAAAATACCAATTAGCACATTCTCGTTGTCAGCAATTGACAACAAAAATATAAACACAAACACATCATTTGTGAAGTGTTTAAAAGAAAATTCAATCATAATAAAATGGGAATTTCAAGGACCAAAAGTCCGAGATTCTGATCGACGATGGGAATGATACATAAAAATGAATTCGAAATATATTCTGTACAACTGAAATGTTAGCGATTGTAATTAAAAATCTGATTTTGAGGGATATTATTGATTCTTGCTTGGATGTAAGAGTATTAAAAAATAATGAAATAAAACATAACCTACACTGAGATCTATTTCTGGGATTTGCCTTCTTTTTATTGGCATATATTAAAAGTCATATCAGATCATCTGAGCGATTTGAATGAATTGATTAATTCGATATGAAATTCTTTAGTAAAGCAATCCTTCGATTTTAAGCAGTTATTTTGGAGCTTTATTAATATCTTATTTTAGCTACGTGTATTACCCATATCGGATAAAGAGAGGGGAGAGATGATGGGAGAGAAACGATTTATGCAATTAATTAATTAATTGATTTGCATGAGCTAAACTTAAGCATGGTTGGGGAATAATTGTCCAAGACAGCAGAAATGACATGAATAGAAGCAATTGCTCAATACAGATAATTAAACTGCCAATTCCATACGAATGTTAAATGAAAAACGATTAATTTTGGAATTTCAATAAAATGTGATAAATGGCCTTCTCTGGATAAGAGATGTATTAAATCGCATTGGATTAGATCGTTAGATTCGAGGAGCATAGTCGTATTAATCGATGTCGCAACCAGAGCCCGATGAGATTTGTGCGCAGATTAGATCCCACTCGTTCGGCAGTTTCGGAGCATCAGTGAGAAACTTCGTGTGCTACCTATCAAAGAGGAAATTTTCAACCATGGATGGCCAAGGTAAATAAAAGGAAATTACACGTACACAAACAGAAGTTTAGCAAGTATACATGTATATTAATTTTATTTAGTTAGATTTTTATTGTTAGTGCATTTCTACTGGCGTTTCAGCGACTTATAACTTATACGGCATCATTAGAAATACGATTGCATTTGAAGCAGCCGAAACGTCCGCTGTAGCCTAATGTAAATCATCTTGGTCAGTGTTGGGAAATTATATATATTATAAAGATAGTTTTTCAAATAGGTCTGTTTTACTTTTTAAAGAGTTGCTGGAGTAACTTTCACTTATTCTGAATTAACGAATAACAGCGCAATTTTCTTGATATTTATAGAAACAACGAGCAGTGAAATAAAGATAAATTACCGTCCTATTTTACGCAAAATATAAGTGTAAAATATTCATAAACATTAGGCTCTAGCATGAGAAAATGTCACGACCTGCGAATGAATACAAATGTGTAATAACAATTGTTCCAGACGAATGTCGAATTTTAAATCTATAGTCAGATTTGAATTTCTGAGAACTAATTGATTTTGAAAAAATATCAATTTGAAGTTCGAAAAATACCCTTTTGACCTTTAAAAGGTCATTGAGAGCTTGTAGATGAAAAAATTGGTCAATTGAAGAAGTTCGAAGAATACTTATTAAACCTGTAAATTAACAATGTCATTGAGGGTCAATTCAAATCCAAAGTCAGATTTGAACTTATGAGAAGTTGTAGTGGATGGGAAATGAATCGTTTAGAAATTAGGTGCAAAAGTTGGAGTCATGTAATTGTAAATGTAGATTAATAATTAATTAAATAATATTTAAGGAGATAATTTTGACATGGGAGGTGATATCATTGGAAGAAATGCACCAAAGCATATCTACTTGGAAAAACGGCTTCTTTCAGACTGAAATAAGTGACTTTTCCGTTGATATTGGATATTTTGGCATGCGGTTTTTAATTTGAGAAAAATCGCATAATAATTTGTCACCGATCTCTTTCGGCCTAACTATTGCTCAAAGATACATAATGTAGTTGTCAAAAAGAGATTCACCTTTTGGGGAGACTCGATATATTTACAATCTCTTTATGATTGCAGATTTCAAAGATGTGGTAGTTGCCAAAAATGAGAAACTAATGGCCGCATATAAGGCAAAGAACTTCCCGGCTTGTGCGGAACTGTACAGCGAAGATTGTCAGATATTTCCACCCGGGGCTCCAGCCACACCCGGGCGACAAGGTAGACACGGTGTGTTTAAGCATGACATTCAATGTATTTTCTACGTTGTACAGACCTAGGTCAGTCAATTAATTGAAAATAGGCTGATTTGTGTCGTTTTTGATTTGATTTTCCGGATCGGCATATATATACCGGTTCAGAATACAAACATAAGACCAGTGGACATGGTCTGTATAAATAAAGTGAAACTTAATCATTTCCAGGCGTAATAGACGTCTACTCTAAGACGTATGCATGTGGGGCAGAGACGCTGGTGAACAGTACAGACGAAGTGATGTGTTGCGGTGAGTTAGGGGTCGAACTCGCATCCTACAAGTTACTCAAGCCATCGGGAAACATCATGGAACACGGCAAGTAAGTTTCCAAGATTTTATTGGAGATAATTCAGATAGTTCTTTGGAGATGAAATCAAAATCAGTTTATATAATTTTAACGAAATCTTAGTTTTCAACGGACGTACCGCGCAACGGGTGGGCGGTTGAACATCCTTATAGAACTTCGTTCAGGGGAATAAATAATATCATCAAATTAAAATGGTTTGGCAAAAAATGAATAGTAAGATTTTAGTTTATTTTCACTTCACTTCTTTTTACAGAAAAACAAGATATAGCAGTTTTCGCTTTTCAAGGCGGTGGTTGAAGAGTATTCAGTATTTGAACTCCTTGTTTTTGCAGGGCCATTGTGGTGTGGAAAAAAACAAAGGGAGAATGGCTTCTACATTGGGATATATTTAATGCTAACAAATAATAGAAGACTTATACATTAGCCTGATAAATTTAGATATTGTTCACAATGGAGGCATCACTTTCATCCAAAGGCTATGACCTGACGTAGCGTACACTTCAAAAATGTTTGTGAAATATAGTTTATAGTAATCATTATTAGGATATGTGTCTCATTATGTTGAACAGTAAGTAGTCTTGGAATTATCCCATATACCCCACTTTACTAAAAATCAAGTAACAAATATCTGAAAAATAGGGATGTATTTATTAAATCATATCAGTCAGAGAAGTAAATGTTCGTTTTCTTGGTAATCTTCAATTGTTCAAAATAAATAATAATCGTACAGTAGCAAATATCAGAGTTGTTTCATTATCTTTATGCAATTTGTTCACAATAAATAATAATCGTACAGTAGCAAATATCAGAGTTGTTTCATTATCTTTATGCAATTTGTTCACAATAAATAATAATCGTACAGTAGCAAATATCAGAGTTGTTTCATTATCTTTATGCAATTTGTTCACAATAAATAATAATCGTACAGTAGCAAATATCAGAGTTGTTTCATTATCTTTATGTTTCATTATCTTTATGCAATTTGTTCACAATAATATACGTATGTAAGACCCGTCATCAGTTCGAAACCTGCGATAAGCTTTAAAAATCGACCAAAGTTTCGAAATTTGTAATTTCGTTAAGAAACAAACTTGGCACGTGCCCAATAAACTAAAGCAGAACAAGGCACATGGTAATCATGGTTTTCCTGGAATCGTGATGACAAGATTTATCTAAAAACTTGGCTGCCAGAATGCAAGATGGCCACTGAAAAGTTAATCCGCTCTAGAACTTTTTACCCTTTAACATGTGTAAAAATTTGAAGTAACTCCGTTTAGTGGTTTTCCTGGAATCTGGATGACAAGATTTATCTAAAAGAAGCTTTCAAAAAGGCCGCCAGAATGCAAGATGGCCACCGAAAAGTTAAACAGCTCTAGAACTTCTTACCATGTAACATGTGTGAAAAGGAGTAAATCTGTGATTTTCCTGGAATGACTCTCGAAAACAAGATCTATTTAAAACCTTCCAAGATGGCCGCCAGAATGCAATATTGGCACCTAAAAGTTAATCAGCTCTAACGTCTTACCATGTTACATTTATGAAAATTTGATGTCAATCTGTCAGTGGTTTTCCTGGAATCGCGATGACGAAATTTATCTAAAAAACTTCCAAAATGGCCGCTAGAATGCAAGATGGCCACCAAAAAGTTAATCAGCTCTAGAACGTCTTACCATGTAACATTTATGAAACTTTAAAGTAAATCCGTTAATTGATTTTCCTGGAATCGCGATGACAAGAAAAGTGAGACGCCGCCCACCCGACAATCTGATGAAAATAGGTACAATTAAAATCAAATTCATTTTCAAACAGTTTAATGCAGATTCCCCTTTGAAAGGCGATGACTGGTGAGCGACAAAATCCATCCCAGTAATTTCAATGAGGATTGACATCATATTCTCGACAATTAGTATAAGCATAGAATTCTGCAGATCTTTTAAAATGGGGCAAGTCTCGGGTTAGAACTTTAAAGAATATAAGATTACATATCTGCAAACTTATTTTGAACGCTCGGGTAAGGAGGCTTATACTCGCTTTATACTGAAAGAAAGGCCTGAACTTGTTTCAGATTATTGCAATTTTATGTAAGGGCTTTTTACATTACTCCACCTCCTTCTTCAAAGAGAGACAATTAAAATCAGTATTCGGCTCAAAATAAACCTTTGGTAGTACTATTATAATGTCCCTGTACCCACACTATGCAGGCCTGTAGTCAGAGGGGGAGCTGGGGGAGCGGAAGCTCCCCCCTGGCCAGAAATTCTTTCAAAATCATGCAGTTTTTCACCATTCTGAGAATTTTTCACATGATTTTGAGCCAAAATTGTGAGAAAGCTCCCGGGCTCCCCCCTGGAAAAAAGCTCCCCCTCCTGGTAAAAGCTGGCTATGGGCAAGCTATGAGTTGTAACCAGATTATGTTTGGAAAGGATTAACTTGTACAGAACAAACTCTTTTTGTAATAAATCATTATCATTATTATTTGTTGCCTAGACAATCTCCTTTATATGTTAATAAAATTGTGAAAACATTTAACTTTTTATTTCAGAAACTAACGTTTAACGGCATTTTGTATGAATTGTTCCAAAAACGCTTGGAAATTGGGGTTTCTATGCAAAAATTGATCTAAGGTATGATGACTCATGAATGGTAGCAAACGTTTCAGGAAGGCATACATAATGCACATATTGACTTTCTGAAACTGAGAGCAAGTATCACAGATAGAGGCAGACATGTCTAATGACATACTTTTCATGAATTTCTTCATTTTTAGATTGTAATATCTGTTTTTATGAATTTTGAGATCACAATCAACAAAGCATTAACATGACAAAATGTCACCAACTAGTTTCTCACAATATTGTTTCAATGTTAAGCCAGATTTGAATTCCTGAAGCAAGTTTAAAAATGACCTTTTTGACCTTGAGAAGGTTATTGAAGGTCAAATCTATGGTCAGATTTGAACTTCTGATAACTTGTAGATGATTAAAAAAAAAAAATTGGTCAATTTGAAGCAAGAAAACCATCACAATTTCTACAACATTGAAGATAAGTCACATAATCACTGTGATGATATTATATCTAATTCGAACATGACTGTATTAACAAAGTGTCCCATTTTCTATTGCCCACTCTGTACGTATAAATACTTACTAGGCCTTGTGTATACAAATACAATCATTTTTGCAATGTAAAACTGATCAACAATAAATGAATCAATAATTTGTCATTGCTTATATTATGTAATGTACATGTATGTCTATCTTGTTCAGCGATTAGCACCACAATTGTGTTATTTGAGCAAGTACAATTTATATGTTGCCTCATGATTGCCTCATGATTTCATCTTTTACATTACAATTTCTCTCAAGCCAAGTGTCTTTCAGAATGAAAAGTCTTAAAGGACAAAGATCAACAATATCACAACATAAGCCCACAAACGATAATCAATAATGCTCGTTATAAGGGGTAAATGCTATTATATTGTTGTATTCCATACCTACTGAGGTTCTAGGTACACACTGAGGGGGAATATATTGTGTATCTAAGAAGCGATATCCAAGGCCAAGGACTGGGATGGATACAGGCTGTATTCATCCCTGTCCCACTCCTGAAAAACGAACTCAATAAAGGTATATTTTGAAGTTATGTTGTACATTGTATGTTTTAAATCTTGATATCAGATCTCACAAACATGAACAACCTTTTTAAGACTCTGTACCTTAAGTATGTTTTTGAATTCTAGAACCTAACAAAGTAGAATGTACATAGAACCACAATAGGTATGGAAAACACCTGTTATCTACAGTCGGTTTTGGATGTAGGTTTTATCCCTCAGGAAACATGTATATCATCCTCATTTCCGGCAGCCCCTCAGGAGATACACAGATTTCTTATGAGATAAACTCTGTATCCTCTAAACCTCCAAGTACATAACCCTTATCCAGTATATTGTACATTTAATTTTAAAGTAAAGCAATTTCCAAAAATCAATGAATGGTCAAAATCAAATTTGAATTATCTTTTTTGGACATATTGAGCTGGTCCCCTAGAATGCAATCAAAGTTGAACCAATATACGGCATATCTCGCTCACTTCACTTGCCTAAGTTAATGAAATATAACCATGCAATAATACATCAGGCATGAGTAAGGGATTATTTTCTCCTGAAAAGCAGGACCTGTAAGTCTAGTGAAGTATTGTTAATATGATGAGGCTATTGTATTAGCATGGGAAGTTTGTCTGATCATGCAGTGATTTTTCTAAATGATTTTTATCACCCTATAGACACTCAAGTTCTCCCTGTGAGGAGTATACATTGACCTTTCTGAGACCATTCATTCATATATTTTAAATAGGTACATGTAATTGTTAAAGTCAAGGAACAAAGCTCAAGTCCGTGGTGATTCTAGAGTATCTGATTCAGCTCCATCTTTATTAGTCTCAGGAACTTTACTTTTTTCTGCTTTAATAAGTTCTTTCAGTTTGAGCATGATGTCATCAGGGTTTGAGGCGGCTGTGGGGGAAGAGGGGCCACTGCTTGAACAGGTGCTAGATGGCACACTATACACATTAGCTGAAAGACAAGGAAAAAATTTACTCATTACTCAAATAACATATAAGCAGGGGTGAATTACAAATCATTATGTATCCATTATTTCAATGGTTAGATTCATTTTTACTCACATACTTATTGGACCTTTCTACTGATCTAATGATCAAACAATGACACACAGATGATGCTTCCAATGTTATAGCATATTCTTTATTTCTAGTGCTACACAAAGAACAACAGGCTCTAGAATATGAATTTAGAGGTTCTTGCAAATAAATCAATTTTAAGTCTTGATAAGCTTTGATATTGTTTTTTAGTTGAAGATGAGATATAGAAAGAATATCAAACATGTCAAAGCGAGGACACATCATTGGTCCGAAACCCCTATAGTCCAAATCCTGTTGGACAAAATCCCATTGGTCCAAATCCAAAACTTCTGAATCCCAATCGTCTGAATCCCAATTCTCTGAATCTCAATGGTTCAAATCCCAATTGTCCGTCTCCCGTTCGTCCAAAACCTTACAAAAATTTACAATTGTCTATATGATATTTTTCGAGGAACCACAGCGAAAAATGATACGAAGGATAAGCTCAACATATCTAAAAGGAAGATTTTCAGTTTGGAGAACCAACTTCATCTGCATATTTCAACGTTATCAATGTCGCCAAAGATTTTCATATTTTTACGTTTTGTAGATTTAAATGTCCTCTTTAACTTTAGTTATAATGATGGTAATATTTTTATGAAAACAATATTACATAGCGAACTGTTGTTTTCACTGAGTATGGTATGATTGAGTATCAATGCTTTTTTCACAGATATAAGTGTGATGTCATAACAATGGAGCTTTGTTACCATGCATATCCATGCATTTTCTACAATATATGTTGTGATGTCATAACAATGGAAAGTTGGGGTTCCATTAATCTGAAGCTGTTTTACATCAAGTTTTACTTAGTTTTGTCAATAAAAAGGTGAAAATATAGGATTATACAGTTATATGAGAAAAAACATTCATGTACTCATCCTGTGCAAAATTGTCCATTTCTTGATGAGTATTGATAATGTTTCTTTATCTCGTCTTCAACACGATTACCACTATATCTTGCATGGGGTACAACTGGCAGTTTCTTGATTAGTGGTATGAGACTTACCTTGAACGGGGTTAACATGCATTGTCACATAGCATATAATATCTAACCTAAACAGGGACAATGTATGGCAATGGGCTAAAACATGCACTGTCACAGAGCTTACCATATAATGTCTTACCTAAACAAGGGTGATGTAAGCATAGCATGGCTGTAGACCAAATACATTAATCTCTTACCTTGAACTAGGCCAGTCAAGGACAGAGAACTACTGCACTAGTATAAGGAGCAGGGATACCGTTAGTCATACTAAGCAGGAACATACTGGACATACATACAGTATGCAGGACAATATTGGACTGCAGGATTTATTGTATATTTATGATAGATATTGTATTACCTTGAACAGGGACATGTATGGCCATGAAGTCTACATACTGTATTACCTTGAATAGGGACATGCATGGCCATAAAGCCTAGATACTGCATTACCTTGAATAGGGACATGCATGGCCATAAAGCCTAGATACTGCATTACCTTGAACAGGGACATGCATGGCCATAAAGCCTAGATACTGCATTACCTTGAACAGGGACATGCATGGCCACGAAGCCTAGATACTGTATTACCTTGAACAGGGACATGCATGGCCATAAAGCCTAGATACTGCATTACCTTTTACAGGGACATGCATGGCCACAAAGCCTAGATGAGTATTACCTTGAACAGGGACATGCATGCCCATAAAGCCTAGATACTGTATTACCTTGTACAGGGACATGCATGGGCATAAAGTCTAGATATTGTATTACCTTTAGCAGGGACATGCATGGCCATAAAGTCTAGATAATGTATTACCTTGAACAGGGACATGCATGGCCATAAAGTCTGGATACTGTATTACCTTGAACAGGGACATGCATGGCCATAAAGCCTAGATACGTATTACCTTGAACAGGGACATGCATGGCCATAAAGTCTAGATATTGTATTACCTTTAGCAGGGACATGCATGACCATAAAGTCTAGATAATGTATTACCTTGAACAGGGACATGCATGGCCATAAAGTCTGGATACTGTATTACCTTGAACAGGGACATGCATGGCCATAAAGCCTAGATACGTATTACCTTGAACAGGGACATGCATGGCCATAAAGTCTAGATATTGTATTACCTTTAGCAGGGACATGCATGCCCATAAAGCCTAGATACTGTATTACCTTGTACAGGGACATGCATGGGCATAAAGTCTAGATATTGTATTACCTTTAGCAGGGACATGCATGCCCATAAAGCGTAGATACTGTATTACCTTTAACAGGGACATGCATGGCCACAAAGCCTAGATACTGTATTACCTTGAACAGGGACATGCATGGCCATAGAACCTGGACTAGATACTGTCTTAGGATTATAGTAAGAACCTGGAGTGGATGGTTGTCGGGGTGTGCTTGATCCTGGGGTCCGGTTGGTCATTCGCTGGAAGAACTCCTCAATTTGCCTCAATGTCAAGGCATTGTGTAGTGTCTCAAGTGGTCTGATTGCAGGAATATTAGCCCACATAGGAGCTGAAATATGAAAAATATGAAAAAATGACACACATTGTCTAAATAATCACACTTTTGGTACTTAAAGGTTTGAAGAAATTAGGGATACTCAATTGAATATGCTATTACATTATAGTAGCGTACATTTCTTTCTAGTGACTTATTGTATCATGAGTTAAAATTGAGTATTCTGCATCAACATAGAATTCTGTATTGCAATGAAGCATAATAATGGGAGTAAAAAGTGCAAATACACACATACACAATGCACCTACATGTACTGTCAGATAACAAGTAAATACAAGCGATTGTGCCAGAGATTCAGTTTCATTCAAGCGCTATAAGCAAAAGACACATTCCATTAGTGGATCCATTCATTGTATGATAAGATGGTTTATTCAAGAACCTTATTCATCAAATAAATGAAAAGCTAAAACATTTAGCCGTGAAAAACAAGATACTATATTAGTAACCTTTAGATCCAGGATATAAGCTTGCTGGGGCTTATAACTACAGCATATATATACAATATAAGATAGCCATGAGTGAGGGAATGAGGGAGTGTGATATGTTATGGAATATAACAGAATATGAGGATGGTTGCTAACACGAAGCATAAAACTTTGTATGTGAAGAGTAAAAAGCATACTTGTTTGAACATGTAGGAACTATTAATTAGTATTACCTAAGGTTGGTCTATGACTCTATGTAAAAACAAAGTTTAACACATAATGCATTCACTTATTCGATGAGATGTACATTGTATCAGAAAACATTGTACCAATGCGCATTGAACTGAAATCCAATATACCCAAACCATCGTTTTTGAAGTTATAAGGTGGGAGATTATAAGTACCATTGAATTGCTAGTGGACATTCTCATCAATTCATATCCAAACTGCTGTGTAAAGGTGTTTAGAAAATTTAACACATGTGAAAGTGATGATGGCTGTTCTTGCATGGCAATATAAAAAAGCAAGGGGTTGTGGGTTCAATCCCCATCAGTGTGGACTGACCTTTCACATGACACTACAGTACTAAGAGCATGCAGGATTTAATTCTGTGTTCTCATTCACCAATCTTTCACAAGTAATATCAGACTAATGACTTCCAGTTTGAAATAAATGTAATTTCTTAGCAAAGTGCCAATATTCTAATCACTTATACCCCTGTTACTTTGGTTGCAAATGAAAAAATAAACATCATGCTGCCATTTTGGATCTTATTTTATGAGGCACAAATCTGAAAAATGATACATTTGCAATCAACTCTAAATCAATCTCAAAATTAATGAAAAGGAGGAGGGAAGTTAGCGCAACAGATTTTGGACAGTCATATGTTTGATTTTGGCCATTTCATGGGGATTTAAACAGGTGCATATGTTAGGCGAATGCATTACCTCCAGGAAAATCACTTCTAGAGATGATAAAATAATTTCGACTTTGAGACAGGGTAGATGCAAACAACCCACCCACATGTTTTTTCTGAAATGTTTTCCTGATTTTGGACCCCTTCCATCCTTGCTTTTTTAATTTTTCTTGCATCAATATTTTGCTTTTTGACACACAGTTAATCCCTTAAAAGGAATAAATGATTCCTTTTAGATAAAGTGGAAAACAATATTTCCCATGTTATTTTCCCATAGGAAAAATCATTGCTTTCAGCTAAGTTTGGTCACCCATAATGGGTATCTTTAAAACCCCAAAAGGAATCACTTATTCCTTTAAAGTGGTTAACTATGTTTCAAAATGCAACATATTGATGCAAGAAAAATTAATAAAAAGCAGGGATGGAAGGGGTCCAAAATTAGGAAAACATTTCAGAAAAAACATGTGGGTGGGTTGTTTGCATCTCAAAGTCCAAATTATTTTATCATATCTAGAAGTGATTTTCCTGGAGGTAATGCATTTGCCTAACATATGCAATTGTTTAAATCCTCAGAAAATGGCCAAAATCCAACATATGACTGTCCAAAATCTGTTGCGCTAATTTCCCTCCTCCTTTCTGTTTTCCCGATCGGGCTGAAAACATGAAATGCATGTGAAATAGATATATTTTATGGATAAACAGTTATAGTTATACCATGGGTGCAAAGATTAGCTAAAAAGTAACCTCTGAACAGATGAGACACTTTTACAAAGTAGGAGCCCTCGCTGCCCACACAGTCCAGTCATAAATCAATTCAAACCAACCATGCTAACATTTTCTCAACCAATCAGCAAGCAGAATACAAAAATGCAATTGAATGTTGATTAGTATTGGTCAATACAGGGAAAACAATAACTTCAGAGGAAATGTCCGTGGATAGAAAATCGTTCTTTCATTATATCTCTAACAATAAATATTTCACTCAATCATGGAAGCAATTTTGTCTTACCATTCGAAAACAGTTAGTAATTATTAATATGATAACCGATCCTACTAGAAAGTATTGAGCTGCTTAATATAATGGTAGGCTTAAGTAATCAAAACTAGGGTCTAGTAGTAAAGCAATACTAGTTTGGTGGACTTAACAGATGCTTTGTAAAGTTGAGAATTCCTAAATTTCAATGTTCTCTTCTATTCAGGATTTCCTAACTTTATGAACTTCTGTTAAACCCACTCGTTAAAATCTAGCAAAATATAATGAATTGTGATTATTGAACTCATTATAGCACATGTTTATTTGAAATTTATATTCTGTTGAGTATACTGTGGCCACAAGACTATTGCTTTGCTTGTTATCAAATGTTGAGTTATCTGAACGTTACCTGACAATTGCTATAGAATATAAGATACCCATACATACCTTATTAAAAATCACAATTCATGACATTTTTAGGAACCATCACCTAGTACATGTAGTAGTGCAAAGTAAGGCTCAAATAAATGACCTCATCTGCACTAAGGTCCAATATACCATTGGAAAGAGAGTGAGAGTGTCAGCTTTAAGAATCAGACCGCCATTAGAATTTTTGGTGATTGCAAAAATAGATATTAACCCTTTCATCCACAAGGGGTCATTTATTAATTTTATGAAAATAAATACCCCTATGGCCAGAATGGATTATATTTAGGTTAACAATTATGAACCTAATGTCGAATTAGTTAAGTATCGAGAAATGTAGAATACAAATTACTTATTTTCTCCTAAAAATATTAGATTGCAATGAAAAATTATGAAGCAAACTAGAAACTTGCAAATTGTTTTCATGGATATTTGGGTGGTAATTTCAAAGAGAAAATGTAAACACAACCACAAAGTTAAAACATCCTAATTATATACTGTTGTGTTGCTTAGACCACAAACTTTCTTGTTATGGACTTTAAGAGTGAAGATAGAAATCAATTGCCAAAACATTTTTTGATTGAAAAGGCCCAATTGATTTCTTAATTTTACCCCTTGGTGATGAAAGGGTTAATACCTAATTTTGCATATAGTAGAAAATTTAAATGGAACTTAGATTCTTAAATCTGACAGTCTCAGCTTCCCAAGGGTATTATGGAACCTCTGCACCACAGAAGAGGTAATCTAAAAATCACAAAGGACCGCACTTAAGTTTGCATTTGGATTGGCTGTACACTGCAAGTCAGTGCCATTTCAATGCTGATATGTTTATACAGTATTCTCATGATAATTTAGGAAAAACATGTTGGCTTTCAGTTACCAATGAATTTGGTTCATTTTCTACACTGTTTGGTACGATTTTGGCACTAAATATTTCTTTTCTTTTGACATATTGCATTTTACAGCATCAGTGACAACCACACCAGAAGCAGACATGATAATTATTAATTAATGCAGTCCAAACACATTAACATAGCTGACTAATGACTAGTCCATACCCTGTGAATCTGTAATATTAAAGCCTGGAGTATCAAATCCATCCATGAGGTTTGGAGCACTACTTGACCCTCGGATCACCCTAGTACTTATAAGGCTTGTCCTGGAGCCTAAATACATATAGAAAGAAACATCCATACACAGCTACCTTGGAAATAAGGCAGAAGAAAGCACGGATAAGGCACATACACCACCCACCATTCAGCTACTTGAGGTTGAGCCCAACAACAGAAAAGAGCAGGTGATCATTTTTGATGTAAGAAAAAGTGACTTGAGAACCTTCAATTCATTAAAGCTACAAAAACACATATATGTTTAACAACTAGAAATTGGCAATGCCATGGAGTAGCAAATCCCAACGGACATTATTAGCATGAATCTGTTTCTATCAAAATGTAGTATTTACCATCTACTCTACCCTTGATTTGCAGATGATAAAAGACAGACATTGGACATATATCAGAATTTCCATAAATTTAAGCATTTTGGTGACCATTAAGAAGTATCAAAGGCTCAAATCATAAAGAAAATACAATATTTGAGACCTAACATAGTGTAATATAATCCTATTTCGAAGAGATCTCTAAATTATAATAAATTCTTGCTTTATCATCATCAGTAGCCATTTTGAATTTTCTCAGGCATAAATCAGAAAAATACCATAATTGTGATCTACTTCAAAATTCCTTTAATTTGAGAATGATATAGCCATGCAAAATCCGACATGAGACAATCTACTCTAAATTGCCTTTCATAGGGTCAGGTTGGAAAACATCGAAAATATGTGAAATACATGTAAATATATGTTGTGAATACACTACCAAAATCTCAGATAGTAATATTTATAAATTTTGGTTGAAAAAGAAAAAAATTAGATTTTGCACAAAAATCCTACCATTTTCAAATCAGCGGGCATCTTGGAAAAAATATTTTTGTGCAAATCTATTCACCAATAAACATCTTTCAACCAAATATGCAGAAAATCCATCAACTTGCATTTGAGTTATCATCAGGACAGACGGACAGTCTGACCGACCAACTGACCGACCGACCGACTGACGGACATAGGGACAGACTGATTGATGGAAGTAGGACTTCACTATATCCCTATCGAACTTAGTTCGTTGGGATAATAAAGAATATAACATGGAGAAAATGGAATTAGAAATTGACTTTTTAATTAATGCAATAAGACTAAGAAATGTCATGCGTGTAAGGTAACATGCATCTACTTGCAACCTAAATCTTAAGAACACTTAGTAATTCCTGAAAGCCTCTATTTTATTTGCAAAGTTATCATTCTATAGGTTAAGTAAGGGTATACTTTACATGGTGATATATGAAGGACATTAATGATAAAACTACTTCATACATAACAGCTGAACAAACTGGCATAAAGTATGTCAAACATTTAGACAAGAATATCAGAAGATAGCCTATTATAGTTTCAACAACCCATTCAAAATTAGAACAAACCCAAACATAAAATTTCATGCATGTCATTTACAAATGAACAGTTTTCAATGAACGATCCACAGCACACTGCAAAATTATGAAATATAAGCATGATAATGGCACATTTATATCGGGGTCAAACTCTATTCATAGAAGAATAAATGAAAATAGGAGGGAATAGTATTAGCGATAGAAAAAAACATGGACAACATCTCCCACAATGCATCACATCAAGTAGGACAAATTTTCATTGGTCTATCAATATCAAATTCTCCCAACCTTAAACCATGTTTTTTTGTATTGTCAGGACAATCACGTTTATACTAATAACAAATTACAACACTCACAATAAATACAAATCAAATATAAATATTATACAGTATATATATAAACATATAATCCAACCCATGTTATGTACCAGAGAACTTGCTTCTTGTTTCATATCGAGTTATTGGATCTCGACCTCTGGGAATGAAGTCAGTGACGTCACGATAATGTATTACATGATTTTCAATAGTCAGTTTTGAAAGGTATTCGTGAAAAGCTTTGCAGTTTGTCATAAGGACATATGTCTTTATCGATTGTGCAAATATATGTGACAAAAAGTGTCAAATAAAGGTGAAATGCTGCATTCAAAATCCTGTATATTTCAATGGGAAAAACCCGAATGTACACTGTACCTAAAATGTGAGCTCTTCAACATGGGAGATGAGAATGTTTTTGTAATTCTGAACTATCTTGTATAAGTCTATACTGAAGAAAGACAAATCAGTAATTTTCTGGTATTAATCTAGTTATGCATATCATTTAAAAAAGTTGGGAGTCAACTCCACAATGACAAAATGGACCTTAAGTTAACTAAAATGTTTTATCACAAAACACGCAATGCTCTTGCATCATTGATTTTAATTTTTACATCTTTATCTGGTGTACTATTGTGTATACACTAAGAATAGACTTGAAGCTGCTATTGAGAAATAAATTAATATAAAAGCCGCGCATGCACAAAGTAAAATTTGAAATCATGAGATGGCAGTTATCTCCATTTATTTCATTAGCAATTCTAAACTATAATAATACTATTTCAGTTATGCTATTTAACTGTAACAGAATATTCAGAAAACAATAGCAAACATTCTGAGTTCAATTTTAATGGGAAATGATTCCAGTTTAGAAAATAGGTCATCGAAGGTGACAGTGGCATCTCTCAGATGATTTTGGAAATCTCTTCCTCTGCATGATGCAGAAGTGGTTCTCTTATTCTCAGATTTACATAGCATTTTTAACATTATGGTCTATTAGGCGAGACAATTACACATTTAGTCATAATTATATACTGTACTCCCGGTATTTTTCGCGTGCGATTTAGTTTCACGCTTTTCGCGATAATGAAAAATCGCAAAAATTAATCTTTGCAAAATTGTCAATTAAATCCCTGCCAATTTGTGAAATCTTTCATTACCAGGAACTCAATTGTGTTTTGTAAAATGTTTGTCCACTGTTAACAGGCGATAAATGGGATACTAAGTAACAATATCTGTTACAGTGGCTTATAAACCCCTAAAATGACATGTAATAGAGGTTAAGGTGCTGCGTGCCATTGACAAAGATAACATTAGGTAGGTGTACTTACTGTACATGAGGTTACTTTATAACAGAGCTTGAGGATTCAGAGAATAATGAGATTTTAACTTGTGAAATTCATGAAAATTTAATAGCTACGAAATTGTGTTGACTCAAAATTTGCGAAATTAACAGGGAGTACAGTGTGTCTTCATAACTAGTTCTTTGTGTTGTAATTCAACTTGTTAAAGCAGTTCTGACCACTGCACTTAAAAACCTTTCTGTTTGAAACCCTTTTCTTTTTTTAAGAATTTTAGGGTTTCCTTTCTTCCTGCAATTGTGATTTTATAATTTAAGATTATACCCTATACGTAGTGATCACACCAATTTCAAATGATAGTGGTAAAGACGAACCATGACGATGACTTAGTTGACTTTTTCTGAACAGCTTAGCAGTAATATAGCATAGCTGAGTGCGCATTTTGACCATGTTATAATTATCATAATTTATTGCAGGAAATTCAAAGTGTGTATTCATACGACTGTTTTATCTTTACTATGCGTTTGATTACATTGAAAACACATGGCATGCATAGTGTAATATCTTCCACTTCTAAAACAGCATAGAATCTGAAATAATCATCACAGAGAGTGCTATAGAAATATGACTTAAATATTTTGTTTTTGTTCATTGTGGCTCGTCTTTACCACTACCGTTTGAAATTGGTGTGACCACTACATACTCTGGTGGAGTAAACGATAAAGCCTAGCCATTATGTTTTTCAAAATAACTCCTGCAGACAATTAACCAGGAGGGGCCAATATTGTAGCCAAGGGAACATGTTAAAGGGTCTTTATCTACTGTTTTACTATCACAGAAATAAAATAAGATAAAGCATACCTTTATTGATAGGTTCTGTGATATATGGTGCAAATAAACCAGCAAATGAGTGACGATGCTGCGAATCAGCCAATGGGTGCTGCTTAATCATGTCTGCAAACCAACACAAATCATGCAGTAAATCAATTAATCAATCAGTTAAAACCAGTCAATCAGCAAATTAGTCAATCAGTTAAAAAGATGCTGAACTAAATATAAGTTGGTATTACATCATCATGAACTGAATAAGACTGATGAAACAATTGGTCAGGATAGCAATGAAACCTGCTTGAAAGTGCCACACTTCATACAGTCTATTCCACATAATTTATTATTTTAGAAATACAATATAACAATAAATTAGAAGATGTGAGTAAACTCTTTGCATAGAAAATACTCTACACTACATCTACTCTATGTTATGGGGTTTTTGGATATGGGGTATATCCTTCGAGAGGGCATGGAGGGTCCAAGGTAAGACATCATATTTCCTAAGGGAGAAACCCCATATCCAAAACCAACCATCACATAAGTAATTTATTCTATGACAAGTGACACTGTAAAACAGCTGATAATATGTGTACATAAGCCATTTCCTACAGTACCAACTTTGGCTAAGCACTTAAAAGTGGTTCTAAAATACTGTAAGATCGAGATCTGGAAGCAAGCTTGCAAAAATTGAGCACATAGGGGGAGATTTACAATGGGAGATGCAAAGGGGGAGATATACAATGGGGGATACATAGGGGGAGATATACAATGGGAGATACATAGGGGGAGATATACAATGGGAAATACATACAAGGAGATATACAATGGGAGATAAATAGGGGGCCGAAAGATTTACAATGGGAGATGCATAGGGGAGATATACAATGGAAGATACATAGGGGGAGATATACAATGGAAGATACATAGGGGGAGATATACAATGGGAGATACATAGGGGGAGATATAGAATGGAAGATACATAGGGGGAGATATACGAGGGGTGATCAGGAATTTCTGGACCGTTGGCTCTATTTTTGCCATTTTTTATCCTTTCTTACTGATTTTTTCACATAATATAACCCAAATATATAGGATCACCTCACGAAGATTTCATTGTTCTATGCCATCATTATCTTATTATTTTTGTTACCATGGTAACCGGTGACGCGACAAGGTGGAGCTCAGAAAAAATACCAAATTTGAAAAACAACAGTAATATGAAAAAATACCAAATTTGAAAAACAACAGTAATTTTATATGATGTTTGGACACTGTATTCATTGCTGAATATGTGACATACTGTCTAGGTTGTATTATTTCATTAAGTATATTCATTAATGTGCATCTGTCATTATTCTTCCATCATTTATAATACTTCAAAGTAGTTACCAGTACTTTGTAACCCAGTCCTGAAAGACGTGGTGTGTGAATTCCTGAATGATCTCATTACTGGCCTCAAAGTGGATACCTCATAATTTTGTCTTCACTGTTGGGAAAAGATAGAAATCACAGTCAGCTAAGTCTGGGGAATACGGTGCGTGTGGTACACGGCATTGGGAATACGGTGCGTGTGGTACACACATTTTTCTGAGCTCCACCTTGTCGCGTCACCGATTACCATCTTCATGATGTGATGCTATTTATTTGGGTTATATTATGTGAAAAAATCAGTAAGAAAGGATAAAAAATGGCAAAAATAGAGCCAACGGTCCAGAAATTCCTGATCACCCCTCGTACAATGGGAGTAAACATAGGGGGAGATATACAATGGGAGATAAATAGGGGGAGATATACAATGGGAGATACATTGGGGGAGATATACAATGGAAGATACATAGGGGGAGATATACAATGGCATTAAACATAGGGGGAGATATACAATGGGAGATAAATAGGGGGAGATATACAATGGGAGATACATAGGGAGAGATATACAATGCGAGATACATTGGGGGAGATATACAATGGGAGATACATAGGGGGAGATATACAATGGAAGATACATAGGGGGAGATATACAATGGAAGATACATAGGGGGAGATATACAATGGGAGATACATAGGGGGAGATATACAATGGGAGATACATAGGGAGAGATATACAATGCGAGATACATTGGGGGAGATATACAATGGAAGATACATAGGGGGAGATATACAATGGGAGATACATAGGGGGAGATATACAATGGGAGTAAACATAGGGGGAGATATACAATGGGAGATACATAGGGGGAGATATACAATGGGAGATACATAGGGGGAGATATACAATGGGAGATACATAGGGAGAGATATACAATGCGAGATACATTGGGGGAGATATACAATGGAAGATAAATAGGGGGAGATATACAATGGGAGATACATAGGGGGAGATATACAATGGGAGATACATAGGGAGAGATATACAATGCGAGATACATTGGGGGAGATATACAATGGAAGATACATAGGAGGAGATATACAATGGGAGTAAAGATAGGGGGAGATATACAATGGGAGAAACATAGGGGGAGATATACAATGGAAGATACATAGGGGGAGATATACAATGCGAGATACATAGGGGGAGATATACAATGGGAAATACATACAAGGAGATATACAATGGGAGTAAAGATAGGGGGAGATATACAAAGGGAGATACATAGGGGGAGATATACAATGGAAGATACATAGGGGGAGATATACAATGGGAGATACATAGGGGGAGATATACAATGGGAGATAACATAGGGAGAGATATACAATGCGAGATACATTGGGGGAGATATACAATGGAAGATACATAGGGGGAGATATACAATGGCAGTAAACATAGGGGGAGATATACAATGGGAGATACATAGGGGGAGATATACAATGGGAGATACATAGGGGGAGATATACAATGGAAGATACATAGGAGGAGATATACAATGGGAGTAAACATAGGGGGAGATATACAATGGGAGATACATAGGGGGAGATATACAATGGGAGATACATAGGGGGAGATATACAATGGGAGATACATAGGGGGAGATATACAGAGGGAGATATTTATGTTTCACTTCACTAAGGTACCAATTCTATATACCACTGTTATGTACCTAAAACCTCACTTGTCATAGGATAAATACAAACATACAATGTATCTGTATAAATTGTACTTTCATAAGCAACGACAAGGCATTAACATGACAAAATGTCACCACCTAAAACAATTTGGTCAATTTAAAGCAAGTTGGAAAATACCTTTTGACCTTAAGAAGGTTTGATTTGAACTTCTTAGAACATGTAGATGATTTTGAAAAAAAAATTCGTCAATTTGAAGCAAGTTGAAAAAATACCTCTTTGACCTTTTTTGACATTGAGAAGGTCATTGAAGGTCAAATGTCAAATGTAAAGTCAGATTTGAACTTCTGAGAACATGTAGGTGATTTTGAAAAAAAAATTAAGTAAATTTGAAGCAAGTTGAAAAAAGACCTTTTTGACCTTGAATAGGTCATTGAAGGTCAAATGTCAAATCTAAAGTCAGATTTGAACTTCTGAGAACATGTAGATGATTTTGAAAAAAATTAGTCAATTTGAAGCAAGTTGAAAAAAGACCTTTTTGACCTTGAGAAGGTCAAAGGTCAAATCTTAAGTCGGATTTGAACTTCTGAGAACTTGTAAAGTCAAATTTGAACTTCTGAAAAGATGTAGATGATTTTGAAAAAAAAAATTGGTCAATTTGAAGCAAGTTGAAAACAGACCTTTTTGACCTTTTTTGACCTTGAGAAGGTCATTAAAGGTCAAATGTCAAATCTAAAGTCAGATTTGAATTTCTGAGAACATGTAGATGATTTTGAAAAAAAAAATTAGTCAATTTGAAGCAAGTTGAAAAAATACCTTTTTGACCTTTTTTGACATTGAGAAGGTCATTGAAGGTCAAATGTCAAATCTAAAGTCAGATTTGAATTTCTGAGAACATGTAGATGATTTTGAAAAAAAAAATTAGTCAATTTGAAGCAAGTTGAAAAAATACCTTTTTGACCTTGAGAAGGTCATTGAAGGTCAAATGTCAAATCTAAAGTCAAATCTAAAGTCATATTTGAATTTCTGAGAACATGTAGATGATTTTGAAAAAAAAAATTAGTCAATTTGAAGCAAGATGAAAAAATACCTTTTTGACCTTTTTTGACATTGAGAAGGTCATTGAAGGTCAAATGTCAAATCTAAAGTCAGATTTGAATTTCTGAGAACATGTAGATGATTTTGAAAAAAAATTTAGTCAATTTGAAGCAAGTTGAAAAAGACCTTTTTGACCATTTTTGACTTTGAGAAGGTCATTGAAGGTCAAATGTCAAATCTTAAGTCAAATCTAGTCAGATTTGAGTTTCTGAGAACACGTAGATGATTTTGAAAAACTTTTTTAGTCAATTTGAAGCAAGTTGAAAACAGACCTTTTTTGACCTTGAGAAGGTCATTGAAGGTCAAATGTCAAATCTTAAGTCAAATCTTAAGTCAGATTTGAATTTCTGAGAACACATAGATGATTTTGAAAAAAAAATTTAGTCAATTTGAAGCAAGTTGAAAACAGACCTTTTTGATCTTTTTTGACCTTGAGAAGGTCATTGAAGGTCAAATGTCAAATCTAAAGTCAGATTTGAAGGTCAAATGTCAAATCTAAAGTCAAATCTAAAGTCAGATATGAATTTCTGAGAACATGTAGATGATTTTGAAAAAAAATTTAGTCAATGTGAAGCAAGTTGAAAAAATACCTTTTTGACCTTGAGAAGGTCATTGAAGGTCAAATGTCAAATCTAAAGTCAGATTTGAACTTCTGAGAACATGTAGATGATTTAGAAAAAAATTTAAGTCAGTCTAAACAGTATTTGTTAAGTTATAGGAAGTTGTAAGAAATTGTTACAGACGCCGGACGCCGGACGCCAACCTCCAACCACCAACCACCAACCGCCGTCGCAAAAAAACGGAGACCATAACAATATGTCACCACTTTTGGTGGTGACATAAAAATATACCGAAAATATATACATTTTTTTGTACTGAAAAATGTAGTTATTTTTTAGTACATCATTTTTGCATGCTGAAAAAAGTACTTTTTCAGTACAAAATCTAAGACCAATATGTACTGAAAGATATACTGACATTTTAAGGACATTTAGTACAAAAATGTTCTGAAAAATATACCTTTTTCAACTTTTGGAAGTGGAAAATGTAGTGACTTTTTGAGGACACTTCTAAATACAAAGACGTATTAAGAAAAGTGAAAAAACTGACATCAATTTGTTTTTAAATTAGTGTTAGGTGATAAAATAGCCCAAGATCCAATGCACATAAATGTTAAATAAAATGGAACATCAAATCACCAAATAATTTCTGAAAAGAATGCTTAATTGTTATATTCAGTATAAACATCTAAAAGGTTATTAGTAGATTACTTTAAAGTGTTTTCATTGCACTATCATAGTCAATACACTATCAAGATACAACTCTTATTTAATCCCCCACAACTTCAACAAAAAGATAGATACATGTAAAAGCAAACTGCCTATTCAGGTCCATCAATGGAAATCAAAATGTATGAAAATGGATTAAATGAAAGTCAAATGTCTTTTAAGATGCCAAGGCATGGATTTCACATGTACATATCATTTAAACTTGAATACTTTAAATAAACAATTTTACCTGCACTATTTTTGCGCTCTAATGACATGGGTAAATTTTCATCAAAGCTGTGCCTTCTAGATTCGTATGAGTTAGCTTCTGACCTCAAGTCCCTTGTGTTATCCTCTGTTAGTGAGTTTGCAGCTGATGCAGTTGCGCTATCTGATAGTATACAGAGTTAAAACTTTTGAAAAATGTATTGTTTTACACAATCAAGAAATAATATTTATGTGGTAAATTCATATTAACTAAAGAAGAAGTAAGGCACATGTGGGCAATAAAATTCCATGTTTTCTTCTATCGTGTATATAGTTTATTTGTAGAGAATGCTTGAATCTACTTACAATTTAATTCATAGCAAGAAATATTGAACTTTGAGAAACTTGTCAATCACCAAATCTGCTATTGACTAAATATACATGAGAAATTTCCATGAAAATGACGATCCTTCAAAGGACAATATTGTTGCACATACAGCAACTACTACCACTTATCTGAAAGTTCTAGTTTAAAAAAGTGTATGGTATTTAAAGAAGATTAGACTTTTTGAAGCAACAATTCAATCTGGGGTAAACATTTACATGAAAATCACACTTCTGTCTATGACATACATGTTTCATACAATGGCCACCAGTGACCATTTAATTTGGTAATTCATATCCATATATGAACAAAAATGGCACCTTTCAGTGTTGGACTCACATGGTGATGCCTTATCACTTTTAAAGAATATGTCAAGTTGCAAAATATATGGCTGAGCAAACAACAAATACAGTAAAACATGTATATCCAAACACCTGGCGAATCCAAACACCTCCCCATAATCTGAACACTTTTGGTCCCATTTTTCCTCTTATTGACTCACATGTTAAAAAGACCTTGCAATGTGAACACAATCTGAAGAGTGAACAGCCATATTTGAAAAGCTTAAACCTTTCAAATCTGAACACTGGTCTCAATCTGAACAATGGTCTCAATCATAATGGGGGTTTCAAGCATGATTACCTTTTATTTGAATCGAATTTTCAAATTACTGGAATTCCATAAAGCTATGTGGTCAAAGGAAATAAATATAAATATTTTTATATATTTAGATTGTGTTCACATCATTTCTTGAAAATCCAGAATCTCGCGAATGCAAAAACCTTGAAATGTGAACACACCCTAATCCAAACGCTTCTTATGATGTTCCAATTATACAGGTTTATTGTACATGTATATCATGGATAAGGAAGACCTGTATAACAAAATAGGAATGAAGGACCCACGACCCAGGGATTCTGTGCTCACACAGTGTAGAACCTTGTTAGAGGAATGTACATCCTGACTTTCAACAAAAATATTGATTCTTGAACTTTGAGAAACTAGGATAGCACAGTTTGTGACCAATGTTGATTACCTTATGGATATGCATAAAATGGCAGACCAATGGATGGATAGATGCCTTAGTCCATCCCATAGGCTCACTGGATGATCCAAAAATTGAATATGATGAATAGAAGTACATGTAGTCTAACATGGAATGATTGTGTAAGTAACATTGTCAAATTTATTGCATTAATAGATATAGACTGCCCAGAGGAACCCATTCAACCTGGTGGGAAGCTCATACTTAACACTAACTGCAACACAATGATTATCTGTTGGGGAAAACTATGAATGAAACAGACTTATGAAAACAAAGGGCCACAAAGGGCAGAATTTTCAAAAAGAGAGTAGGTGATTCCATTTTCATCACTTTCATTCACTCTTTCATCAAATACATCAAAATAATATTTTTCATAATCTGATGCTAATCTAATATTTCTCATACCCTGATGTGAATGGTGACGTTTGCGTTTGTGAACATCAATTGTTATTGGTTCAGATTCAACGCGTCTGATTGGCTGATCGTCTAAAGCTGTTTCTGTTGTTGAATGTAGGATTTGTTGCACATCTGGAGCACTTTCCAGTGGACCCTTTAAATATGCGAGGTTATTTATCAATATTTCTATTACAGGCAGAATCAGACAAAATTGCAAGCAACAGTACAGACGACCCAATAATATATTCCTAATAATTTCAAATATGATATCTCCCAAAAGAACCAGGATATGTTATCAATTGGTGAATTTGTTTAAGTTTCAAAGTGCAAAAAGGCATTAACACTTGTGGTGGTGTAATAAAAATGCTTTTCAATTAGTTGTTTAAATAACTATTCCAATTTTAACTACTTCAATTCATTGTCGAATGTTGAGCTTACCTTTGAAGAGTTTGGTGACTTAAGATCTTCTGGTTCTTCAGGCAAGTCAGCTAGATCATGGTCACTGGCTCCTCTAGGGCTACCTGCTGGCCCACCAAGTACCTTCACTACCCTCTCAGCAGGTGTAGGTTGGAATACTTGATCATCAATACTACTATTTGCTACACCTGCTACTGTAGTTCTACCTGCCTCAGGCTCCTTGGCTTTTTGCTGGAATTTTCAAGAAAAAAATGATGTTGTATCCAAGATGTTTGGAAGAGTAGTTAATGCAAATATCCATCTCAATTTTTGTCCCAAGCTTATTTGTAGTTCGATACAGTTCTAAAACTAACAAGATTTTCAGAATTAGGAAAATATGGTGAAGTTAAAATCCCATTGTGGAATTGACAATTAGTGAACAAGGCATTAACATGCAAAATGTCACCACATGTCATTTATTACAGACACAACCACAAGTTGCCAAACACCTTTAACAAAAAGTTTGAAACCACTTGACATATAAAATGGTACAAAACTTCACTGAGAAGACTGTAAAGAATATAATAATGGAATCAAATTTTTAAAGCAAACAGTGCTGTCACTACAATCATGTCAAATCCATTCTCAATATTCATTTTAATTTACAATTCAATGAATTATTCAAACAATAGTAGTTGCAGTTTTGAATGATGGTACTGTACACATTCTCTTTGATTTACAAACAATCAGTACCGTAAAATCTTTTTCTCCCATTGACTCCCATGTTAAAGTATAAACCTATACTGAACACCTACGGTATCTCTAGATAATCTAATCTGGTTAACTATTATTGGATTAAAATTAAAATGATCACCTTTATTTGCCTCTATCATGTCCTTTAATTAATTCAATAAAGTCCTTCAATTGACTCAAATGTGTCAAGGATTCCACAATTTAAAGGACCATCTCAATGAGATTATATAGAGTTTCAAAGAGATTGAAATTTGACAGTAAAAGGATGAACCATTCAGATGACTGTCAGTCTAAAATATGAAGTCAGTTTATATAACACAACAACAAAACAAAAACTTATTGCTGGTGTCATTGGTTATCATGGGTAGAAAATACAAATTAAATTGATTATTCCCTCCTCTCTTTTATTAGCTGGTCTCTTTATAGGCCGTAAAATCAAATCTTTGCTGTAGTGAACACCTACCAACAGTGAACATTTTTTCTCGGCAAAAATATGTTCACTTAATACACATGTTTTACTCTCTCTATATATATATATGTCATACCTGGCCACGCCTAGAGTGAGGCCTATAGCCTGAGCCTGCAGGAATGATGTCATTCTCTTTAGTTACTGCACCTGGACTGAAGTGAAGCTCTACATGGAACCTCTCATCTGAGTCAGGATCCTACAACAGAACAAAGTAAAATGTAAGATGGAAATATAGTTTTTTTTGCATGACCCAAAGAAGCCAAATCATATAATTATTCCCAGACGGGTAGAGACAGGAAATTATTAAAAATCAGTTAGGAAAAGAAGATTTACAAATGGCTGTTAAGGTAACAGTCCCCAAGCATTCCAAACAATGACATATAGAGAAATATTAGTCTACTACAGATACCTGATCAGCTTCATAGCTGTGTTTAGAACGGGAGATTTGCAATTTCATGTTGGTGGGAACGGGAATCATTATACTCATGTCTATTGAATACTATGCTGGCAATTTTGATTTTGATGCATAGTATAATGCTATCTGAAGAAAATGATGTATGTCATACATGTTTTAGCTCCAAATATCTTCCAAAACAAGCATGTTTAAAATATGTATCATAGAAACCAGCTATATAACTATCAATGGCATAGTACATGATGACGTGTAGTCTAAATAACAAACTAAGTAAACACTGTAACATGATTATTTTATGTGAGAAAACTTCATGCATTTGTATAGGGCGATTTATGCATACAGGTTCCCCATTCGATCTTATATGCACTGCTTAAAGTCTCCATTGTCAAAAATATCCCCCTCGCAAGCATTTGAATTGCATTTTTCCCACAAGATATCAAATGAAACTATCTTTGTCTCCAGAAATCTTTTATTGAATCCACTTTATTTGGGATTTAAAAATTGTGCCTTTTTTACACATGTACGTTTGAGAATATGATAACATACAGTACTCAAGTTTTAGATTTTCTTTACCTTATTTGGATCTTCATAGAGCAAGTTTTAGATTTTCTTTACCATATTTGGATCTTCATAGAGCAAGTTTTAGATTTTCTTTACCTTATTTGGATCTTCATAGAGCAAGTTTTAGATTTTCTTTACCTTATTTGGATCTTCATAGAGCAAGTTTTAGATTTTCTTTACCTTATTTGGATCTTCATAGAGCAAGTTTTAGATTTTCTTTACCTTATTTGGATCTTCATAGAGCAAGTTTTAGATTTTCTTTACCTTATTTGGATCTTCATAGAGCATGATGACAATCTGTGACATGTAGTTGAACTCTGACACAGCAGCAACATAATCCATGGCCCTCTGCCATTGCTCATCATTTATAGACTAAAATTCAACAATTCAATTCAAGTATCACAATGGAAAGCATTTCATATTACAAAATATTGATTCATATGTTTCTTTTTTAATGTCAATTAATTTATTCAATCTCCAAGTTAACAGTAGGGATAATATCCTAACATAAAATACTGATTCAATTACTGATTCACTCAATGAAATGTTTTTTTTCTGGACATGTTATGGTCTAACAGACTCTAAGTTGGTAAACACATCTTATTAATAATTTCAGCTTTTCTACAAGTTACAGCTACAATTGTAAAGAAAAAGCATTCATCAGCCACCATATTTCAAGATGGCTGCCATATTGTTGTTTTTTAAATTAGATTTTCAATTAAATCAATATCCTATATAACTTTTTGCATTTGAAACATATCAACAGTACAGTTTCATAGGTTACAACCTAAAATACTATTAAACTGACACTAAAATGACGGCCATTTTCAATATCGGCTTTTCCCCAAATATTGTTAATTAATATCTGTTGATCTACTGGGGTAGCTTAATATGATAGGAGATAAAATACCTGTTCATCTGGGGATAGCTTAATATGATAGGAGATAAAATACCTGTTCATCTGGGGATGGTTTAATTAAGTTGATATACCATGGTCAGAGGAAATCAGGTATATAATAGCAACTGTTATATACTTGAAATAATTATAATATTAATATTTCAAAGATTATCAGTTATCGTTTTCTCATCCAGAAGAGGATTTTGAGATAGATGTTGTTCTTGAGCCTGGTATAAGGTCTTAATTCACCTGTTGGGTTGATACAGGGAAAATCTTTCAGGAGGGCTGGCATGGAACAGAATGGATTTCAGATCCTGTCTTCACAATTCAGAACTTTCAGAATTTCGGACCTAATTAGCTAACTAACATACATAGTCATTGTTAGCTGCAAGTAGGCTAGGGTACAACAAAAGAAATAAGTTAACGTATTACATACCTAGCGAAGCATTTGTATGGAAGTCAAGGGGAAAGTTGGTGGGCTTTATCCCATGGATACTGAATTTGTATGTAGTACATCAGTTATGTCACTACATGTATGACGTGAAATTTCTTCGTTCTTGCCCAAATATAGAGCCTCCAAAGGTCAGCCTATATTTGGAGAACCCAGGTATAATTCATGTCATAGTGACATAACCTCCAAATACATATCATGTTTATATCATGGACTGAGGTAGGAGGTTCAGCCTTGAGGTTACTGTCCCTTGGATAAGCCCTGGATAATTTAATTGACCTAGATAGTTGAGTAAAGAGCTGAGTAAGAACCTAAGAAGGTAGCCAATTTTTCGCTATTACAATTATTCCATTCTGTGCTAGCCCAGCCTCAGATGATATTTTCACCTGTTGATCTGGGGATAGTTTAATGTTGTCCCCTAGGCCTCCATATCTCAGGGTAGTCATCAGTGAGTGGATGTGGCTCTCACTGGTGAAGTAAAGTCTTGTCTTCACATGTCTATGGGGACTTGCCACTCCCTTAGAATATCTGCAATGAAATATCAAAGAGAGAATCAGATCTGGCAAGTAGTCTAACAAAAGATTGTTTAAATTTTAGATTTTCTGGCTTGTGTCATTCCTTTTCATGTCTTTTTTCTAAAAATCCCCAAAGAACTAAAGATTTTTACAATAATGTATTACTTTTCTATAAGAATGGTTATTATTCTTATCATTTGGGAGAATTTAAACATTTTTCACCCATTTTTGCACTTTGAATCCATTATAACTTCACCAATTTTATTTATGACATATAAATATCATGAATCTTTTGGGAGATATTGTATTTGAGGAATAGATTGGTAGGTCAATTGTACATGTTGCTTTTAATTTTGTCACCCAGATAGATCTGATTCTGCCTTAGGTACTCGTATTTACTATAAAGTTGAAAAAAGAAGAATGACTCTAAGTCTTTATAGAGGCAAAAATATTATCTAGTCTTGGCAGATAAACATTTCTATCTTACAGTCAACTTACATTTGTACACATTCCTTCACAATGACTACCTCATGTAAAGTTTACTATTATCCTAAACATAACTATCTATTGTATATAATGTAAAATGTGGAATGATATTACCTTGAATCCAACCTCGTGGAATCCTCATCCGCATTCCTCTGTAAGTCTGCTAAGATCTTCTTTAACAGTGGCGTACACACACTTTTGGCTATTTTTAACTTCTCCTCTTTTGTGATACCATATTCCTACAATATATGAGGTAGACCATGTATCTATGTCTATATGTACATCTTGAAGCACATATCAAGTTTGAAGAATTTCAACTTGGACAGGTAAAGGTTCAGATTCATACTTAAAGTGGAAAATCAGGCAATGACCAAATGTAACATTAATTTATGATGTTTTCCTACAAATATATTGAGAGAACATTCCTTACCTGAGGTATAACTATATCTGCTAGTGCCTTAGAACAAGCATACAATTCCTCTGCCTGGTCATACTTCAAGATCTTCTGGTTATGTTGGAGGTCATACTTTATACAGTCATAGACATCTGGGATCTTAGACACGTCATACATGCCATTCTTCAGCTTGAAGTCCTTCTCAAGTTTTGCCCATCTTCGCAGAAGTAACTCCCAGGATTCTCCATGATACAACTTCTTCTCTGGAATAAGGAAAACTGATGACAGACTGTAAAATTTTAGAACAACTTGTATTGAGCATCATCTTTGTACTTTGATTTGAAGTCATTGTGTGATCTTGAAGAGTGGAATTCAGATGTTTAAACTTTTAGTGATTTCAAACATTAATATTCCATTAAATCTATCTAATATAAAATCAAAATGGGCAATGTTACCTTTTGAACTACAGCTAAGGTCTTCCTTAAGTTTCTTGATCCTTGCCACAAGGTTGTGTATGAGCTCATGTACTCGCTTCAACACAGTCACTGGGTTCTTTATGAACTTAAGAGAGTTAGTTAATGATGTACTGTTGGTAGGGGCAAGCTAAAATGAAATGGCATCATATATCAATAATATTTATAAAGAAGGCATTAACATATATATAAAATATTACCACCTACCATTTGTTACAGATGCCAACTGCCGGATGCAGAACACAATTCAGAAAAAAGTTGGAGACTTAATGTTACCACTTGTAAAAAAACTCTATAGAGTAGTGAAGCCAAATAATTCCTGTTTTCAGTTGATCATCCTAATTCAAAATAAAAACTAGAATGAAGGGCCCATGGCCCTGTGCTCACACAGTGAATTGTAACCACATCATGTTTGGAAATGATTGACTTTGTACAGAAAAACCACTTTTTGACCAATTATTTATGTAAAGGTTCAACTTAAACATAGTGTCTGAGATTTTAAGAAAATTGGACTTTTCTACGTCAAATACGGCAAATTCTCGGAAACTGGGCAAACTTGAAAAATTGGGATGACATGTCAAATAGGCGCCATTGATATATAGAATGAATGTGGATATGACGAATGGCAGTTTTAATTTTTGCGGCCAATGTTGGCGGATGGATGGACCAACGGATGGATAGACAGATGCCTAGTTGATCCCATAGGCTCATTGTGTGAGCCAAAAAAGGAACTCACAAGAGTAGCAGATTCCACTGAACAAAACATAGTTTATGAAATCACTCTTCATTTTGAACAATAAAAACACAACAAAATATGCAAATATTTGTTTAATCATCTAGATGTTATGTCATGTCAGAAAAGCATTTTCAGTGGATTCTGGCTTTATGCTATATATTACTCATGAATTGTGTGCTAGCCTTACCTCGACTTGGCATTGGTTTAGGGAAGCATTTACAATCCGCTTGTGCTATATTTTACTAACAAAGCATTGCATCTTTAAATATACTTTTTTAATTTAACAATTAAATAAAGATGTAAAAAGACATGTTTTTGATTGACTTCTGCCTCCATTTTTCATAATAGTTTTTCTCCAGGAATTGCACCTGCTAGCTAGCCATTACAGTAATAAAGTAAAGTTGAAATAAAAATACTTTGATTGAAACCATTTATCATTACAATGCACCCTTGAAATGGAAAATCATTAAAAACATAATACTAAAATCATATATTGCCAGCAGACAGGTAGAACAACAAACTAAATGCTTGTTATTAGATACACTGACCTATATATTTTTGAGTAGTATGAGCACATCTGTATCTCTACTACATTCACTAATAAGGATTATTAAAACACATAAGTAGGGACAATGCTGAAAGTATACTTACAGCATTAATATCATCCTCTGTAAACACATGGTCTTGATGCAATGTTGTCCTCAGCTTCTCCTTAACACTGAAATGTATATTAACACAAGTCTTCATCATGGCTAAGTTAAATGAATAGAGGGATAGAGATAAATTAAGAGGAGATTGCAAAACATTGTCACAATTTTACAATATCTCTTGCTTTCATCACTCAATACCAAAACATTGTCACAATGTTACAATATCACTTGCTCTCATCACTCAATACCAAAACATTGTCACAATTTAACAATATCACTTGCCCCTATCACTCAATACCAAAACATTGTCACAATTTTACAATATCTCTTGCTTTCATCACTCAATACCAAAACATTGTCACAATGTTACAATATCTCTTGCTCTCATCACTCAATACCAAAACATTGTCACAATGTTACAATATCACTTGCCCCTATCACACAATACCAATTTTTGGAAGTGAGGAAAGTGCGTAGATTGAGAGGTCTTTTAATTAAAGAGTTGTGCTTATAAACAGGATTCACCATATTTGGTTCTTTCCAATCAAAGCCTCAAAATTTTTCAGTTTAAAGAGCTCCCAGAGTTCACTCCAAATAATTTGGGTATGGTAATTTGGGTAATTTTGGCTTTGAGCATAAAACATGGATATTGGCCAAACTGAGAGGAAAAAATTCTCTAAGAAAGTACCCTTTTTAGGTCAAAATTCAGTTTTTCTACGAAAAATTGTATTTAACTCGTGAAATCAGTTACCTAGGCCTGTGGCAAATCACTTTTTAAACCTGCACATCGCTCCAAAACACAATATGTTGACATTTATTGTTTTTACATTTTCAAGCTCTAATATAAAGTTTATGTAAATAAAAATTGTTTTTTCTGCGTAATATCAAAGCACAATCATTTAATTAAAAAAGTAAAAAAATGAGTGCGGGATTCAAACTCGGGCCGCCTGTGTGCTGAGCGAGCATTGTACCGCAAGGCTACCAAGTTATTATGAATGATGGGACTAATTAAACGCTACTTCTTGAATGCTATAATTCGGAAGTGACATCACGTTCTTAATTTAGAAACCTTCCAAAAATCATATCGTCGATGACAATCGAACCAATTCAATGAACAATCTTTGAAATGACACATTTATCGTAAGTATTTGTACACAAGATTTTCCCCATTTGTTCATCATTCTATAATCTTTCATTAAGCTCAAAATGATAAAGTTTACCCCCTAAACAACCCAAGATTGCGTTTCGGGGCAAACAGCAGCTTTAATGATATTTTAGGGAATTTAATCCTAGCTGGTCATATCTATGAAGTTCCAAGGAATTAAATATGGAAACTTTCAATCTTGAGAGGAAATGGACATGGGAAAAGAGCTCAAAAAGGGGGTCTTTGGCGCGGCACATAGGTATTAAGAGATGTATTGGAGTGAAACCCCCGGGAAAGAACTTCAGATATAAATCTATTTTGTTTAATTTTCTTCAATAGTCCATGGTTATTTTCCTGAAAATGCTAAGTCCTCGAAATGATGAATAAAATCCCCCTCTGTACTTTTTTCAAATGCTATGAATTTAACACTTTTAGATGCTCTGTTAAGACCCATAAACTTAGATTATAGCTCGGATGGTCCACACTTAAAAGACCAATACATACTTGTTCTGATACTTAGAAGATTCATTGTCATTATCCAGTAGTCCATTCATGTTTGCACTTTTCACCATCTGTACCAGGATAGGCGTTAATTCACCTTCTAGTGCAAGCAGGCCCTGCAGAATAACCAGATAACCATGTGCAGTTGCAAATCACTATCGTTGTACATAATGACATCAAAAACTGTACATGTGAGAAGATCAATGAGATTTCCTAAATAAGAACTTTACATTATGCAGGGAACTTAATTTAAACTAAGAGGCTATTTAACATTTCCAACTATATACAACATCTGGCTCAGATTACATCTCAGTCGTAATACATTATGACAAAGGCATATATTATACTTTTTATAAAACAAATTCATTCAATTGTAGCCCTTAGTATCTTGAAGTAAGTAGGAGCAAGGAAACACATTTGGCTAGTAAGAACCTTACAAAAGGAATGAGGTCTACAGAAAGTGTTCTTAATTAAATTAAGCTGGCATCAGGCAAAACATTTCTATGTTGGTACAGCTTGTATGTCCCATTTACTATGTTTTATGTTACTTAACATATATACATGTGTAACAAAATGTTTGAGTGGAGTAGTCAATGTTTTATCAAAGCAATACCAGCAGAGAAATGTTTAGATTATAACTCAAGAAATAAGCTTTAACATACATGCAATATAAATAAAACTGAAATGAAAGTGTCTTTTTGCATTCGAAAAGGTAAACATCATTAGGAACACATAAATCATGAACAAAAAATGAATATTTATTCCTGCATAATTAAAAATGAAGATGAATTGTAACTAAAACCAAATTAATACCTTAGAATAGTATTAATATAAATGATGGCTTCAGGCTTAAAGTTATATTTGCAATATACAAAAAAATAAATGTTTAAACATAGAGAACTTATAATTTAAACATAAGCTTTTAGAACAAGACATTTAGAGTGTTATATGGTTTACCTTGTCGCAAAAGAAATAAAAGGAACAGTTGCCTGGGGGGTTGACTAGATCAGTCAGGATAATCTTTGGCAGGAAAAATAACACATTTTGGGATTGACTGACCCAGAATCAAAATTAAACCTATACTTTGAAAGCAGATATATATGCCGCAGATCTATATTGTGAATAATGTAGGACACAATGACATAAAAAAATATAGCTCTAATTAAAATATTAAGTTTTGCTAAAAACTTATTCATAGAGTAAAAAAAATATCTAGAAAGTGAAGAAGCTTGTAAAAAGGCCTTCTGCTGATACTCGTATGTATATAGCTGAGACACTTGCACTTGAACATCAACTCCCCAGGAACAGTTGAAAGGCTATTGTACCTTAGCAAACGCAGCTGCCGTTGTTTGAACTCTGCCCTCATCAGAGGCATAAATCTTCAGATCATGTCTGAATGTACTGTGGAGCCTCAATAGGCCAAGGCCAGGTGTGTTATAGTCTCCTGGATTAGACAGAATACAAAAAACATCGCAGATATCGCAGATTTGGTTTAATCTCAGATATCCTAACCATAAGAACATTGCACAATGGTCATGTCATTTTAGCATTCAACATGTACAACATGGAAAGCTCAATTAAAACAGCTATAAGGGACAATCTGTTCATCTGCAATGAGAGATGCACACTCTCAAAAGTTCTCATTACTTTATAGTCAAAGAGAATTAAGATTCTACAACATTAAGAAAAAGTGTTCACATTTCAAGGTGTTCACATACAAAGCTTAGCTGTTAGTTACACCTCAATTAAACTCTTCAAAATTTTGTGTCAAATTTATTATGGTTGTCTTACTATCCATATACAAATTATCTGTAAGCAAAATTTATTTTAAGCAGAACATAATCACTGGTCAGTATCAAGCAATGGTAATGGCCGTCACCTTCGCATTAAAGATGGCGGATGGGAAGTGTCTATTTCATTATTTTTAGTTTTCATTGCATTAAACTACTTAACTGTATAGTTGACGGAATGCTTTAATGCATTTCAAGTAACCTTCCCTCAAGCCGTGGAAGATATCATTGAATTGTGGCACCTACGCACAATATATTAACAATTGATGATTTGCGATCACCGGATGGATTCTATCTTGTAGTGACGTCACAATTATGCCACACTGCTATAACTTTTTGATTTTGAGAGATTATCTTCACTATTTCGTACTTTATTGAATTATACTCATGATCTAGTCAAATCGGCAATCCTGGTAAATATTCGACCCATGGTTTTCATAAAAGAAACGATAATGTTTTTAGCTCAAAACTGCCACGTGTCCGCCATTTCGTGATTCCATCATGTCTAATATCATTTCTATATGACGTCACACCAATAAGACGAAATACATGACAACAGTATCCATAAACAAAATTCCCGAATTCTGATCGCAAAAGGTCAATTGATCATACTCCAGAATTTTTGTGTCATATAAGCCTGGTTTAGTTCAAATATCAAAGCATTACATCAACTACTAAGTAGTTAAATTCGATGAAAACTCAAAATCAACACTTCCTGTCTGTCATCCTAAATGCAAAGGTGACGGCCATTACAATTGCTTGATACTGACCAGTGATGGTCATTGCTCACAAAATTGTTTTCAATTATATATCACAATACATAATATTACAATATTAAAATCAGATATTCATACATCTTTAAAATAAATGCACATGTAGTATCCAATGAAGAGTAATCAAATTGAATACATAGATGACAACTGAGATGACGTGACCATTGTGGAATATTTCATACGTTCACGGCAGCATGTGCAGGCAGCACTCTCCAACTTAGCAGTGACCTAGCCCCGACTGAGGCAAGACCTAGCCACGACCTAGCCCCGACTGAGGCAAGACCTAGCCACGACCTAGCCCAGACCTTGCCCAGACCTAGCCCAGTTGCTACAGAACATAAGCCGATATGTCAGCAAGAGGGTAGAAGCTAAAGGAACAAGCATTAATGGATAACATAAAATAGAAAGATGAAAGAAAGGATATATTAGTGAATATTCCTAAATAAAGATGCAGACCCATGCATACACAAAATTTCCATTTTATGTATTCTGTTTAATTGTCAAAGTGTATTACATCTAACTAGAACGAGACATTTTGTAACAAATACCCATCTTTCAAAACCTCATTTGGGTCGAACTACATTTCAGAGAATTCCTTTTGTAGAGCACAATTGGTGGGGTTTGTGTCCAGGATGCGTAGTGCATCTGGTAATTACTTCACTGCTGGAAAGGTCACAGTCATCATGTAGAATCAACTAATTTCTTTTAGGAGACCACTCTCTTATACCTCTACCAACAAACTGTTCTTATTGTGATTGTATAACTTCATTATAATTTCTATGTATGAATCTTTGGAAGCAAAATAAAGCTGGCCTTCTTTCTCCGTTGACAACTTAGAGATGCTCAATTAACTTCCAAGTGACAACCTTTCTTTTTGTTCTGAAGCTCAATGGGAAAAGGTGACTAAATCTGAATTATTTTCAAATGTAGTGGCGGATTCTTCTTGATATTGAAATAATAAGTAACCGTTAGAAAAGTTGTTTGAAGTGAAATAAAAAATTACAATCTTACTACACAAAACATAAAATATGCAAAATATTCACAAAACTTTTGGATATACGAGGGTTGATCATAAAGTTCTCATAATATCTCTCTAATTTCTTTATTTTTCAATATATTCTAATGAAATTTTCAGAGAATTTGCAGCATAGACCGTCTTATTAACTCAGCAAAACATATTTAGTCAAACAGAAATATTAAATAAGAAATGGTTGCCATGGTAACAGGAAATCAAGGCACCAGGGGCAAATAAAAGTAATTGAGAGAATAGCTCTAAATTAACCATGTTAAAACACATAATAAACTCTCATAAATTACCAAACACGTTCAAATGTTAACTTGAATATGTTGTTAAATGCTTTTACTATTAAAAAAATTGATCATGTGGATTGTGTGATGTCATGGGGGATGCTTTCATGCTTCATTAGATGTGATACCAGAGTCTGAGACTCAAAGCTAATGATTAGAAATGACTGAGTAAGAGAATGCAATAGATGCAGAGATCTTCATAAAAATAAAATTCATACTGACAAAATGTGTAGATTCTTTGGTCAGACTAAGCATGATCTAAAACAAATATATTGCTAAGATATCAACTGAATTATACCCTGTGTGTGGTCTGAACATGTTAAAAATGATCTAAAGGGGCAAAATCAATTTTCCTCGGAATATTTGACAAAACAGTCATAGGGTCTAACAGTCACTTCTAATGAAGCATAACAATCATCCATTATGAGACCATACAATTCACATGACCATTATAATAGTTCACAACAGTCAAAAGCACATATTATTTGACAATTTAAGATGTTTGATAGCTTATTTGACAAGGCATTAACATGACAAAATGTCACCACCTAAAACAATTTGGTCAATTTAAAGCAAGTTGGAAAATACCTTTTGACCTTGAGAAGGTCATTGAAGGTCAAATCTAAAGTCAGATTTGAACTTCTGAGAACTTGTAAAGTCAAATTTGAACTTCTGAAAAGATGTAGATGATTTTGAAAAAAAATTTGGTCAATTTGAAGCAAGTTGAAAACAGACCTTTTTGACCTTTTTTGACCTTGAGAAGCTCATTAAAGGTCAAATGTCAAATCTAAAGTCAGATTTGAATTTCTGAGAACATGTAGATGATTTTGAAAAAAAAAAAGTCAATTTGAAGCAAGTTGAAAAAGACCTTTTCGACCTTTTTTGACCTTGAGAAGGTCATTGAAGGTCAAATGTCAAATCTAAAGTCATATTTGAATTTCTGAGAACATGTAGATGATTTTGAAAAAAAAATTTAGTCAATTTGAAGCAAGATGAAAAAATACCTTTTTGACCTTTTTTGACATTGTGAAGGTCATTGAAGGTCAAATGTCAAATCTAAAGTCAGATTTGAATTTCTGAGAACATGTAGATGATTTTGAAAAAAAAATTTAGTCAATTTGAAGCAAGGTTTTCAACTTGCTTCAAAATGTCAAATCTAGTCATATTTAAATTTCTGAGAACATGTAGATGATTTTGAAAAAAAATTTAGTCAATTTGAAGCAAGATGAAAAAATACCTTTTTGACCTTTTTTGACATTGTGAAGGTCATTGAAGGTCAAATGTCAAATCTAAAGTCAGATTTGAATTTCTGAGAACATGTAGATGATTTTGAAAAAAAAAATTAGTCAATTTGAAGCAAGTTGAAAAAAGACCTTTTTGACCTTGTTTGACTTTGAGAAGGTCATTGAAGGTCAAATCTAAAGTCAGATTTGAATTTCTGAGAACATGTAGATGATTTTGAAAAAAAAAATTAGTCAATTTGAAGCAAGTTGAAAAAAGACCTTTTTTGACTTTGAGAAGGTCATTGAAGGTCAAATGTCAAATCTTAAGTCAAATCTAAAGTCAGATTTGAATTTCTGAGAACACGTAGATGATTTTGAAAAATTTTTTTAGTCAATTTGAAGCAAGTTGAAAACATACCTTTTTGACCTTTTTTGACCTTGAGAAGGTCAAATGTCAAATCTTAAGTCAGATTTGAATTTCTGAGAACACGTAGATGATTTTGAAAAAAAAATTTAGTCAATTTGAAGCAAGTTGAAAACAGACCTTTTTGACCTTTTTTGACCTTGAGAAGGTCATTGGAGGTCAAATGTCAAATCTAAAGTCAGATTTGAAGGTCAAATGTCAAATCTAAAGTCAGATTTGAATTTCTGAGAACATGTAGATGATTTTGAAAAAAAATTTAGTCAATGTGAAGCAAGTTGAAAAAAGACCTTTTTGACCTTGAGAAGGTCATTGAAGGTCAAATGTCAAATCTAAAGTCAGATTTGAACTTCTGAGAACATGTAGATGATTTAGAAAAAAATTTGAAGTCAGTCTAAACAGTATTTGTTAAGTTATAGGAAGTTGTAAGAAATTGTTACAGACGCCGGATGCCGGACGCCAACCACCAACCGCCAACCACCAACCGCCAACCACCAACCGCCGTCGCAAAAAAACGGAGACCATAACAATATGTCACCACTTTTGGTGGTGACATAAAAAAAAACGGAGACCATAACAATATGTCACCACTTTTGGTGGTGACATAACAACTTATTATGTATTTAAACATGGTTAAGGAGGGCTATTTTAGCTAATTTCTTTATTTACCCCGGGTGCCTTGATTTCAAGTTACTATGGCAACGTTTTCTTGTCTAACTTTTCTGTTATTCTAAATATTTTTCTCTGGATCAATAAAACTCATGCTGCACATTCTGTCAAGATTTCATAAGAAAATATTGAAAAGATATTATGAGAGATATTATGAGAACTTTATGATCAACCCTCGTAGATTGAAGAACACTTGAAGAACACTTGACTATAAATAATGAATCTGTACGGTCACAATGTAATATTTACCATCAACTCTTCCCTCCAATAAATACTTGAGATCATTGTGGTATCATGTAACCATACTTTAAAGATATCTCTAAGTAAAGGTGAATTCCTGTTCTAGGCAGCCATTTTGAATTTTCTGAGGCACAAATCCACAAATTTAAATTTTACGTATACAGTTCAAATAGCCCACAGTGAATTCAAGGCAATCAAGCTGCACATATTTAAAAAGCACTCGTGATAGGGCTGTTGAACTGGTGACACTGTTCTCACTAATACTGATTTTAACCAGCACACTTTACAATGTTTTACAACTTGACATTTTCCTTTGCATTTGTATTTGTCACACAGGGTTGAGGACACTTCATATAGCAGTAGACTGCTAGTAGTAGACTTACACATTACAAAGCACTGCTATACAATGCCTGGCAGACACGATGACTTCATTATGATTAGTAAATTACCGGGTGAGTAAAATTTTCAAACAAGCTTGGTGCTGTCCAAAATTATTTGATTTGATTATCATTTGAGCGCTAATGCCTGTTTTTGTCGTTTAATTGCAATTCCTCTTTTCTCACTTGTACAGTATTTTCCACTTCAGAATGTGAGTATGGAAGAATTTAGTGACATCTATGTTTCAAAAAAGGGTTAGCAAGTTTATCTCCCTTGAAGATACTTGGAAACAAAGTGTATAAAGCTTTCTCAATTTGCAGAAAACAAAGGGTGCCAAGCATTGGTAGCTGTGCATAACAGTGGGTGGCTGGAGCAGATCTGGGCATGGAGCAGTGGCTACCTTTGAGAAAGCTGCTGCAGTCATCTGGACCCTGCCCTCATCAGATGCATACAGTTGGATGTCATGTCGACAATGGTTATGTAATTGTAATAGGCTGAGCCCCCTCTCTCCATCATCACCTACATATAGGCTGACCTCATTTAGTATATACTCAAATAATATAAAAGGCCAAAGTAAATAAATAAATGTTTTTTAATTAATTAATAATAAACTTATTCTTTTATGAAGAAATAAGAGTGGACTAAGAGAAATGAGAACTCTTAGTCCACTCTTAGGGGTAGGGTGAAGGGGCATAACGTCAACACCATTTTGGGGTAACTTCGACACCTTGTTGTTTATTTCCTCTAATTTCTGATCTAGGAGGAAGCCATATTTTTTTACTCACATGGATCGAGATCTCGTGAGATTTTATCTATCCAGAAATCAAACATGTCGGAAAACGGAAATTCAAAATTCTTATTTAGTAAGTGTCGAAGTTACCCCATTTGTCATGTCGACATTACCTCACACATCGACTTTACGCCCCTTTGCCATAGAGGTTTGAAGAGTTGTTATATAGAAGGTTTAACACTTTATGGATTTACCATGGCCTTAATCAAGCATACATCAATCATAAACACATCATGATGCTTTTTTGCAAAATCAAGCTAGCTAATTATCAAATCACAAATAAAAACAGAATTCATAATGCTTTACATTTACAAAAAGTTATTCCTCTTTCTTAATTCATTATGCAGATTTCACAAAGCAAGAAGTTTCAAAACAAGAGACAAAATGTTCTTGATTAATACACAATAGTGAAACTGTTTTATTCTCTCGTCAAACTTTTTCAGTTACAATCTACTATAAATATTAATTTAAAAACCAATCTAGTTGGATTTGCTTGGGGAAAAAATAATACTGTAATGACCCGAAGGCACCTCCAGGGAGCTGCAATGCAACAAGCCAGAGACATGAATGGGAGTGTGCTATTCAATAATCCCAATGCCGAAATGGAACACCATGATCTCCCAGTTCAGAGTCTCATGCTCTTGTCAGTGGTCAGACTGAGCGATCAAGACTTCCAGGGTCGTTACAATGCTTTCCTACTAGCTTGCAATATCATATAACTGACAAATTAACTTATACCATGTAATCCTATTAAATGGTTTGAATATTTTCATTTTAAATATAGTTTTATCTCAATTTGAATGACCAATTTATTGAAACAATTTTAATTTGTAAGTGTGAATACTAGAATTAACTGCAATTGACTCAGAATGAAGCTCAAATTAATTGTATTTTAAACAAATTCATTTAAACTTTAACATGAGAGATTGATCTCACCTTGGCCACCTGGATACATGCATCTGAATGCCTTCCCAAGCTGCTCTGCTTGTGTCTTCCCTGCAGGGGTCAGCTCACCACCCCACTTCAGGATCAAAACAAGGCTTGGATCACGGGGCATATCTACAACAATTACATTTTCAAAAATAAGTTTTTATCACATTATGCCAGTTGCATATTTTAACATTTTGGTAGAAAATTGAATTGCTAAACTAATTTTGTTAGATATTTCAATTAGGTAAAAATAGTCATTTTTTAATAAAACTAATGGTAATGATCAGCATGCCAATGTCTTATGGTCACGCCCGGTGATCGTACAAAATGGATGGGGGAGTGGGTGATTTCTGCAAGAAAACTCAACAAATTTGGAAGTTTTATTTTTTCAAGAGAAAATTTACAACTGAATTGCCAAATGAATAGGCGCAGTGCATGGCAAAATATGTCAGGTCTTCTAGTATTTTTAGTGAACTGATACGCTTCTAAGATATGAGATCTATTTTTTATAGTCAAGTTTTTTTGCGTAAAACTATTCATCAATATACATCTTTCCACTAAATATGAAGAAAATCCGTCAACTAATATTTGAGTTATCTTCCGGACGGACAGACGGACGGACGGACGGACGGACGGAGGGCTTCACTATATCCCTACCGAACTTCGTTCGTTGGGATAATTAAGAAATTCCATATGTTTGAAAAAATATTAACATGACAAAATGTCACAACCACCTTGAAAATTTGATCAATTTGAAGCAAGTTGAAAATACCTTTTCTTTTTAACCTAAAGACCTTGTAGACCTTTTTACCAGGTCAAATCTAAAGTCAGATTTGAATTCTGAGAACTTGTAGATGATTTTGAAAAGAATTTAAGCCAATTTCAAGCAAACTTTTTGACCTTTTTTTAACCTTTTTGACCTTCTAAAGGTCATTGAGGGTCAAATCTTATATCTTAAATCAGCTTTGAACTTCTGAAAACAGTATTTGTTATGTTATTGAAAGTTGTTAGAATTTGTTACAGACGCTACCCGCCAATTGTTACCCAAATAGTCAGTCTAAACTGACTATTTGTTTAGATATTGCAAGTTACGAGTTTGCTACAGACACCAACCACCAACCGCTGTCACAAAAAAAAAACGGAGACCATAACAATATATATATATACCAAAAAGTGGTGACATAAAAATCTGGTTAAAGCATGCAATATTTACATTGATTTTTTGGCAATAATTAGGATGGAACATAACTATGCTTTTTTTAATCAGTTCAATAACTATTTTTTACATTTTTGCAACTACATTAGTTTAATCATATATGTTCTAATATCACTATTTGTAAAAAATCAAATCACCTACAAAATGAGGGGTCAATCAAAACATTTTCATGTAATAACTGGGCTCTACAACACCTTCTCCACTAATGAAGGTTCTATTGAGATAAAAGAGAAAAAGAGCACAAATTAATAGCTTTTAAAAACATTCAGGGACCTCCTATAGACCCCCATATGTGCCCAACATTTATTAAAAATATTAAAAACAAAGCAATGATAAGCAAACACAAAAGCACTATGGAAGTAAATGTTTCTGCATCAGATAATACTTCTAGTGAATTTCTAGATTCTGGCAATAATTGGTAAATAATCTAAAGAGTGTAATTACATGTATAAAGCATATAAACTAAATTTTTGCAAATATTACACTACCTTACAATAGCCCAATTTACACTACGCGCAGCATTCCAAGACGTTTTGGCTAAAACGTTTTAAAAAAACTAAGTTGAGTTTACATTACCATTTTCAAGACGTTTTAGGAAATAAGATCGAGTTTACACCTGTTTTCCTAAAATGTCTTAGAGATATGTAGGTATACATGTAAAATGAAAAAAGCAGTTCAGTACTGGTTGAAGGACGGTTCAGTCTATGTAGCTATTCCTTTCCCGCTTCTATACTTTGTACCCGACTTTGTACTGAAGAATGCATCGATTTCAGAAAAATATGTCCTAAAGACAGCATTGTTAAAAGCATGAAAGAGAGCAGGAAGAGTTTATGCACAAATTAGGATTATGATAAATCGCCAGGCAAATAAGTTATTCTCAATAATTTTGGGATGATATTGGGAACAAGGGATAAGACAAAATAAAGGACCATGCGACTTATGTAAATGGAAAGTTTCAAATGTTTCGTTCGGCGCAACGCAAAAAACCGGGCTAAGAGCTCTTAGCTAAAACCGATGGATTTACACTTGATTGTAAAACGTTTTAATGTTAAGACGTCTTGGCTATGACTAGGGTCCTAAAACATTTTAGCTAAGCGCTCTTAGCCGAGAGCTCTTGAGTAAATCTGGATTTACATTACATTTGTAAAACGTTTTAACGCTAAAACGTTTTAGCTAAGACGTCTTAGCGCGCTAGTGTAAATCCACCAAATATTTTGTGTGAATAAAGGAAATAGGGAAGTGATAAATAGCGTTTTCTATATAATGTGGCTACTTGTTTACATGTTAACAGTCATAACATCTGGAGTAAGGGTCCTATAATATCCTAACACCCCCATGCCCTTAATCATTCTGTTTTAAGCAATACATAACTGGAAATTGGCAATTCCACAGAGTAGCAAATCCCACCGAACACTGTATTCATGAATTTGTATATGTGTCACGATGTAATATTTACCATCTACTCTTACCCTTGATTAAATTGGCAGATATTCCATTTAGGAGTTTCAAAGGCACAAATCATAGAGACATTACAATGTTTGAGATCTAAAAGAGTATAAAATAATCATACTTTGAAGAGATCTTTAATGTGATCTACTCTATACTAAAATTCCTTCAATTTGAGAATAACATAGCCAAGAGATCAGAAAAATTTTGCAAAATCCCACATTGGGTGACCAAAAAACAACATTAGGAGCCCAAACAATACAATATTTGTAATCTACTCTAAATTGCATTTGAGTATAGTAAAACTATACTTCAGAAAAATCTCAATATTAACAATGTGGTTTTCCAACCCCAGATAAAGTGGTGGCCATCTTGAACAATTTTTTGAGTAAAAATATTTACCAACATTCATCTTTCCACCAAATATGAAGGAAATTTGGGCACCAGTATTTGAGTTGTCTTCCAGATGGATGGATAGAGGGCTTCATTATATCCCTACCAAACTTTGTTCGTTGGGATACTTATAAATGTATGTTGTTTCCACTTTTAACTTAGAAGGCCAATTGTATCTGGAATTACAACTTGTCACTTTAACTTCCAATATTAAGAACAGCCACATAGTGAAAGGAACAGGCCTGGCTTCAAATAAGTAAACATAGTTATTATTAAGGTCTTGGAGTAGACACATTGAAGGCCACATATAATTAATCTGACTCCAATGTCAAAAATGCAAAATTACAAAAAGAAGCCATCAAAAGGATTAATCTTTCAAGTTAACTTGCATTCAATTTTTCCGTAGTTAACAACTTTAAAGAGAAGCTATTCATTTTGAGCTTCTGACTAAGAAAACTCTCTGGATCATTCAAGATATGGTCAAAAGAGTAAATTTTTTTGAACTATCCCATTTCCAGATACACTGATTTTGAATGAACTTTCTTTATATTAAAAACACATTTCAAGATAAGATTGCCTAAAGATGTATGGTGCTAAGGGGCATGGGAGCAGAGCTAATATAAAATAATGATACCAAATTGTCCTGGGTATGTGTCAACATCTGCGTCCGATCCCGAGACATCTGTCAATATCAGAAATAACTGGGTTAGTCATTGAGAAAATAAAGACACAGCAAAACAGCAAGAATATTCAAACAAAAATTGTGTTGTTTAAATGTAATTCAAATATGGCTTGAAGCTTGAAATCAGATTAATAACTCCAGTGCACTGTCAATAAATCCCAGCTAATTATAGTTGCAAATGTTTTCACAGCATTTCAGGAAGTCCTCCCAAAACTTCCCTAATTCCTATGGCCAGGACAAATGAATGATGTGTTGAATCCCCCCATTCCTATGGCCAGGACAAACAATTGATTTGTTGAATTCCCCCATTCCTATGGCCAGGACAAATGATTGATGTGTTAATTCCCCCCATTCCTATGGCCAGGACATATGAATGATGTGTTGGATCCCCCCCCCAATTCCTATGGCCAGGACAAACAATTGATTTGTTGAATTCCCCCATTCCTATGGCCAGGACAAATGAATGATGTGTTGAATTCCCCCATTCCTATGGCCAGGACAAATGATTGTTTTGTTGAATTCCCCCATTCCGATGGCCAGGACAAACTATTGATTTGTTGAATTCCCCCATTCCTATGGCTAAGACAAATGAATGATGTGTTGAATTCCCCCATTCCTTTGGCCAGGACAAATGAATGATGTGTTGAATTCCCCCATTCCTATGGCCAGGACAAATGATTGTTTTGTTGAATTCCCCCATTCCGATGGCCAGGACAAACAATTGATTTGTTGAATTCCCCCATTCCTATGGCTAAGACAAATGAATGATGTGTTGAATTCCCCCATTCCTTTGGCCAGGACAAATGAATGATGTGTTGAATTCCCCCATTCCTATGGCCAGGACAAATGATTGTTTTGTTGAATTCCCCCATTCCGATGGCCAGGACAAACAATTGATTTGTTGAATTCCCCCAATTCCTATGGCCAGGACAAACAATTGATTTGTTGAATTCCCCCATTCCTATGGCCAGGACAAATGAATGATGTGTTGAATTCCCCCATTCCTATGGCCAGGACAAATGATTGTTTTGTTGAATTCCCCCATTCCGATGGCCAGGACAAACTATTGATTTGTTGAATTCCCCCATTCCTATGGCTAAGACAAATGAATGATGTGTTGAATTCCCCCATTCCTATGGCCAGGACAAATGAATGATGTGTTGAATTCCCCCATTCCTATGGCCAGGACAAATGAATGATGTGTTGAATTCCCCCATTCCTTTGGCCAGGACAAATGAATGATGTGTTGAATTCCCCCATTCCTATGGCCAGGACAAATGATTGATGTGTTAATTCCCCCCATTCCTATGGCCAGGACAAATGAATGATGTGTTGAATTCCCCCATTCCTATGGCCAGGACAAATGAATGATGTGTTGAATTCCCCCATTCCTATGGCCAGGACAAATGAATGATGTGTTGAATTCCCCCATTCCTTTGGCCAGGACAAATGATTGATTTGTTGAATTCCCCCATTCCTATGGCCAGGACAAATGATTGATGTGTTAATTCCCCCCATTCCTATGGCCAGGACAAATGAATGATGTGTTGAATCCCCCCATTCCTATGGCCAGGACAAACAATTGATTTGTTGAATTCCCCCATTCCTATGGCCAGGACAAATGAATGATGTGTTGAATTCCCCCATTCCTATGGCCAGGACAAATGATTGTTTTGTTGAATTCCCCCATTCCGATGGCCAGGACAAACTATTGATTTGTTGAATTCCCCCATTCCTATGGCTAAGACAAATGAATGATGTGTTGAATTCCCCCATTCCTATGGCCAGGACAAATGAATGATGTGTTGAATTCCCCCATTCCTATGGCCAGGACAAATGAATGATGTGTTGAATTCCCCCATTCCTTTGGCCAGGACAAATGAATGATGTGTTGAATTCCCCCATTCCTATGGCCAGGACAAATAATTGATTTGTTGAATTCCCCCATTCCTATGGCCAGGACAAATGAATGATGTGTTGAATTCCCCCATTCCTATGGCCAGGACAAATGAATGATGTGTTGAATTCCCCCATTCCTATGGCCAGGACAAATGAATGATGTGTTGAATTCCCCCATTCCTTTGGCCAGGACAAATGAATGATGTGTTGAATTCCCCCATTCCTATGGCCAGGACAAACAATTGATTTGTTGAATTCCCCCATTCCTATGGCCAGGACAAACAATTGATTTATTGAATTCCCCCATTCCTATGGCCAGGACAAATGAATGATGTGTTGAATTCCCCATTCCTGTGACCAGGACAAACAATTGATTTGTTGAATTCCCCCATTCCTATGGCCAGGACAAATAATTGATGTGTTGAAGTCGCCCATTCCTCCCTCAAAATACATGTCTTATTATGTTATATATTTTAATTCACCATCACAATCTTGACCTTCCAAGTCGCAATAATGCATACTACTCGTATTTATCAATTGTAATTGGCCAACTTGCTTTGCATTCTCCTCTTACATGAATGCGATCGTTTCACCCATGTTACAACATCATCTGCATTTCCTTATGTAAGTATATATATTGGGTGTTACATAATATCTAAACATGTAAGGATGAAGCTTGCACTGCATTCGTAAGATATGAAGCACTCTTCTAAATATAAGAGGTGAAAATGCAAAATGCAAAAGTGAGACATCAAACTGTTCCAATCACTGGCAATAATATTATGCATTACATATATATATCGGGTTCGACAAGTGGCATATATAACAAATAACTAAACATGTAATGGCCACCTTAAAGTAAATATAGCTTCAATATAACTAAAAAAAAACAGACTTCCTTTGTCTTCAAATTGTGTTTTCCATTTTTTATTCATGTAAATCTTGTGTCAGTAAAATTCATAGATGTTGGCCAGATCGTTTTGTAGTCGGATCTCGATAGGCTCAAAGAATAATTCAGAAGATGCGTCACTAAATTGGAAAATTTCAAAAAAAGTGACCACCTGAGATCTTCATCTTTCTATTTCTATTTGTTTAGTTCGAGCAAATAACCTATGAACGCAGTAATTTGATTTTTAATACGGCAAATATTTTTCACTTGATCCAGAATCTTGTATATCATTGTACAGTAATTCTGATGTCACATCTCTGGAATCACAGGAGTACCATTCGGATTTGGACAGACAAGAGCCTGTCGATAAAATATCACTGTTTTGGCCTCTTATTAACGCAGTATCACTCAAATAACTCATTAGTGATAAAAAAAGTTAAAGAAAAACAAGACGCTTCGAATGAGGTATGATTTGTCTCACATTTTTCAGAAATGGCTGCACAATCGTCATTTTAGAATCTGAAATTTTCTTAGGTGTCATATCTTCTAAATTATTCTTTGAGCTTCTGATCCTTCTACAAAAGAATCTGGCTGGGATCTATGGTAAAATTCAACTCTACAGGGTTTAAAAAAATGGCATCCCCCTCTACAGCAAAACTTACTCCATATTACATGGTGTTTCATATCTCATTTTAAAGCAATCTAATTCTGGAGTTAATCTGGAGAAAATTCAGTGTTGTATCATAAAATTTTACAGATTAGTAGTTGATTGTAAATTGAGAAAAACAAGATCCTCCTTTTAGAAAATAAGCCTAACATTTTTAAAAAAGGAACAAGGTGGGTTCCTAAACCATAATTTTTCAGAGAATTGAGTTAATATCTTTATCCTCACCAAGACTTAACCTAAAAAACATGTTGTTTTAATAAAAACCACTGTCCAGAAAGTACTCATGGTAAAAGAAATGACGTCAAAAATCACTTGCCATACTATACCTGGTCCTTGATGAGAAACTCCAGAATGAAATTATCTTTCAACTGAGATATGACAGGTCATGTGACATTCAGGAGTTTTTACTGTAGAGGAGGTGCCATTGTTTTTTGACACCCTGTATATCATTTTACTTAGTTTAGTTTTAGGCCATCATTTTAGTATGCATCTTTTCAACAAAATTCTTATATTAATTTGTGCCACACTGTACCTGTATACTCGAAGTCATAGGTAAAGAAAACATCTGAAAACATGAGTGATTAAAAGTATGGAGCTAGTCATGATGAATTCTGAAAATATATTGTTTAAAGTGACATTGTCTGTTTATCTCTTCAAACTATAAGTGTGCTTTGGTTGGAGATTGTATAAGCTGTTTTGAAGCCCAAAATTGCAGTCAATGACAGTCGCTGTTGATATTTCAATGAAAAAATTTGATTTAAAAAATTAAAACTTACAACTTAAATGATTTTGGAGGAACAAATACAGACAAAGCCTCTTTAAAGGAACTTATACTGGGATTTAAATTTTAACTCATCAACTTAGAACATGGAAGAACTTTAGAATAAAAATCCAAATATGAAGCAACCATAAACATATGCTCTGAGTCTGAAATATATTGATGGTAGAAACATGTTTGCACTGTTCGCATGTAAGCAGCATTCAATGAACATGGAGATGCTAGACTTAATTTAACAAGGCATTGAAAAAATGTCACCACCTGCCAATGATTGCAAAAGTGTAACAATTGCTAGAGAGGAAGGTCAACCAAATATCAAATATCAATGTAACCACTTCTGGTGGTAACATAAAAATGCTTAATTTTGAAGTTTTTGGATAAAGAGCTCACTGCATAGTATAAGCAAGCATAAATGCACTGACACTTGTGTACAAGCAAGGCATGAATGCACTGTCACTACCTTATGTACAAGCAAGGCATAAATGCACTGTTACAACCTTGCGTACAAGCAAGGCATGAATGCACTTTCACAACCTTGTGTGCAAGCAAGGCATAAATGCACTGCCACGTCCTTGTGTACAAGCAAGGCATAAATGCACTGTCACTTGTGTACAAGCAAGGCATGCATGCACTGTCACTACCTTATGTACAAGCAAGGCATAAATGCACTGTCACAACCTTGCGTACAAGCAAGGCATGAATGCACTATCACAACCTTGCGTACAAGCAAGGCATGAATGCAGTGTCACTACCTAATGTACAAGCAAGGCATAAATGAACTGTCACAACCTTGCGTACAAGCAAGACATGAATGCACTTTCACAACCGTGTGTACAAGCAAGGCATAAATGCAGTGCCACTTATGTACAAGCAAGGCATAAATGCACTGTCACTTATGTACAAGCAAGGCATAAATGCACTGTCACTTGTGTACAAGCAAGGCATGAATGCACTGTCACTACCTTATGTACATGCAAGGCATAAATGCACTGTCACAACCTTGCGTACAAGCAAGGCATGAATGAACTATCACAACCTTGCGTACAAGCAAGGCATAAATGCACTGTCACTACCTTGTGTGCAAGCATTGGCATGAATGCACTGTCACTACCTTGCGTACAAGCAAGGCATGAATGCACTGTCACTACCTTATGTACAAGCAAGGCATAAATGCACTGTCACAACCTTGCGTACAAGCAAGGCATGAATGCACTGCCACTTCCTTGTGTACAAGCAAGGCATAAATGCACTGTCACAACCTTGCGTACAAACAAGGCATGAATGCACTGTCACAACCTTGCGTACAAGCAAGGCATGAATGCACTGCCACGTCCTTGTGTACAAGCAAGGCATGAATGCACTGTCACTACCTTATGTACAAGCAAGGCATAAATGCACTGTCACAACCTTGCGTACAAGCAAGGCATGAATACACTGCCACTTCCTTGTGTACAAGCAAGGCATAAATGCACTGTCACAACCCTGTGTACAAGCAAGGCATAAATACACTGTCACAACCTTGGGTACAAGCAAGGCATGAATGAACTGTCACTACCTTATGTACAAGCAAGGCATAAATGCACTGCCACTTCCTTGTGTACAAGCAAGGCATAAATGCACTGTCACAACCTTGTGAACAAGCAAGGCATAAATGCAGTGCCACTTCCTTGTGTACAAGCAAGGCATGAATGTACTGTCACTTCCTTGCGTACAAGCAAGGCATGAATGCACTGTCACTACCTTATGTACAAGCAAGGCATAAATGCACTGCCACTTGTGTACACGCAAGGCATAAATGCACTGTCACAACCTTGCGTACAAGCAAGGCATGAATGCACTGTCACTACCTTGCGTACAAGCAAGGCATGAATGCACTGTCACTACACTGTATACAAGCAAGGCATGAATGCACTGTCAGTACCTTGTGTACAAGCAAGGCATAAATGCACTGTCAGTACCTTGTGTACAAGCATTGGCATGAATGGACTGTCACTACCTTGTGTACAAACAAGGCATAAATGCACTGTCACTGCCTTATGTACAAGCAAGGCATGAATGGACTGTCACTACCTTGTGTACACGCAAGGCATAAATGCACTGTCACAACCTTGCGTACAAGCAAGGCATGAATGCACTGTCACTACCTTGCGTACAAGCAAGGCATGAATGCACTGTCACTACACTGTATACAAGCAAGGCATGAATGCACTGTCAGTACCTTGTGTACAAACAAGGCATGAATGCACTGTCACTGCCTTATGTACAAGCAAGGCATGAATGGACTGTCACTACCTTGTGTACAAGCAAGGCATGAATGCACTATCACAACCTTGCGTACAAGCAAGGCATGAATGCACTGTCACTACACTGTATACAAGCAAGGCATGAATGGACTGTCACTACCTTGTGTGCAAGCAAGGCATAAATGCATTGTCACTTCCTTGTGTACAAGCAAGGCATAAATGCACTGTCACTTGTGTACAAACAAGGCATTAATGCACTGTCACTACCTTGTGTACAAGCAAGGCATGAATGGTCTGTCACTACCTTGTGTACAAGCGACATATTAATGCACTGTCACTACCTTGTAAATTATCAAGAGAGCATTTCTCAACATTGATACAAGGTTGCTTTATATTTGACTAGAACAATGTAAAGAAAAACAACATTGGAAACAGTAGTTCACCAACCATCTTCACTGCAGCATGGATAGCCATTGGGCTGATATTTCAGTTGGACCTTACGGTTGATACCAGAAAATGAATACCTAAAATGCCATCATATAGTAAATAATCTCCCAGAAAGTTCTACATTTTACTAGTATGAAAAGGGTTGGTTTTATTTTGCTACAACTCGGATTCAAATTGAAAAACATTTAATAATTATTTTCTTCATATGATATGCAGTTTGTAATTGTTGATTGCTCAAGATATAAAGAAGTTATCCACCAGGAGGTACTTGATATGGGTAATATAAAAAGGACATTATTAACCTTATTCTGAGGGAAATATTGATATCATCCGAGGGACATTCCTCATATCATCTCAACAGGTGAATAACAACCTTTGAGCTATCATTCTGATACTCATAGCATCTCTTTCTGTTGCATCGCAGATGCTGTCCAGAAGGATAGAGATGGAGAGGGCTTGGCTTACCACGATGAAGAGCAATATCTATCTAAAGTCCTCTGTTGAATGAGAGAAAAAAAATGTTTGACTCTCAGGAATATCAAAGTTAAATATAATCCCCACCTAATGCGCATTGAGAATTTAGGAAAAAGAAAAACATAATACTTTAAAAAAATTGAAAAATTATTTTTAAAACCCCAAAAAATTGAAATATACAATTTTTGAAAAAATGAAGAATTTTGGAAAAATTTAAATTTTTTGAAAGAATGAAATTTTTATTGAATTTACCAGGAATGATATTAATATCATCCCTGATATCATCCCTGATATCATCCCTCTAATCCTGGTATCATCGCTGTCCCAAATATGTGATTTATCACTTGCTATTATATAACTGATATTGCTCTGACCATGGTATAAATATAATAATTATCCCATGGTTGCAAGAATATAGATCAAATATCACATGAAGATATATTTCACATGAAGATATATTGGTATGTGGATCAAGATATCATATTTTAGCAAAAAAATTTAAAAAAAATTTCAAAAATATCAATTATATCTACTCATGGATAACAATTTTGTCACGCATTAGCTGTACCCATGATATAAATGATATTTTTTCAAACCATAGGATATTCCTATATTATTCCAGAGCATGCAATTACTCCGATTTCTATATTTCTTAGAAACAGCAAATCTAAGCACCTTTACATCTTATGTTATTGCATGCAGTATCCATCTATCATCTATATATCAGCCATTTTCAAATTATGATATACAAGATCTACAAGATCCATCAATAAGCTTTGAGAATTCTCTTAATCAACAGTATTCAGTTTTCAAAAAACAATTCAGCAGTATTCCCATCCATCACATCAATGAGCATTCCCATGTGAAAGTAAAAAAACAAAAAGTCACAAGACTCTTGATTAAGTTTTTTCTGGAAACGTATTGATTGACCTCATATATTTCAGGCATATGATCAGTATGTATCGTAGAGGCAATGATAGCACAATATCTTTTGAATTTTGAATAGTGATGAATAAAAATATATCTTCATGTAAACCGCAAGATAAGCAAATTTCAAAATGGCTGAATGAATTGTTGACTGACATGCTAAATATGAAAAATGTGATTTACTGAGTTAAAGAATACCCACCATCATCTTCGCTTGACTTCCTGGGCCTACCCTTAGGTTGATACTTGAGCTGTACTTTACGATTAATGCCAGAAAAATAACCATACCTAAAATTGGCATTATTAGTAAGATATTAGTTTCTTAAATATATGTAACATACAAACATATAAGTGTTAATTCTAATTATATCATAAGTACATGTATATGTGTTTGCCAATTAATTCATATCTCAACAGATAACATTATAACAATTTTATTCCAATTTTCTCAAGAAAGGCCATGTACATAGTTACAGTTCCATTTGGTTCAGCTCACTTCTTGACTTTGGCTTTAATTTGGTTGTCGGTTTACATAATGTTGTACATATGGGTTATCATGTAAGTGGCAAACTTGCTTGAAGTTGGCTGGCAATTGAGTGAGGCTATGTGATACCAAAACTAGAAAAACAGCTAATCCCTCAAGAAGAAATATTTTAGTCTAATGCCCATAAGGTATTAGGTTATAAATAATGCATGTAGGATAGAGCAGCCAACTTTGTATTTCTGTTTGTAGGTGCTTCCTGACAATGAAAACAATTAAATGTTCATTGTACCTGTAATATATTTGCCAGTCTATAATCTTCAATAACAGATCACAGAATGATATCATGGACATGTAAGTCAAATGGATTTTCTCATAGGCCACAATTAATCATATTAACCCATTAACACCTTTTTCCTGTTTTAAAATGGAGACCAAAATTGAAAACTGTTGGGGAGATATGTGATACACACCTTTTCATGAAACAACCTGAAGATACAATCATAAGCTCCATAAATGGCATACATTGAGGTTTTATTTAAGTGAATGCATTTCATGTTAATTAAGGTTAATATGTCACATATAGCATACCAAAACTATAAATGCATCCCATAATTGCTGCGATAAGTTCTTATATATATAAATGTGTCATTTGGAGAATTGTTCCTTGGATTGCTAGGATTGTCGCAAACAATTGGATTTTTGGAACGTTTTTAAATTTAAATACGATGTCACTACTGAACTAGAACATTCAAAATAATATGTGTTAAATTACTCTTGTGATTAACAAATGAGTTGATGGTCTTGGGGTAGAATGCTTGCCTTGGATTAGAGCATTAATAATGTTGGCTGTATGAAAATGTAAAGATAATATGTTAATATATTGCATTTTAGAGAGATGTGCAGGTTTAAAGATTCTAATAGATTGGCCTTACAGATATACATTTCTATTTATTGACAGAAAACACATACAACCAAAAATATAACTGTCTGAAGTATAAGTTACCTTATTCTTTGTGGATTGCCCAGAAATTTGACCAAATGATGAACTGGTATTTGCATCATTATCATCTTAATCTTATTCTCATAAGGCATCAACATTCAGAAATTATATTTTTTACGAAAAAATGCCTACCTTATTAAAATGAGGATGATCTGCTTAACATTATATGTAACATTAAAATAACTCACAGCACTACATTGGATAAAAAAGAAAATTTTCCATAAGAACAATCTAACTCCTTCAGACTTGGTGTAGGAGGATCTGACAGTTCGCAGCCTTTGAACATGAGACAAAATATGAAAATGAACTGGATGGAACTTTAACCGACCCTTCTCTACAATGTATGCATCATATTCATCAATGATATATTTATATGAATCAAAAATTTCTTACATTTCTAACACAGATTTTAGTTGTTCTAATTTGGATTTCTTTTCTTCAATTTCTGGATCTGATCTAGTACGTATTTCAGCCAATAGGTAGCGAGCAATGTCAAGAACTTCTTGGAGCTGCTTCGGGCGCTTAAGTTTCAATTGGCCAGTTTTAAATCCATCATATTTTTCAAATAGGTCAAAAAATCTAAAAAGAAAACATTCAAATTGTAAAGTCCTTCCTTATAGTCTAATCTACTTTCCCTTATTTTGCTTCATGGAGATAGACATTTGTTTCATTAATAGCAGGAATCTGTATTTTTACTGATTGTTCTTGAAAATACTCTCCAGTGGACTTTACATTTCATATGAATATTGAAACCACATTCCTAGCTTTATCCTCAAATCAATTGGTGTAGCCATGGGAATAATGATGTCATTGTTACAGTTAACTCTTGGTAATGTACCTCAGTGCATTTAAATAAAGATACAAAGCATACTTCTTATGTTTAACCTCCATTTTCATCTTCTGTTTTGGTGTCCTGTCCCCATGTCTGATAACTGCAATAACGCATCTCAGTTCCATCCTAGTGTTGGAAAATATTAAAGAAAAAGATACATTGTCATCATCAGGCCCTTGTTCAGGTTAACTTTTGTAGATAACTGTGAATGGGACAATGTTTAGAATGCAAACTTACAATTGGTAAGAAGAGTAATAATATTAATTAATTATTACATCTTATCTTACAAGTATTCAGTGATACTGTCAAGTTCTCTATGTCAAATTGCAAGATTCTGCAAATCTGCAGACAAAATAATTTTGATCAATGTATCATAGAAATAGCAAACTAAGAGGTGTGACCATGAACAGGACTTACATGGTGCCATATGTGGTAGGCACTATAGGTATATCTTCAGGCTGGAATGTGATAGACCAGGGGATAGACAGCTGCGGAGCCAAATTACGCAGCACAAGATTTCTGAAACATACACTGATATTAAGATATCTACTCTTTGGAATTTTCTTTTTATTGTATGAGATTTATTTTTAATACTGACAATTGGATCATGACTTCATGGCTAGGATTTGCATGGGGCTATATTGTTTAAATGTGGTGTATTTATATATCTATTTAAAAACTACAATAACTGTTTCAACAAGGTGTAGAATCAAAACGATGGCACAGTCACAGACTGTGACTCACGAAACTGTTCTAAGCAGTTCAGAGCCAAAATGGAGGGACAGAATTCTGGCAGTTCCTTCCAATCGATGGACTAAACTGAAAAACCCAGGTATTTTAAATGCTATTTTAGGGTCTTTTTGGTGACGAAGAGATTTTTCTGTATCCATTGTTGTTATGTTGATAAGAAAATAAGCAGTTGTCCAGATTAAGCTAAAACAGTAGCAAAAGTTTGATTTTGCCAGTAAAACCTTTACATATCATTGAACTTTACCATACTTGAAACTCCAAGTGATTTGTGAGAATGATGTGATAATACAATGTGTTTTGAGGAGAAAATTAGATTCAAACTGCGCATTCACAGTGGTAGCAGTCAAGTTAACAATTTTAACAATTTTATTTTAACAACGCAACACAGCCTCCACTGGCATTCTGTGCAACGCAGTCCAGCTGCGAATACACAAAATTTCAGATAGTGTAAGTTATATCCATGCTCTTATTGTTTGACGAAAATGAAATAATCCACCACTTTATTTGAAATGAGAAGTAATAGGCCAGCACCATCTCATTTATCTTCTACAGTACCATCCGGACAGCACTTCACCAAATAGATCAACCTTCTTTATCCCATCAATCAAATAAAAAATTAAAAAAATAAATAAATATAAAAATAAAGCTTCATTTTGGTCACATTTATGCAAATTGTCCTATCTACCTTTGGCTGGGCTGTGTGCTTGTGTTGAGGTTTATTTATAAAGCAACACTGAGTGCCGGGCTGCATTGGGTAGATGGAAATTACTAAACTCAATTTTTTCAGAAATGGTATGTTTTTTACTTACCAAAGATCACACAAAGATGTAATTGCGCGTACATGTACAGTACTTTGATAACAGTACAGTATTTTGATAACAATGCAATGATACTTCTGATTCTTTTGTTTAAATTGATAAATAGGAACAAAATTTTACAAAACCACATTTTTGTGACAGATTTCGAATGTGTGTGTTCATGCTAAGCTATTGGATAGCTGAGCAACAATAATGTTATTGCAGGTGGAGGATATGTATGTTGATCACCGAATGGGACATACCTGCTCTTGTGCAATCTATCCAAAGCAATGATTTACCCCAAATCTTAACAAGCCCTCTAATTTAAGTTAAGAGTTACCGCCATTGTACAGCAATAATGCATTGTAACCTCGTTTTGAATTACGCGAGATGCAGTCCGTGGTTGTGCCATCATTTTGATTCCCCATCGTGTTCAATGTATGGAATTTATTAGCAGTTGACTATTCAATTATTAAGATGATTTAAGTTCCCATTATATTTGATAAGATACAAAAAAGTATTTACCCAAGTATTTTTGCTGAATCATCATAATATTTCATAGAGTTCTTCACAAAGCTGAATCCATTGACATCACAGACATAAGATTTGCCATTGGCCCTTAGTAAGTCAAATCCACACACAGTTTGCTGAGATTAATGAATAAAACAATATAATAAATATAATGCATAATACATTATTTGTAATAACAACACCTCCCATGGTCCAAAGGTTGTTCAACTTACACAGGTTCTACTGTACTTGTTAAACTTGATTTGCAAACGTGAGTGTACTCAAAACTAAATTGACAATTGAGTTACATATATAAATATCAAAAATATCTAACACATATCTCACTCTCTCCAATAAATCTATAAAAAACTATTTCATCATGTTAATTTCAACTTGAAAAACAGCAACAGAGTAGCAAATCCCACAGAACAATACATGTTTTGTTTGGAATTTGAGTTATGAAAGATTATGTTATTTTCCAATAAATAGTGGCCATTTTGAAATTCGGCCACCATCTTGAAAACCTATTCTCGAGCAAAGCCCCTTTGACCATAGGCATCAGCATATTTTTGAACACAATCCATCAGCTAGTATTTGAGTTATCAAACATATCAAACACATTGAGCGGCCATATTGGAAATATCTTCTCGAACAGAGCTTCTTACACATAATTAAAATTACACTGGACTCGTGACTAGTGAATATCATTTGATATCCAATGGAAGTCACACATGACTTATTATTTTTTAGTCATGTATAGGAAGGACATGGACCAATCAGAGAGTAAGAAATATGACAGTGATAAAATATCTATTAGCTTGAAAGAACTTGCTAGTAAATGGCATGAAAAGTGATGCATGCACAACTTAGAACAGTTAAAGTTCCTTTTGTTAACTTATTTTTAAAACTGTAATATTAACAGAAATATGAGTTAGGTACTGAGCCCCTTTTTCTACCTTGAATGCAATGCAAACTTTGCGTGCAATCAGTTTTTCACTGGCACTAAGGATGACTGGATAGCGTATCTCCTTCCCTTGTTTGTCCCTTTCAACCTTCCCATCCAAAGCTGGGGACTTCCTGGCCTCAGCATGGGCATAGTCTGGACCCAGAGTATACACCTGAGTGGAGGCAAATGTTTCATTCTTACTTTCAAGATATGTTTTATATTTTACAATGATATGAATAGACTACTTAAAAGTGTATTTTCCCCACTTTTAGCGTTCGGTGCTCGGTATAAAATATCAATGAATGAACAGTTTGTTATGCTTAAAGCTAGACTCCTTAACCAATTCCATTAAACATTTTTATACGTGCAATACAATACCTTTCGACCAAAAACTGTTTTTTTCACAATTTCAAAGTCACAACTTAACTTGTCCATGAAACTTGTGGGTTTCAATGCTATTATCTTTTATTTCCAACTCCATAGATGTGCTTGTTTTGAATATAAATGATAATCCACAAGACATTTGCTTTATTTACATGTACCTTCACATCTGTACCATCGGTAGGCATGAAATCTTCATAGATGTAGGACCCTGTCTGGCGTATACGACTCACTGGGGAGTAGACACTACTACGACTTCCAATCTATAATAAAATACTTTTAATACATATTATCATTTTACATAAAGTGTATCAGCTGTCAAAAAAGAACAACAATTTAAAATATTCTGCAAATAAATATTTTTTAATATTTTGAAAGTGTTTTTAGAAGATGCTAACACAACTGAAAGTTTCAAAAGTTAATCAAATGTGTCATCAAAGCCTAAGTAAGTTTTGAAAGTGAGGGCAAAATTCCATTACTAGTTTATTGTGGAGAGAAGTTTCCAAACTCATGGATGTGAGCGTATATGCATACATTTAACATAAGAAAAGTTGAATCATTCTAGCAAAAACAAAGCATTTAATCAAATTACAAAATGTAATCATCCAGTAAGTTATTGCAAATTGTAACAAAAGTTTAACATTTTTTTAAAATGCTGACCAAGATTCTCTAACTTAAAAACAAATGGTCTCAAAAATGGTGTCTGTTACATTATTGGAAGCACTTCTTGGTTAGTATGTAGTACGTGGTTATACCTTTCTGAATAAGCGTTGGCTTCCACCACCTGCGCTAGTTGGGAAGTAGATGTAAACATTGTGATCTTCTGCTGACACTGGTTTCTCTACAAATGGCTTCTGGAAGGTGACTCCATTCACTTCAATACTGTCTTCTGTCTGGACTAGTTCACACTCTATAGAAGCAGAAATACAAGCCTAGATCTCCATCTCAATAAGAGAACAGTTATTATGGAATTTTACAACATTCATTTATCTTTTCAAAATTTTCATTATTTGTCTGGTTAACAAAGTTTTCCGATCCATATAATCATTTTTAAGCACATTTGATATCGTGGGATAAACAGGTCATTTCACTTTCAATGTATTGTTCAGCTTTATCATCCCTCCCAATATAAAAAGCCATCTCTGTAAATCTTATCAAACTGTCCTTATTCCTTACTATGAGGATTATCAGAGTCACGTTCAAGAACAGCATATCTTGGCTGGTCTATTCCTTCCTTCTCCAGGATCTTGTAAACCTCCCGCCTGGAGTAGGATAAAATAAAAAGATAAATAATATGAACATCAAAGTGGTTTATATAAAATTTTAGTTGACAACTCTAACAAGGCATCTGAACATGCCATTTGTTACAGAGATTGACCTCTGAATGCCGAATGCTGACATCGTCCACAAAAAAGTTGTGGTGACATAAAAACAAGTTTGAAAATTATATTACATGTACATCAATAATTAAATATTCTTTATTGAACATGTACACTGTCACTGGTGCATGTCTGGATGAACATCCATCCATTATTTTCATCATTTTAACCAAGAAAGAAATCGATTCGTATCCAAATATTGTTCTTAATAGTAACATCTGTTGCTAAAAATCTAATCAATCAAAAGCAAATATATTAGCAGCTAATCAAGTGAGGAGAGGATTCCTCCTAACTTCAGCAACCAGGACATTATCTGGTGAATTTCATAATGTCTTGGTTGTTTTGTGTTATGGCCTATTAATTTCCTGGTTGCTGAAGTGAGGAATTCTCATTTGATTATTGGAGTCCTTGTATGTATATACTTGTGACTGATTCACTATTCAATAATCAGATGCAGCTATTAACACAAGGGTAAAATATATGGGTACAAATATACCTCCTTTTTGGTGAACATGATGGAAATAAGAATTTATAAAGATGTACATTAACATTTTTATAACAAGAACGGGACCAGTGACTGTACTTTAATTCTTGAAAACCAGGGAATATTTTGTAGACTAGTTAAGTAACAAACCCTTTACTATGTAATGTGTGCTCAAATGAAATTAACTACCCTAGTCAGTCCTAGGTGCCAGTATAAAAGGAACTTCCCAGTTTCATAACATTTTGTCAAACTCAGCCCAGAACTTCCCTTAAATATTAATAGATTTGGAGGATTGATTCTCATTTTACATTATTGAGTTTGATAATATACCATTTTTCACTAAAAGAATTATGAAAAATAATTATTATCTTTTCATGATTTTAAAACATGGGCTCTTGTGGGATTCAACTCAACCTGAAAATCATATTTTCAAAAACTAAAATTTTAAAAGCAAAATTTACAATTTTAACAACCAAATTTCTGGATTTTCATATGAATATAGATCTCAAATAGGATATCATTTTGACTAAATTTTGATCAAGATTATTTCGACTTGGACTGTGGTCTATAGTTACAAACCATCACTAATAATTATCATTGTATTGTATAAATACAATCAAGTCAATTTTTTCTATTGTTTTCAGGGTTCAACTTGATGTTCAATTCCTTAATTATCACAATACTGTTATAATCAAAACAAAACAAAAACAAAAAAAATTCCTTGTCCAGGCTACACCTTCAAATTATTTCAACTAAGTCAAAAATAGGACCCACGGTCCTGTGCTTACACAGTTTGGAACCTTCAGAGGAATGTATATCCTGACTTTCAAACAAAAATATTCATTTGGATTTGTAGTCTCGAACTTTAAGAAACTTATAGACAGCACAGTTGTGTGACCTAGTTTGATGACCTTTGACCTTGAAAATTTTACTTATTTAGAGCTCAGTAAGGTCTTTTGTGATTAAGCTGACCAAAATTTACATCCAAAAATCAATTTGAAAAATCAACTTTTTTGACCTTTCAAAGGTCACTGAAGGTCAAGTAAAGGTCAAATCCTAAAACTAATGTCAGATTTGAACTCCTGGTAATTTGTAGATGATTTTCAAAAAAAATTTGGTCAAATTGAAGCAAGTTGAAAAATAACTTATTTTTACTGTTTTTTGACGTCAAATATCTCAAAAACTGTAAAAATTTGATGCTGACATATATTGAGCAATATGTAGGGAATGCTTAAATCCAGTTATGATGTAATTCATTGCAAGAAATAATCAAGTATAAGGCAAACTTTGAGAAACTTGTCAATCACAAAACCTTTATACATAAGGAAGTTTCCTGAAAATGATTAAGTCCTACTTTTTGTCAAATTTTATAGAGTAAACACCAAAAACTGTAATTCCATGAGCTTTGAAATCTTCAGAAGACATAAGTTGCATATACAGCAACTACTACAAGTTATTTGAAAGTTCTACTTCAACAAAGTGTCTAGTATTTACAGAAAATTTGACTTTTTGACATCAAAATCAGCAATTTCTCGGAAACCGGGCGAACTTGGGAAATGGCGATGATAGGTCAAATAGGCTTTATGGATATGCATAAAATGACTGTGGATATGACTCAATCCGAATAGCAGTTTTAATTTGTGCGGCCAATGTTGACGGACGGACGGACGGACGGACGGAGGGACGTACGGACGGACGGACCAACGGACGGACGGACCAACGGACGGACGGACGCCTGGTCGATAGGCTCACTGTTTGAGCCAATAAAAATGATGATCATCAAAGCAAAATTATTGAGGAAAACAAGTTAAGAAATAATCAATGTAAAATTAAATTAATTAAAATCATAAGTAACAGAAAAGTTACCTGTCTTGTAAAAAATACTGCATTTTAAGGTCATTGATAAGAAATGGTTTCCTGAGTTTAGCATATCGCACAGCCTTATCCAACGGAAATCCCTTGGAAAAGAATGATATCAATCCGTCACATATTGGCCAATCCTCAATTGGACTCTTTAAGATCACATCTTCATCAAAGATTAAGGTCTCTATGTATTGAAATAGTTCTAAACGTTCGAGAATTTCTTGCATTGGTCTTGAGCTTGATTTCTTCTTCATTGCACAAATACCTACAATGACCCTCCTTCCATCAACATTGGCTCTCTCCTGAAATATGAAAACATTTGGGCTAAAAAATGCTATAATTCAAGAGCTACAGTATGTACATGCATAATGGTATAATGTATCAACATCTATCAAAACAGGATCTCATTGTTCCAAGCTGAGGTTATAAATCATTGAGTTTAATCACTTCTGGCTGAGTACCAGATACTTACTGGAGGGGTTGAACTATTAGATCTTCTATTGCAATCAACATCATTCACACTGAAGTCATCATGGAGATAGAATGAAGCTCTACTTCCGGTATCTTGTGATTCTTCTTTGATAGCTTCAGCAGAAATGTGCACATGTCTTTGACATTGTGGCTCATCATACACTTTGGTATTATCAGTGAGATCAGTTATTATTGCTGAAGAATCAATTTGATTAGATGTATCAGTGACCACCAAGCCTGGACCATCAGTTGGTGAGTGAAAGTTAAGATCAGCAAAGTCTGTTAGAGTACTGTTAGAGTCCTTTGTACTACAGCTGTGATCTGTGGCTGTATCAGATATATCATCTTCTTTTGCTTGTGTGAATGTCTTATTTTTGATATTACTTGAGCTGTCAATAATAACCCCACTAGTGTCAGTTACATTGATGTCTATATTACCTAGATTTCCAGACTTTGTACTCCTTGCAATGTTGGGCTTTGCTTCATCAGGAATACTCACTTTATTAATAGAAACTGTAACATCATTTACAGGAAATGCTATATTGTTTGGAACTTCGGGATGTTTGCTTGATGTTGAAGTCTCACTTTCTTTCTTAGTTGTCTCAGAGGACATTGACAATTCCACTTCTCCACTTTCTATATTATTTGCCATTTCTAAGGTGACTTAGTTTTCATTTAATCTATGATAACCAATTCTCCACATATTGGGATAGCCAGGCTGCAAATAGAAAAGAAATCTAATGGAGAAAATTGTTACACAAGAAAACTAGAGGATAAAGCAACTGTTAATCCAATTTTTAATTGTTAGTAATTTCATCAACACTTAATGCTTTAATAAAATCTCAAAATTTAGAAAACATAAAGTACAGGGTGTTCCATATGTTTCAGGAATGATGCTGTATTTTAGTGGTTTTCCTTTCAATCGAGCTGAATGTTTAACAAAATGTGCCCAAATATGTTGTGAATAAGTTGGGCAAGTTTCATATCATAAAGCTAAACAGACTTAATGATACAGTTGCTATAGTAACCCAGGGGTAAGATAGGTGGAGCAGGTGTGGCAACGCCCAAAACATGAAATATTTGTAAAAACAGTCGTTTTTGTATGAAGTGTTAGAAAGTATTAGGTTGTCATAGTTACATCAAAATTGTCAAAAATTAAAGGAAAAATTAAGGTGGAGTCTTTGAAATAAGAAAATTGTCGTTATTGATGGTATCACAATTGACATCCATGGCATGACATGACATGAGTCACAAAGGAGAATGATCACTGGTCATTTTGGCTGAGTGTGCAGCCATATCAGATGTTTTGGATTATCTGTCTCAGATTCCCTTGATTTGAATCCCTTATACCACTCTTGAGGTTGTTGTCATTACGTTCCCATATATACTCCCAAGGTATTTAATTATAACTGCTGCAGAAAACTTATTTTTCACAGTCTTGGACTGTTGTGCGTTACCTTAGTTGAAATTCATCTTTTACTGATGACATTTTCACTGTTCAAGATGGCCACTCAGTCAAAATGACCTGTGATTATTCTCCTATGGTACCCATGACATGACAGGTTTTTCAATTGTGATATATCAACAATGATGACAGTTCTTTTTAATTTCCAGGAATTCATTTTCATTTTTGCTTAATTTCTGACTTTGATGCTATATGTTGTCATATGCTTTGACTATGACAACCTAATACTTAACCCACACTTCATACAAAAAACGACTATTTTTACAAATATGACATATATTTTGCCTGTTGTTACACCTGCTCCACCTACCCTACCCCTGAGTTACTATAGCAACCATATTATTAGGTCTACTGACCTTCACAATATGAAACTTTCTCAATTCATTCACAACTAACAAGGGTCACATTTTGTTAAAAATTCAGCTAGATTGAAAAGAAAACAACTAAAATACAGCATCATTCCTGAAACATGTGGAACACCCTGTAAATACAAAAATTATGGTTAAATAAATAGTACCATGGGTACTGGGCTTGTGGACATTGTTGATAATCTAGAAATAAGGGTATCTGTATAATTTCAAATAATTTGAGGGAACACTTGTGGAGTCATGACCAAAAAGGAAAACCTGTTTTTCCGCAATAAAAGTGGTCACCATCTTGACTTGTTTGCGACTTGTTTTGCCGAAACTTGTAGGCATTATTGATAGCATATAAATTGGGGTAGCTGAAAAATTTGAAGCAAATTGGTGAAAAACTTGTGGAGTAATAAAAAAGAGCTGAAACCTGGTTTTTGCAGATGGACAGACAGACAAGTGGGTGATAACAACTCGTGTGAGCTAAAAACAGTACAGTTTAGTAAAACCCATATTAATTGCGCACCTTTCTAATGACAGTAATATGCGTACTGTTGATCAACTTAATTTGGCACGATTTAATTTGGCGAATCGGGCAAATTTAGCAAGAATAAATGGCTTTGAAATTCGAAAATTTCACAGGTGATTTACGGTTGTCATTCGATGTAAACATAAGCCAGATAGATAAAAAAATTGAAACATAAAGTCAATGTGGCAATTAAAATTGAATCAACGTGCATTTTACACTTATTTCCTTCAGAAAATTGTTTTATTTAGATGGATGGTGATAGAGTTAGCAGAAAAAAATCAATCACTTAGACCCAAAGTAATGCTTTCGTTCATTGAAAATTTATCCAATTAAATAAATAAGCTCTACTTATCAAGTGGGTGCTATCTAATTGTGACTTTCTAACACCAAATGGTCCAACTTATTGGATAAATCAGATCTTGAACCGCTTTACACCGTTTTTCAGAACATAAATTACACTGGAAGAAAATTTCCTGGAATTTCTGAAAAACTGGCGAAGTCACCAAATCAAATCAGTCCCTAAATTAAATTGACTAACAGTACCATTTCTATATCATATGCTCAGGGACATGTATACTTAGGGTTAGGACTATTGGTTTTCCTTAAAACATATATTGATTTCCCTCTTAAAAAGATTGGTGCACTCCTCACTTCCACAATGTCAAATAATAGATGTAATATTATTTTGCTTGGGTGGGCTAGAATGGTGACCTTTCCTGCTTTCTGACACACAATCTTATTCATTCCAAGGTTAATTTTAGGCAATGCATATACAGACTGCTTTGATCCATATCATCTGTTTTCAGTCCAAACAGAACATAGCAAAATTGTTTTGGGAACATCCACACATCAATTTGATCTATGTTTAATATTGTTTATAATGCCTTACTTGTATTGTATTGTATTGTATCCTTTATTACCACATTATTTCTATGTGAGTACATTTCAATTTTCAATTTTTTTTCCAAACATATTTACATCAACAATGTTGCCTTACAAAACTTGATTTACAAGGGAAAGCTGAGCTAAATACTTAAGAATATCCATCAACTTATCAGGGGAGTTTTTTAAGCATTCCCTTATGTTTTTCTTTCAAAATACATCAATACACATTTTATTGACTATAAGATTGCACCATATAATCCTAAAAATATATCTCTCATTTTCAAGGATTATCTATAGATAACACCCAGGTATTTTAATTTTTCAAACTTCAGAGGACTGGGAATCATCGATCCTATTTGCTTTTGAATAATATAAATGCTGTTTTGAATAGGTTTATATGTGTATGCCAATAATTTCTCAAGTCCTTAATCCCTAGAATTTTCTCTTTGGGGAATTTCCCATAGAAATCCAATGGTACAGTTCCAAGCAGATTTTGAGATAACAGGAGAGTAAATCTTTAACACACACCTTATTAGGTTGTTTTGATTTATATCGCAACCCAGAAAATTTTTTTAGAGCCCCAAAATTTAGGAGGGTCTCTATAGGCCAAATTATCAAAAAATGAGCCTTAAATTTTCAAAAGGTCCATGTGCAGTATTGCAGGTGTATTTAGAAGGTCATATCTTTCACTGTGAGTACTTCCTGGCCATAAATACAATGGTTTTTATTGAAACAATATGTTTTCTTTCAATTGAAGTCCCCATGATAGTAAAATATCTATCCAACTCTCTGAAAAATTATGGTTTAGGACCCCACCTTGGCACTTTTAAAAAAGATTAGGCTTATTTTCTAAAAAGAGGATCTTCTTTTTCTCAATTTAACCATATCAAAGGCTTCTTCCACACTATATTTACAACTTATGAAAAGGGGATTGGTATTGAAATGTGCTAAAGTTAAAAACCACATATCCTGTGTTATTTTCTCATGCATGGAAAACTCATGCTATACATTATTTTCAGCATAATTTTGGTCATCAAAAATTAATATCTTCAAAACTAGATTTTCAATACCATTCTGCTTTTGAAGAAGTTTTAGATCCCTTATTGAACAATGTTTTCATGCAATAAAAATCAGAAAAAGGAGATCCTCTTTTGAGTAATAGGTTCAACATTTTGAAAAACTGGGGTCCCTATTCATAATTTTGGGAATTGTTCGATGGATATTTTCATCACTATGGGTACTTCACTTGAAAGAAAACATATTCTTTTTATAAAAAACACTGTATTTATGACCAGAAAATAATCATGGTAAAAAACATGATCGCCTAAAATCATTTGCCATACTGCACATGGACCTTTGGGCCAAATTTTAGGTTTTAAGGGCCCAAAAAGATTTTCCGGAAATTTTATTTCCTGACTTGAAATGTGGGCACCACTCTTGTTAGCTTCTGGATTCGCCAGTGGGTATCATATAGTGATGATTCTGTCATCTTCTGAATTATTTGTTCGCAAACATGTAGATTTTCTTTTAAAGATATGATAATGATACATGATTTATTATGATGAAAATGTCATGGTGAAGAAGAGTTTGAAGGGTGCAGTACCTGAATGAATGTGCGATTGCCTTGGTAAGATTACTGTGACTGCTTTAGAGTATACAATTCTCTGAAGTGATTAATTTGGGATGGGATGTAATATTACTTGTAGTAGAAATTTTTTCTAAAAGATTGTGAATGAAATGGGGTTCACGCTGGGGTTGAATAAGATGGGGATTAAAGGGTGATTATGGTGACAATAATTTCACCTGAAAATCAAGCAAATTTAAAATCTAACCACAACTGATGGGCAAATGGCATCCTTGATGATTAGGATAACTAAGCTATCAGGGCAACACCAAACAGGATGATTATTTAAAGTTATGACAATGTTTATTCAGAAGCAATATTAACAAGCTAATATATAACAATTTCATTATAATTTAACTACTGTACTCCCACTAATATACATTCATTCAATGCCATTATATTTCCCAGCTATTGATTTTTGCTGATTTTCAGTTATTTGAAATTCAGCACCTACTATATCTGTGCAGAGTTCTGAACCTAAAATACTCATCATGCAAAAAGCAATAGATACTTACAGTCGTCAGATTGCAAAACAGATATTAGAAAGATGGAATGATTGCATCATATCAACAAGGTAAAATATCTTAAAAATGGAAGCATGATTTCATGTAACATTGCAGTATAAATACTGGTAAGATATCTGCATGAAAATGACATCGGAAAATGGAAATAGATTTTTAGTAAATCTTTTTCAAAAAATATGCTGTATACAGTACTTTCAGAAATCGATTGCGTGCAACGTCAGAATCATTTTGATAATGATCTTGATATATCTCGAACCTGCGATGACACTAGATATGCTTTGTAATTGTATGAATTTAACAATTGTTGAATGCAATAATTAGTTTCATAAACTGCAAATGTAAATCTGATTAATTTCAAATGTTAAGATCCACAAAAATTGCATTTAATATAAATGATATTATTCACAACACATCATTATGTTGTTGAGGCTTCTTAGCAGTCTTTGCTACCAAATGTCTCTCCCTCTCGAGATCTTTTTCTTTCTGTTGCTCCTTCTGTAGTGCTTCCTTCTGTTTGTCCTGTTGAATCTTTATAGCCTTATGTTTTAACTTTGATGACTTCTCTGTTAGCTGAACCATTTCTTTCTTAATATGGAGCAACTTAGCACGATACACCTTAGACTGAGTCATTATTTTAGCAAGATCACTAATAGTGTGACATTCTGAGAATTTTGAGTTCTCTTGCAAGATGGTTTCGATTAATATACGTTGGTTCTCTGTAAGTTCAGAGATGGTTGACTTGGCTTTGTCACATTCAGGAAGGAAATGCGCCAACAAACCATCAGTGAGATTCTCCTCAACAGATTTATCAGTCTCAATACTATCTGTAACAGCATTATTTGATTTGCTTTGTGTATGCATCTCCTTTGTATCCACTTCCATAACTAGTTTTTTGTACTAGACGAAGCAGGCACTAGGAAATCCTTCATAAGAATATTTAGTCTCTGATCCACTAAGGCTTCGCAAAGTGACACCTAATCCTAACCTATCAGATCCAGTAGCTGGTCCACAGAAGATTGCTCTTTGTATTTTGATTTGTGCCAACAAGCTACGCCAGTTTTTGCTAAAAAACATTTGAATAATTATTTTACCTTCAGCTCTTAAATAATTGTCTGTCAGTAAAAGACTTTCATTCTAATATTTACATTTAAATATATTCTGTGTATGATCGCTGAATATTGTTTCATCTGCATCTTTGTTTAGTGTATTTCTATTTCTACAATTTTTGAAGGAGTGCCATGTACATTACAATATGTATGAATGACACTGTATGCATCACAAGACTCAGAATAATATCATCTCTAAGATGCCTATGAGCACTAACTTTCAACCAAAAGGAAGTAGATATAGAGTAATAACTGAACCTTGATAAGATGAAAATTCAGCCAAATTTACATGTACTACTCACTGGAACAAAGAGCAGAGTTATCCTGTAACCCCCTCCCTCCACTTTCTGTATACCAAGAAAAGACATGTCACCCCATACTGTATTTTCCATTTATCTCCTTGTATTTTTTATCAGCCTCCCAAATTTACAGAAAATATGAAGGGCTTACTGCTGTGTTGACACAGTGAATTGAAAGCACATTATGTTTGGAATGAATTGATTTTGTACAGAAGAAACATCTTTTTGTCCAAATTACGAGTTAGGTTAAATTTACTTAGACTTAGACTTAGGTAGGTACCAAGTTATTGAGTTTGCTACTCAGTTACTTATTTACATTAAAACAACTTTCAATCACAAAACCTGCCATTGACTTTTAAATACAAGAGAAAGTTCCCTGAAAATTATCAAGTCCAAACAAGGCATTAACATGCAAAATGTTGCTCTGAAATCTAAAGTCAGATTTGAACTTCTGAGAACTTGTAGGTGATTTTGAAAAATAGGTCAATTTGAAGCAAGTTGAAAAAATACCCTTTTGACCTTTGTCTGACATTGAGAATGTCACTGAAGGTCAAATCTCAAAACTAAAGTAAGATTTGAGCTCCTGAGAAGTTGTAGATGATTTATAAAAAACAAATGCCGATTTTTATATTCTAGGTAACAATGATTACATTAGGAGATTTCTCAAAATCCTTGTTTCCACTTATTTCTGGCAGTTTCTAACACAATTGCATAATCTCTTAGTAACTAAAGAAATGTTTATAGTCTTCAACTTGTCCGCAAATATCACTCTTGTCATTAACACTTATTTTCCATCTTAGAAGTAATTGTTTGCAGGGTGAAATGTAATGTTAAAGTTTGTATTTGAAATCTACCACTTTTTCATTTTTGGATTGCTTTAATAGAAGTATTCAAGTCTGTTGAAACAGTAGTTGTCTATTTTGAATTTCATAAAGATTAATACAAAAAGATTCCAAATATGTTTTAGTTCCTAGTATATGTTCTAACTAGATTGAATATGTTTCTAGAACTGGCATGTTTATCCAAAAATGTGAATACTTGTAGATGATTGAAAAAGGGTAAATGTGAAGAAGTTAAAATTTGGTCTTGAATATTTTTGAAAATTGACCTTTTCAGTTTTTGAGCTCTACAATACCACTGCAAAAATTTAATAGATAGTCAATTGCTTATATATGTAGAACCTCTAGACGTATATCCTGATTTTCAACCAAAATATTGATTTGTAGTTTCAAACTTTGAAAAACTTAGATAGCACAGTTTTGGACCTAGTTTGATGACCGTTAACCATGGAAATTTTACTTTTTCAGAGCTCATTAGGTCTTTTCTTCTGTGATTAAACTGGCCCTAATTGTGAATAAAAAATCAATTAACTTTTAAGACCTTTTGAAGGTCATTGGAGGTCAACAAAAGGTCAGATCTTAATTCTGAGGTCATAATTGAACTCCTGAGAATTTGGAGATGAGTTTTTAAAAATTCTCTCAAATTGAAGCAACTTGAAAAAAATGACATATTTTTACTGTTTTTGACATCAAATATCTCAAGAGTTTCAAGAGTGTTTATCAACTTTGGAAAGTTGATTTCCGTTGAATATGTGATTTCTACATCGGAGAGATTCCCTATAGAATCCAATAAAATCACAAAGGTAAGATGACTTGTGGACATTTTAGAGTAATACAAATGTGACACCGAAGTAGTATATATACAATTCATATATAAGGTAAACAGATTTTAAAACCATGTGTCTTTATCAAAAAAAATATGGTTGCGATTTTTTGTACATTTGATTTACTTAGCCTTCCCCTTAACCCTAGAAGCCCTAAGGTAAAAATAGTCACACGAACACCTAAGGGGGGTCAAAAGGGCACCCCCCTTGTAAAATTTTTATTAGTAGAGCTAGGATGTTCAAACTTTTTCCACATATACTTCATTCAATTATCTACAACTTGGTATAAAAGTTTTAACAACTACGATGATGTGAGATTGCGTAATTTTATTCTTAAGACAACACGTATGGTAGAATTAGTGCTAGCTTTTTTCTGATTTTGTCTATTGGAGCTGATGATTACATCATAATAAATAAATAACAAATTAGTAAAGCTAGGAAGTTCAAACTTTTACCAAAATATACTTCATTCAATTATCTACAACTTGGTGTAATAACTTTAACAACTATGATGATGGAAGATTGTGTAATCTTATTCGAAAGATAACACATATGGTAGAAATAGTGCTAGCTTTTTCCGATTTTGTCTATTGCAGCTGATGATTACATCATGATAAATCAGTAACCCTATGTACAATTCTGCTGATTTTTTCAGAAAACATGTCTTGTATCTGTAGCTTCAGCTACTGAAAATTTGAAGACCCTACCAGATGCCAATAAAAAGTTATGGGGAAAAAACTTCCCAGGGGGGGTCATTTTGACCCCCCCTTAGGGCTTCTAGGGTTAAGGCCATTAGATGCATGTTGGAATTTTTTTGCAATTATGAAAAGTAAACCACTGATTATTCTAGTTATTCAAAGATTCTGAAGAATTATCAACCCACAATTAATAGTCTAGGTACACTGTAGTCAAAACAGAAATGTTTGTGACTACTTTGAATTTAAAAAATAAGCAATCAAATGACCGTATTGAAACAGTTTATGTAAAAATAGAAACATTTATATTTATCCTAACTTTTGTATATTTCAGATAGTAATGTATAATGTGCAGCAAAGCTGTGGCCTTTTATAATTTAGGGAGTTTAAGCCATGTTAATTTTTCCGAAAAATAACATGGCAGAGAAGTATCAAAATATAAGAGGACACAGATATAATAGTTAAACTACAAAACAAACTATAAAATATACATATATGCTCATTTTTTAAATTCAAAGTAGTCACAAACATTTCTGTTTTGACTGTAATGCATCTTTTGTGCAAGAATGTAAGATATGTGTGGAATGTTTATGATCATGAAATTTCATCAAAGTGCAACCTGACCTTAACATGTGAATATCACTTCCAATTTTTAAGTTCCTAATTGTCACTATGGACAAAAATCCACTATATCTGTACATACCAGGACATAGAAAATAGAGCATTCAATTAACAGAGGTAAGAATTCATTACATGTGGGACAGAATGTGTTTTTCATAGCGAATCACTATTTACAGTGCTGATACAAATTAATTGATAAGTCGTATAGTTGGCATTTTTTCTTGAATTTTAATATTTAATGTTCCAAACTCCCACAAACTGCATAAAAGTGTACACGATGTAATCATATTTACCAAAATCTCAGGGGCACAGACAGGAGTGACCTTCTATCGAAACTCAGACATAATTTAACTTGAGGATTGCAACAAGAATTATTTAAAAAATGATGTTACCTTTTTTGTTTCCCGATTCTTGCCTAATTAGCTCATGTTGGTAACTGAAACTTGCAGAGCTGTAATAACTTGAGCCCTGACTATTCCATGATTCAACATTTTTAAGTAAAAATGTATTTTTAGACTGTAATTTCACTGTTTTTTGTTGATTGGTAAAGAACAGACAGGGAAATGGCAAGATGGATGACTCTTGAGTCTTGACCTGAATTGGGTAAAGCGGTTAATAATTGATATTTTTGCAAATATATTTTTTTTTTATTAGCCATTTTGGCTAGCTAATTTTTTTTTAGTATGGACCTCTGACATGAAGTCAATTAAATTAAGCTTCCACCACTTGGTTGAATGATTGTTTATAGCTTTGACCAAATTGGACAATGGGTAACATTTCGGAAAAATAAAGATATATACTGGCGAACGTAATTTTTCACTGGCGAGTGTAAAAACACAAGTTACTAGGCAATTGGCGAGTAATAGAAAAATCGTAAGACCCACACTATATATATAACTATCTGAAATATCTTGTACATTGTTTCTATTTTTCATATACAATTTAATAGAAAACGAAAAACACATAATGCGTTCATGTAAAAAATACAGTATATATAGAAAGAAAATGCTCGATAAACTTGTATCACACGGCAACCCAATTAAACACCTTTTCAACATGGAGGACGATTCACTTTTTTTCCAATATTGTATGTCTTGTGAAAATAAAGAAATTGAAATTGTAGCAGAATTTATTCATAAATGTAATATAACATAGAAGGGTGTGATATATGACATAAACAATGGACGCGTATCACAATCACCATTCATGTGCTTATCCATGATGCATATTTATTTGTTCATTTATTCACTTATTTATTTATTATGAAGTGTTAATTTTGTGTGTTGTTATATATACTGTTTTCTGTTGTATTGATATATTGTAAAATTAGTGTTTACTTTGTGTACACTTAACCTTTTATGGGTATGAATGTGTAATAAAGTTCATAAATCTAAATCTAAATCTATACTGTTGTAATAGTCATTTGATTGCTTATTTCAAGGTCTCCTCTGCTGAAGGCAGCACAAAGTAGGAGTGTACATAGCGACTACTTTGCGGGAGACCTCGTACCATTCATCAGGTTTGCTCCTGTAATTATTCACTTCTTCACCTCTTTAAAACGTGATTTAATTCAGTTGATCAAATTTCCGGACTTTGACCTCAATTAAAACATTAATATTAAAAAAAAAATACTGACTCATTATTATATTTTTAAAAATCTTTAAAATAAAGTGAAATGAAGTCAAAATCAGCTAAAATTTTGCAATGTCGTAAAATGGCGTGACTGGAATATGATGCAATCACCGTGATGTCAGACTGCCACATCAACAACTAAACAAACAATATAGACTTCACTTATTGGTTTTAAGATTCTTCATATCATTTGTGATGTCATTAACATGTTACCCAACCAACAACGAAACAAATAACAAATAAGCATGTAGGTTCGTTCAGTACCATGCTCTTGAATCAATTATAAACAGGGAGAATCAACAGATGTAAGACGGGGTCAGGCAACTTTTTGACTTGGAGACCTCGACTCAAGGAGTTTGCTGCATTTTCTTGTTTTTTAAATTCAAAGTAGGCTACAATGCTGATATAAATAAATTGATAAGTTGTATAGTTCGCATATTATCTTGAATTTAATGTCCCAAACTGCAGAAAAGTATACACCGTAAATCATATTTACCAAAATGAGTGTCTACAAGGCTTCATACCAGCATAATGCATTTGTCACGAGTCTGACCTGAAATTTCGCAAAAATGAAGTAAGGGTTATCTCCGCCAGTTTATTTTTATTGTAGTTAGGTTTTAATGGTAAGTGCTCAGAAGCAAATAATTCATGTGCGCAAAATAATCAAAGAATCTGTTTGGTTTTAACTTTACCGCGCATGCGCACAGTGTGTGCCATGTTTTTTTCTAGTGATTTTGTTTCGTTCCATGGCGTTTGTGTTTCAGTGTAACTTCAGCAAAAATGATGGACCAATGACAGAATTACAGGTAAAATCACTTCGAAATTTAGAGAACTTTTTCACCTATAATCACGGACTTCAGCTCCATGCTATAATAGCAAAACTTTTGTTTTATTTGTGCATTCTTAATAATCTACCAGATAAGAGTGTCAGGGGTATATAGGCGAATCCATTTTGGTAGGAGCACTCTGTTAAGTTTGAAAACCCACCCTTTTTATTTACTGTCAGCACTGTAGTTCTATGGGCTTTCAATTTAGTTCCAAACATTTAAAATTTTACATGCAAATACACATGCTATCTATTGCAAGACTTACGCCTGGCGTAACTGTCACCATGTTATTCAGTGTTTTTAAGTAGCCCAAGGATCCTGCCATGACCGTGGTAGTGTTTTTGTTGTGTAAGCCTGGTATAACCGTGACAACGCTTTATTATATTGCAAGGCCTGTCATGACCGTGGTAATGTTAAAGCCTGATTTGACCGTGACAATAGTTGTATTAAAGTAGCAAGACAACACTGTAATAACAATTTTCTTCGTGTTCAACTACCCTAAATATGTAAATCAAGACTAATATACATGTACATGGTACTCATGTTCATTGATAAATAAAAATGTATATTAATTTCACAACGAAACTCATATGACTTTTAATATTTTCTCATTATCGCCCACCAAGGTCACTTCCGGGTTAATCTTATAGTCTAGATGTAAAACTATATTAAAACGAAATCATAAGTATTTGTTGCACGAAGATTCAGACGGAAGAAAAGCAGTGTCGTAATAAATCAATAATTTGTGTGACTTTGGTTGGTATGGTTACCCAGACAGGCCAAGAAAGCGTTTCCCACAATTTGTTACATATTATATCTACAACACTATACAAAGAAAATGATATAAAATAAATATCCAAATAAGAACAAGGAACATCGAAAAACAGCATACAACGGTCGGATTTATATTACTAAAAATAAAACACTTATTCGACAGATAAGTTCATATGGTTAAAATAATGAAATAATGAAATGTTAACCGTTTGTCTACTTAGCAGTTTGTTCTATGTCATCCCTCCTGCTAGGTTACATTGTGGAACTCAGGCAAACACGACGCTGAAGGCAGTATTCTGAGGTTATAAAATCTAAATCTTAAAAATTTCCCATTTGCAGCCCCTTGGAGATTTCCGGAATAGAACAAAGTAGCCCCGGGGGGTTCACTGTATGTAAAACTCGACGGGGGTCCTAGGCTGAAGCCTCAAATATCAATATGTTCCCATACCAATCTGTCAAATTTCAATATGTTCCCATACCAACCAAAATAACGCCCAAAGGCCATACCAAATGTCCAAATATAGGACCAATGCCATACCAAATGTCCAAATATAGGACCAATGCCATACCAAATGCCCAATTATGGGACCAATGCCATACCAAATGTCAAAATGTAGGACCAATGCCATACCATATAAAATTCAAAAGTGAAGAAGGCCCTGGAAAAGAAGATACTTCGGGAAATGATCCAAAACAACTTCAAATTTGCAACTACTGGACCAATGCCATACCACGAATGTTAGGTAATGTATCTACAACGACAATTCTCATACCAGAAGAGCAAAAGTCCGACCATTGCCATACCTCAGAAGTCAGAAATTTCCAGGCATTCCCATACCAAATCCTAAAATATGGGTCCATTGCCATACCAAACGTTGAAAAAGGTACCCCACATGCGCCGAGGATCCCCGTCAAGGTTTATATATAGTGAACCCCCCGGGAAAGTAGCGAACGTTGCGATCTTTCAACTTTAGTTCGTTGTTTTTTCACCACTTTATTAGTAGTGTTTTCTTTCAAGAGGCGGTCTTATTTGAATGCATCATTTCAGGTCTTTATGAATCAATAGATCAATACGCAGACAAAAATTACAATTGAGCAGTTTCATTGAAAAAACTGATTTGGAATACCCAGTGACTTTAGCAGCCCTCCCTACAATGTTTGACATTGCTATCTCGGCGTGCCCTCTTCTATGAGTAGTCATCCTCGCAAAACATTTTCCAAAATATTTACTACCGCTTTCCTTGAAGACATGGTTGGGTGACACGTCATTATCGATACAGTAACTAGTCACGTGATCAGACATGTGTCACGTGATCAGACACGTGTTACGCGATCAGTCATGTAAGCTTGCAAAATGGACGATCTAAATTTCCAAAAATTCTGCTAAGATCAATATCGAAATGTTGTTACCTTCGTTGTCTTGTTTGGCTGCAGTCCACAATGTAACCTAGCAGGAGAGATGACATAGAACGAATTGCTCAGTAGACACACGGTAACATTTCATTATTTCGTTATTTTAAGGTACAGCTGGAAAGTAACATTTTGGTAAAAAATTGCTATACCTGCACATGTTATTTTCCGGTACAAAATAAAGTATGAAGGCATGTATCAATTTCCTTGCTTTTTTCAGGAAAGTATCATTACATTGTCTTCTTTTAGAATATCTGGTAGGCGTTCAAAGGGAACTCCAGGGAATTCTGATATTACACACTTCCTGTTTTTCCAAATTTTCTTTCAAAGTTTCCAGACAACACAGGAGCTACCATTGACATGTTTCCAGGTTTACTAAAAGTAGACAGTGTAATGATACTTTCCTGAAAAAAACAAGGAAATACACACATGCCTTCATACTTAATTATGTACCAGAAAATAACATGTGCAGGTATAGCAATTTTTTACCAAAATGTTACTTTCCAGCTGAACCTTAACCATTACTGCAAATATGTATCATTTACTATCAAATTATGCCCAAAAAATGTCAGTAAATGTACTTCCTTACCTATGATTCTCAATGTTGGAGATTTATTCGTTGATCGCAGTACGTCATAACACAAGTTATAGCACCATGAAGATACACAAAATACGTTCTTCTTCTTCAAATACGGCAATTTGCAACTTTTTGTAAAAATGGCTGAAGGTTAAGCTGTGGATAAAATTAACGAACGCTTTTTGTTTACGGTTTTGTTTAACCGGAAGTAAAAAGTAGATAGTAAGATAGGTAATGAAGGACATGTTAGTCTACTTTAATGACATTTTACCAACGACAAGTCAAGTGCAAGTAGCATAGAATTGAAAATATAAATAAGAACATTTATTTTCGAAAATTTTAGGGATCTTGGAATCCAAACCTATTCGCTTCCAACAATGAAATGCGTTCGGAATTTTTATGCAACTCATGTTTTCTCTCAAAATTTTCAGACTTCTTCATTTTTTTTCTATTTCAAGAAAAATCTCAAGAACTTCGAGGACTGAAGTCAAGCAGAAGATGGAAGACAAACGACCTCAATTTGGTAACAGATTCCTGACGGAGTCAAACAATGTGTTTGAACACAATGCCTGGTAAAATTTATTACGACTAAGATTTTCGACTTTTTTGTGATTTTGAATCAAAGAAAGCATTCTGAAGTTTCAAATTGGCTCCACGTTTAATTTTTGGCATCCGCCTAATGTATACCACTTACCTTTTATTGATTCTTTCATAAGTTTCGTCATAAACTCAGTTTGACCAGAAGTATCTTTGTTGCCGCTCGATTTAAAAAAAAATGTCCCTTTTCTAATCACCCGGATGTGCAGTTTACTTGGACTCGCCCAAAACGAGGGGTGTCAAACGCAAAATGGTAGAGATGAAGACATGTCGCCACTCTCAGAGAATCTATTCCATAATTTCAACATTACTACAGCAAAAAGATAAGGGCAGATTGTATACAGGACTGGACAAGATGAAAATAAATATTCTAAATAGATGTCGAAAATCTTAGAGTCAATACGTCTATTTCCAAACACCCCCATCAAAAAATGTAGTTAGCTTGCATGGCTGTACTGCACATCTGTGGAATAATTTTATATATATGTTATGTGAATTAGACGCTGTATAATGCATTTGAAAAAAAAATATTCCGATAAATTGTCAAAAATCTGGGTTATACCACTTTAAATACAATGTATTTTATGGGGGTAAATCCAAACAGGAGATTTTTAGGGGGTAATTCCGAACACTTGCATGGGGGTATTTCCAAACACTTAAGGTGCTATGGAAGTTAACAGGAAATGACAAAACAGGAAGTCACAATTTTTTTTGCATTTTTAGACATTTTTTGAACAAAGATAACAGAGTTGTGTTTTGACCTCCAGTCGATTCAACTAGTTCCAATTACCATTTACAGGTCCAGGATCACAATGTGCAGGGTCAGAATGACCCTAAACATGATGAAATAACCTTTTTAGCCCTTTGAAAGTGTGACTGAAAAAAAAGCTAAAAGTAGGAGCTAGGGAAGGTCACTGAACAGAATCTTTTGAATTTTTCAGAAAATGTGCCCAATATAATGCTCCAACTGATACAATCTTTAAAATTTTAGAAAATTGTCTTAAACAAAAATGACAGTCATAAAAAGGAAAATAAATCGCTTTTAAAATTTCAAAGATTGTATCATTTAGAGTAATATATTGGGCACATTTTCTGAAAAATTCAAAAGATTCTGTTCAGTGACCTTTCACCTTTCCTACCCTCCTACTTTTAGCTATTTTTCAGTCACATTTTCATAGGGCTGAAAACGTTATTTCATCATGTTTAGGGTCATTCTGACCATGCACATTGTGATCCTGGACCTGTAAATGGTATTTGGAACTAGTTGAATTGACTGGAGGTCAAAACAGAACTCTGTTATCTTTGTTCAAAAAATGTCTAAAAATGCAAAAAAAATTGTCACTTCCTGTTTTGTCATTTCCTGTTAAGTTCCATAGCACCTTAACTAAACTTCATTGTTTTACTTGTTAGATTGATGGTATATCATAATATGGTACTCTGAAGTAATGATACTGGATCCTAACACCCCTGCATATCAATAACCCCAAATATAATTGATTTATAAGTGTCATCTATTTATTTCAAGGCATAGGGTTTGTGGGGGTAATTCCAAACACCTAAATCATCATAATTGATCATTTTATCATTTAAGACAAGAGTGTTGGTATATATCATTATATGGTATCTTTCAGGATATAAATGTTATATAGAGGTAGTAGAGGGCGAGGGGCTATTATTCAATTCAATGATTTGCTTGCCATTGTTTGCAACCCGTTCAGGTTTGTTTGGATTTAGACATATTGACTCTAAAGTGCTGATACAAATGTAAAGAGCTGATATATAAAGTGTGGACCAAAAATAAAACTCAACCCTCAAAAGTTGTCACAATGAGCTAAATTCTAAGTTTCAAGTCTCAAACTCTCCCAAGCAGTAGAAAAATAATTCCCATTCACTTCAAGAAGCACAATAAATGAATCCACAGCTTCATACCTGCAAATGATGGATAAATTCCTACCAAATCGAACGAATGTTTTCATTCGTGAATATTTACATGTGAATATCCACTTCAAATTTTTAAGCTCTTATTTGTCATTATGAACACAAATTCCACTATATTTGGACTTACTAGGACGGAGAAAATAGAGCACTGAATACACTGAGGTAAAAATTAATTACATGTGTGACAGCATGTAATTTTCATAGCTTTTGTAATTCTTTATGCTCCCCACTGTAATAAAAAGGGTGCATTTTCAAACTAAACAGAGTGCTCCTATCAAAATGAATTTGCCTACATACCCCTGAGACTCTTATCTGATAGATAAGAATGCACAAATAAAACAAAAGTTTTGCTAATATAGGTAAAAAGTTCTCATGAAATGTCAAAGTGATTCTACTTGTTAGTTCTGTCCATGGTCTGCCATTTTTGCGGAAGTTACACTGACATGCAAACTCCATGAAACGAAACGAAATCACTAGAAAAAAACATGGCACACATCTAGTGCGCAGCAAAGTTTAAACCAATCAGATTATTTGATTATTTTGCGCACATGAATTATTTACTTCTGAGCACTTACAAGCTTACCACAATAAACATTTTAACCTGGCAATGACTACCCTAAGCCTACTTCATTTTGGCGAAATCTCAGCTCAAACTCGTGACAAATGAATTATGCATACGCTGGTATGAAGCCTTGGAGACACTCATTTTGGTAAATATGATTTTTGATGTATACTTTTCTGCAGTTTGTGGGAGTTTAGGACATTAAATGTTAAAATTCAAGAAAATATGCCAATTAAACGACTTATCAATTAATATACAGGGTGTCCCGAAAGTATGGGGCCCCCCCCTAGGCAGACATATACCAGTGTCATCATAGTATGTGTCATATATCATTTTAAGGCTTATCCAAAGTTACATTGATTCGCCAAGTATCATGGTTCAACTCTCAAATGTGAAAAAGTTACAGGCATTTCAAAATTTAGTGTTTGGTCAAAATTAAGTTCAATTTTACACCAAATCACTAGTCAATTTGTCCTCCCGGGCCATCTTAACAGCGGCAATTCTTTTTGGGTCGGATAGATATTGAGTTGGAAAAATAGAACGGTGAGGGTAGAAACTCCAAGGAACCTCTTCTAAAGTGCCTTAACAGGTTTTAAGAGGGTTATAAAATTCCACACCCCTATTTGAAGGGCTTTTAAGGTCATATTTGAAAATAATTGCGGCTGTTAACATGTCCAAGGGGGGACTCATTGACTCGTAATGTGGTGTAAAATTGAACTTTATTTTGATAAAACACTAACTTTTAAAATGACTGTAACTTTTTCCCATTTGGGAGTTAAACCATGATACTTGGCGAATCAATGTAACTTTGGATAAGCTTTAAAATGATATATGACACATACTATGAGGACTCTGGAATATGTCTGCCTAGGGGGGGCCCCATACTTTCGGGACACCCTGTATATATATACCAGCACTGTAATTTCAAAATGGTCACCATATTTATATCGCGAAATTCACTTTTGGCCCATCTCCTAACTTTATAAATAATTCCAGGTGTCCTGCATTGTAAAAAGCCATGTCACTGTAAAGAGTAGTTGTATGAAATCATTTTGTTACAAAAAATCAGCAAAAATTACATTAATGTTTTTCTTTTCTGCCATTTTAGCCATCATTCCTTTTCTCTTTTTAACAAAACACCATGTGAGCCCAGTATCCACTGTACTATTTATTACTTTAGTTTGAAAAGTAATGGAGCGATATTGTTTGAAAAGTAATGGAGCGATTTTGTTTCATATTTGATATGTGAATACTAAGCTTGGCACACATTGCTAAACAAATGAAAACAACAGGCAAACTTAATGGAAATCATATATTTTTTTTAATATGGAAAAGTTGAAAAGTGATTGTGTGAAAACAATCATTGAAAATCATATGTTCCCTGCTGTTAATGAAACCCCAGTAATTTATATATGAGTATAGGGTGTTCCAAAAGTAACAGGACTGGTGCTGGCATTTTGTCAAATTTGCACTGAGTGTCTTCAAATTTTTGCAAATTGTACTTTGAAGTATTGTAACTAAAATTATAAAGTTTCAGAGAAAATGATGAAATGCGCTTAGAGTTATGGTTACTATAGTAACATGACATCCCAATACCTGGGGCAACTTTTTTTCTGAAAATGTGTTATCTAACATTTTTGTATTACTGAATAAAGTATCTAATTCACCTATTATAATACAACATTTCTTGTTTATTTTATAAGTTGCTTTGTTGTTAAGATGTTGCTATACAACCAGATACAAGCAGATTCAAGTATAATTTCATAATGATAATAATATTTATTCAATTTTCTGAAATATAAATATGTATAACAGTCTGAACAATTCACGGTTGAATTTTTAAAAAGACCAAATTTGGAGCCAGTCATCCACTTTGATAGCGCACCTACCCGCAGGTCACCATTAAAGACCATGCAGCTATAGAGGAGCTAGGTCTTGAGGTCTAAAATCATGCACCATACTCTTCTGATCATGCAATATCTAATTTTTACTTATATTGAGAACGGAATGCTAATCAGTGCATTAAGACCTTTAAAGATGAGAATGACCTTCTACAAATTGTCCAATCGACCCTGCGTGACATGTCCTCAAATGGGTTCACTCATGTGTTTGGGTCATGGATACAGAGAACTTCTCTTGTACTGACCAAAGAGGAGCCTATTTTCAAAGTAGAGGATACATAGGAATATCAAATGATGTAAAACAAATGTAATTCCCACCAGTTGTTGCATTTCAAATTTGATATGGCATGTACAAAATGATATGGGATGTACAAAATGCTTAATGTCTCTGTAACTTTTTGCTTGGAATGTTGCCCCGGGTATTGCGATGTCATGTTACTATAGCAACCATAACTCTACCCGAGTTTCATATATTTTGTCGACACTTTGCAGTCTTAGTAACGATACATAAAAGTACATCATGTAAACTTTTGAGGACGATTGGTGCATATTTAACAATCTGTATCTGTATCTGTTTGTATGATGTATTATGAAATAAAGGAAATATAAAAATTAAAAAAAAAAAAAAAAAAAATTTTTAACAAAATACCAGCACCAGTCCTGTTACTTGTGGAACACCCTGTATAGTAAAACTAACTGAAGGTCAATGCAGAACTCTGTTATCTCAGTTCAAAAAATTTTGAAATACTCATGCTTTTCATTTCTTGTTTGGTGTTAAACTACCTCAAGACCTTGAGGTCTCCTGGTAGTTAACCTAACAGGAAATGACATAACAGGATGTGACAAAAGCGTGTGGGTTTTAGTTCCACAGAACATTTACATGACAAGGATCACAACAACCAAAACAAAAGTTCAAAAAATGCCTGTCTCAGAATGTGACAGCTCTGTATTGAAAAATTGTAAGATTTAATTCCTTTATAGATTAGAGATTCTCCTGAAGGAATTTGTATTTGAAATGGCTGCATTTTTCAGGAAAAATATTTTCCTGATAACGCATATGCTCTCAGAACTTTGTGGGCTTATGCGTTGTGGTGTGTTGTGGTCATGTAACTATTACCTAGTTATCATGTTTCGTTCTAAATGATGACTGATTTGATAAAATGTGTTTTGTTTAGTGGGATTTGTTATTTCAGAGAGGTGCTGTTTTTCCAGATACAGGCTTCATCAATCTTATTCCTATTATTTCTTCTAATTCTCCTGTTACACTTGACTGCTTTAATAGCAGTGAATAATTGCATTAATTCACATAGTTCCAATAAAAATCACATGGCGACATATAACTTAGTGAAAGACAAATGATTTTAACAAAAAACTGACACTTCATATTTAAGGGACAATGTGGTCTGGGATGAAGAGCAAGAGAAAGAGGCATTGGAGAAAGTCAAAGCAAACTCAATTAATCTTGTCAGCCAGGAAATGTTTGGTAAGTATTTGAACCTGGATGTAATTTATATTTTATATTTAAAAGTTGAAATATTTAGGTAATCAATATCATTTCAAATTAATAGATAGATTGCTTGTTAAATTAAGTTACTATTATCATTATTTCAGAGAAATATGAAAATGAAGCTGGGGATTATTGGGACAGTTTCTATACAATACATCAAAATAGATTTTTTAAAGATCGACACTGGTTATTCACAGAATTTCCAGAACTTGCCCCTCCAACACTGACTGATGCTATGGAAGCGTCAAACATAGATGAAGACAGCTCAGAATCCAATTCAACAATATTGACTGCAAAAGAGACCGTTCTAAAAATAGGAGATACAACTAACACTAATGATGATAAAGAAAAGACAAAATTTTCATTAAACACTGCAAGAGAGATAAACAATGAACCCAAATCAGACAGTGCACAGATAGATAAAGCTTCGAGTTCTTTAGCTAATGATTTGAAAACAAAAGAACCTGAAGTGTGTTATGAGGAAGGTTCAAATGATACCATTACAGGTGATAAAGGTGAAGGTGATGTATATCCTGGTGAGAAGGCTCACATGAGAATACTAGAAGTTGGATGTGGAGTTGGCAATACAGTTTTTCCTGTCCTCCAAACCAACAAGTAAGTCTACCAAATTTTGTTGTTTAGTTGAATATTAAGTTGTTAATGTTCCCAAACAAGTTGAAACAACTGCCAATTTTTTAATAGCAAATAAAATAATAGGGAAAATTATTAGCATCAATAATTTAATAATGGAAAGAGTCCACAATAGTATTTAGGGTGAACCAGATGGAGAAAAAATCGCCTGTTCCCTGCGCAATGAATCCCCTATATCATTCAAGAAAAGTCATTGAATAAGATCAGGTGAATAAATCATTTGAATGTGATTTTGTTATTATTAAATATACGAGGGTTGATCCAAAAGTTCCGAACCGTTTGCTCTAAAAATCTTAATACTTTATGAAAATTGTTCATATTTGGCCATAACCACCCTATAAATAGTAGTTTCATTATGTGTAAAAATAAGCAATTAATGTGACCAGCAACATAGGTAACTGGTTACCATAGTAACACGACAACAGGGTATGTGGAGCAATAGTACGACATATAGTAGAGGTGGAAAAAAGTTGACTCTAAAAGAGTGTTACAGGGTACCAAATTTCAAATGTGTCAGTCATGCCTGCCTATTAACCAATTATTTTTTCAATTTGTCCATATTTCATTGTTAGTTCTTGATTTAATTTCGCAAAAAAAGTCTCTTATCCCCTTATATACACTTAGTATATCTGCTGACCCTTTGATCAAACCCATCTTTAAATTCACCATCACCTGTCTCAGAAAGCCACTCAAGAACAGCAAGAGAGACTTCATTTAATATTCAAAAGCATGTCTTGTCTTGTCTTGTAAGTACTTCAGGTTAATATAAAGATCAACGTCAGAGGGAGGCAGATATAGTGAGAAGGATGCAAGGGTAAGCAAAGGCATGTGCATATTTTCATTGACGTTTGAGTAAGTATTGAGGAATGGAATTTCGCATTGTCAAAATCGAACTGGATTTTATGCTTTAATTTGACTGCTTTTGGCGCAAGGCATTCTTCTGGTCAATGATATCATAGTTGCCAACTGTAGCTTGTATGATATCAGATCAAACGTATAGCATTGGTCTAATGAAAGAATAATTGATTAATAGGCATGAGTAACAAATTTGAAATACATTTGATACCCTATATACACTCTTCAAGTGTCAACTTTTTTCCAACTCTACAATGTATCATTCTCTTGCTCCACATACCCTGTTGTCATGTTGCTATGGTAACCAGATACCTATGTTACTTGTCAAATTAATTGTTTATTTTTACACAAAATGGAACTACTATATATGGGGTGGTTGAGGCCAAATATGAACAATATTCATAAAATATTAAGATTTTTAGAGCAAACGGTTCGGAACTTTTGGATCAACCCTCGTATAAATGCTGATATCATTTTAATTCGGATTTGACAGGAGGGGTTCGAATATTTTCAGCAAAATTTTTTAGTAACCACCTAACGGTGAGTTTGGTGAAAAGAAGAGGCTCGATAGAGAGAGCTTTTTAGATGAGTACAACTTTTTTATTTTCTACACGATCATTATGGAATTTTCAGACAATATCGGAGGTGTGATGAATTTTTATATTCTAAAATATTATTGTTGAATTATGAAAAACGCATTTTGTAGAACTTTTTTGGCGAAGTGATGAAATTCCATCTTATATTTTGTACCGTTTTTCAGTGCGTAAATAGAATGACTTAACGTTTTTTAAGCAGCAAAATAACATATATCGTAACCACATAATAAAGCAAAGTCTTATTTTCTGTAAAGAAATCGTGATTCGATCCATGAGAAGTATGTCTTAAAATTGATGAGAAAAATGGTTACATTTTTTCAATATTTTTGAGCGATCTCTTTAGTAGAATTTTACTTGTGTTAGATAGAGGTCGTCTCGCAAAACCATTATGTGCAATTTTCTCTTAAAATTGATTATCTTTGGAAATGATTCACTCGACGAAAATTAGATGTCGTTGCCATGTCGTCTATGGATGGTCTATTTTTCTTAAGTAATTCCAAGGCCGAGAGAAATACCCCGAACGTACCGCGTTCGTAATTTCAATGTTTTCTGCGTTCGGCCTTTTATCGTAAACTGTTCTATCATCAATGAAAAAGAAGGGTGCGCGAACTTTGAATTTATTCAGTGTGGGGGTTACCCTTCCCCCTTTTGACATGGAGGCCAGAGCTGAATATGACAGCACATGTTAGTGAATGATTGGTAAGTGAAAACAATCTATCTTTATAACGGAATATATTCCCTATAGTTGAAGTGGATTTCTGGTCACGAAACAAAGAAATACTAGATATAGTCTGATAGTAACAGTTCAAACAAAGCTTGTCCCCGTCTGTTTTGATTGTTTGACCGGGAAACCAATGGGGTCTTCTCATCTGCATAATCAAGTCACCTTATATCGCACTATTAGAGCTGGGTAACTGGTAAGCAGAAAACACAATCGCCACTTCAAGTACATTTCACTGTTTTTTCTTGCGCTTTTTTCTTAGCTCTCATTTATGTATCATACGTTTAGTCAATCAATTTTTTGTAGCTAACGATTTGAACGGATTGCAATGAAATGACCTTTATGCGGTCTGGCTACGTACGGCCTCTTGATTTCTACGGGGACCGCAGAAATCAACAAATATTGTAACTCCGAGTTATAAAATCTACGGCTTCCCTTCACTGATATAATTGATCTGCGGTCTACTTACGGCCACTGTGCGGCAAATGTGACTGGGGGGTAAATTGATCTGCGGTTGACGTAGTCGCCTTTCAAGTTAAGTATTGAGATTTCTATTCTAACCTTCACTTAAGAAACATAACATTAACTAGGATGTGGCTCTGCGGCTGCTGCAGAAAAACTGAGTGTATTATTTACATACAATAATGTTGTCGTATATACATGCTGGTTGCCAAAATGTGGCTCTGCGGCTGTGTCGCCGCTGGACAATATACAAAAATGTTTATAATGGACAATTGATAAGCTTTCTCGATAATGTAGTAATAACAAATCTCATTTCAAAATTAAAAACTTTCCGACCACCTGTAAAACCTTTTCTATCTTTAGCATCACAAATTCATTAATGCCCATTATTATTCTGTTGAGAACATGATGCTAAAAATCTTTGAAATCCTCAACAATTGAGGTTATAAGGAAAAAGGTTTGTCCGAAAATTTTTCATAAACATTTTAAAGACATAGACTTAGTTTATCTCGCCGCTTAGAGCCTAAGTGATCTTATTCACTAATACATACACCGTTCACTCAGTAATACTGCATTTACAATTACCGTTCTATTTTCATAACGTTAAACGACCAAATAGAAATCATTTTCTTGCTAATTCGTACTACGTGACTCAAACGCAATAAAATACATTTCTTGTATAGTGATAAGACCTGATACATTTAAATTTATTTTAGTATTCCCACGATTTGTTATGGGGTAATGACCATAGATGAATTTTATTTGTAATTATGATGGCTAGTTTTTAGTCGAGTTACAGCACTAGTACTTCCATTGACTGACTTGTTTAAACTAACACTTCTCCCTACAATGTACAACAGGTTTTAATATATTTAAAGGCTGGATTTGAGATAAGGTATAAGCCTTGTGAGACGTGACCTATATATATATCATACAGGAGTCGATTTAATATTTTACGCTCACACATATCTGACATAGCCTAACATGTTATAAATTGAGAGATTACAAAATATATGCAATTAGCATTTATATCACAGTTAGCTAGAACAACCATTTCGTGACAATTAGCCCACGTTATGGCTGGGTCACATAGGTGTCTGGCCGATTGAGTGTTTTGTTCAAAATTGTATTTGTTTGAAACAAAATACTCAATCGGCCGAGGTCCGACCGATGAATCGCAGCAAATATGAACCTGACATTATGTAACGTTCCCTTTTTTACAAATACAATGTATCTTGGGCTTTCTTATATTTTGATATTGGTTGCTTATTTTCACGGCTTGATTGACGCACAAATATTTTGATTGTACGTGCTCATGACAGGTTTAGGCAAAATATTGCACGTTGGTTGTGTTGACGTGATTTATGACTGAATACATATTAAAACTAGTACTGCTTTTGAAAAGTTTTTAAAAAAGTATGGAAGAGTCTAACCTGCTCGTTAAAGATATTAAGTTGTATTATGTATTGTACACGTAACTACATTAATTGTATGTACCTACATTGTAACACAACGGTGTTGCAAGGTGTACTTAGTAATGTTTATGCGCATTAGCAATGTCATGAACAAAATTGAGCAGAATGTGATCCCCTCGATTTTTGTGAATTTCTAATTCCAGGGACTTTCTCTCAAAACAGACCCCAAGTTAGTCATGGAAACACTTTCTTAATCTCTCAAGCAACTTTAAGGTAGATGTGTTTTTGGGAATTTTTATACAGTCTAATTTTAACGAAGCCACACATTACTTTCAAATATGGACCTCTTTCCAATGTTGTCTACAACTTTCAGTTTTGCATAAAGACTGCACTATTGTAGCGAGAAAAGAGTGTGGACAATATTTCGTTTATAAAATGTATGAAAACGAGAAAATCCAGTGACTTACTTTTTAAAAATAAAAAATAAGTCGGCTACTTCATTTTCCAATTTTTATATCTATAAAAATATCCAAAACGTTCACTACGCTCTTTTCTGGTTACCTTTAGTGTACTCTTTGTGTAAATGTGAAAGATGTAGAGAGCGTATGAAAAATACGCCTCGCACTTTTTGTCAGATTTCAGACATAATTAACTTCAAGGTAATATACAAATTGGGAAAGAAATTGCCATCAATATATTCCAGAAAAGAAACATATTGATATGGTCTTTGTTGAATGAACATCGTTTAGATAATATTAGTATTGAAACATCACTGAGGGCGGTCCCAACAAAATCTCTATATGTCAACCTTGCTTGAAGCATCAAATTGATTAATTTGAGTGTTCACGGAATGTGTGTGTCAACGATGGATGCTTTTTGTTTGATACGTTTATTTCGTACACTCGTATGATTGAT